CCTTCAATAGATCTTTTCCTTCCATCCGTGAAGACCATAATGTCATCTGCAAAACACAAATGTGTTAAGCGAATGTTTTGGCAACAAGGGTGATAACCAAACTTGCGACTTGCTGCAGCATTGTCAAGCTTCTTTGAGAGAGCATTCATACAAATGACAAAAAGGTAAGGAGACAAAGAGCAGCCTTGTCTTAAACCCCTCTCACTTCTAAAGAAACCAGCTAACTCCCCATTCACTTGAACTGAAAAAGAAGCAGTAGTAATACACAATCTTATCCAATGAACAAACTGTAGAGGGAAGTTCATTGCTATAAGAGAGTTAATCACAAACGGCCACTGTATGGAATCAAAAGCTTTAGCCAGGTCGATTTTAAGTGTACTGCGCGCAGAGACTGAGTCCTTATGGTATTCTTTGACAAGCTCAGTTGCAAGGAGAAGGTTCTCCATTAGTAGCCTGTCTTTAATAAAAGCTGATTGATTTGGGAGAATGAGCCCAGGCATCAGTCTTTTCAGTTGGTTAGCAATGAGTTTTGAGATCACCTTGTAGATAACATTACATCATGAAATAGGCCTGTAGTCTTTCATCCCCAGAGCATAAGTCTTTTTTGGTATTAGAGCAAGAATAGTAGAGTTTAAACCTTTTGGGAGGAATCCTTTAAGGAAGAAAGACTTGACCGCAACCACAAAATCCTCACCTACAACCGGCCAGGCCAATTTGAAAAACTCGCTGGTATAACCATCTGGCCCAGGAGATTTACTCCCTGGCATAGAGAAGAGAACCTTTCTGATTTCCTCCTCCGAGACCTCTATAGTCAGTTGTTCTCTATCTCCATCAGAACAACGAAAAAGTAAAAGGTGTTCCAAGTCTTCTACTGATGATTAGTCTGCAGGTTTTCGGGTGAGGAACTCTTTAAAAAAAGACTCTGCTTCATGTTTGATTTCTTCCTGAGTCTTGACCAGACTCCCATCGCCACACTGTATTTCCCTTATGGAGTTTCTAGCTTCCCTGATTTTCACAGCATTGTGAAATGTTTTATTGTTCTGGTCTCCCACCTGTAACCAGTGAAGCTTAGATCTTTGTTTGTTTAGTTCCTCTTCCAAATTCGCCACAAATTGCCATTTTTCTAGTGCCTCTGCTTCCTCTTTCGATCTCTCTGGAGATGGCTGCAACAAAGACTCTTGCTGCTTTTCACAAAGAGCTTGATAAGCCATTTGAGTTCTCTTGTGAATATCACCGAACTTCTCCTTACCAAGTTTTCTGATAATTGGTTTTAGGGCCTTTAGCTTTTTTGAAAAGCGAAACAACGCTGAAGTGGAGCAGAAAAGTTTCTCAGTGCGAGACCAGTACTCTGCAACTAAGGGCAAGAATTCTGGCATTTTCCCTATGGCATTCACAAACTTAAATGGCTTCTTCTTTACACCAATCTTGGTATCAAGAACAATTCTGCTTCTAAGATGATCTGAGCAACCTCCAGCCTCAAAAACACAATAAGCTTGTGAGTTTCTATGCATCCAAATATCATTCATTAGAACTCTGTCTAGCTTTTTACATATGATCCCCTCCTCCCTCTTATTCGTCCATGTGAATAATGGGCCATGGTAGCCTAAGTCGGACAGTGAGCAGTAACTAACCGCGTCCTGAAAATCCAACATCCCTGGTGTTATACACAGTGCAATGACATGATTTGAGTGTTCCTCACTCTCTAAGATTTCGTTAAAGTCCCCCATTAGCAGCCAAGGTTTGTTTAAGAACATTGGTGCATCATGGTGATCTTTTAAATCTTCCCACAGACCCTTCCTCTCCTCTGCAGTATTTAGTGCATAAACAAAGCTGCAAAAAAACTCTTCCTCATTTCGTTTTCACCGAGCAGGTGATCATTTGGTTGCTCTTGAAAACCGGCGTTAGACGAACTGTTGGCTTCCATAACACCCAAATTCGACCCAGAGTGTTGTATTCGTAATTAGACATGAAAGACCAATCTTTGAATACTGATTTGACTATCTTTTCAGCTTTTGTTTCCTTAACCCTCGTCTCCAGCAAACATCTAAACTCCATTCCTGTCTCCACTAACCATTTTCTCACTGCGGAATGTTTTATTGATTGGTTGAATCCGCGCACATTCCAGGAGAAACTCGACATCTAAGTATTCTTGCGAGAGGCTTTTTTAACTGCAGCGCTTTGGGAATCCTTAGTTTTTGAATATATATATAGGTTAATTTCCTTTATATCGAGAGTTAACTTAATTAATTGAATGTTTCTATTTGAAGGACAAAGAAAGGAGAAGAAGAGTTGGATAGATACCTGGAAAGGAGACATGAGGAGATTCTTGGAAGTAATCTTGAGGCTGGTTCATATAAGAGGACTGTCTCTCTTGTTATTGTTCATGGTTTTGGTGTTGAGATCACCAAACACCAGGTAATATAAATACATACATATGTTTATGTATATTTTATCTAGGCCAAGGATAACCGTGAAATTATTTTGTTCCGCCACTTATATATTTATATACACTTTAAGTGATAAGAAAACATGGATTTTTATGGGGTTTGATTATCAAAAGAATTATAAACCAATATTGCAGTTGTATATATTTCGTCATTTCTTTATAGTTTGATGCTGCTAATTATATTGTTTTGTAATATTATCTATCAGGCCAAAGTGTTAAGATCCGTCGACGACGTTTATTCGGTGGAAAAGAACGAATAAATTAAACTTGTATCCGGTAAAAAAGAAGAAACGAAAGAAGGAAACTTCTAATTTAATCCTTTATTAGAATAATGATGTAGTGGCATTTATAATAACAGAACATAATAGTGATATCATAACAATAAATAGTATCGCGATGGTAGAGTACTGTAGTAGTTAGCAAAGGTTGTTTATATATTTGCATTTGTGATTGCAAATGAAAAATCAATGCTAAGATTTTTCTTTAAGCTTCTATTGTGATCGATTGGATCGAAATCCATGCCATGCAGATCAGCGGATGGATAGTGTGTGACAAAACTTTCATTTTTGAACATTCAAGTATTAATTTACTTCTTCATGAACTACTTAACTTTCAAGTATTATTAACCGTGCATATAATGCGACTATGATACACTACAAGAAAACATCACATATTCCTACCATATATTTCATCAGAAAATCGTGGGAAACCGGCTTTTTCTACCAATTTCCTACCAAATATTTTTGTAGGTTCTATGCCGTCGGAAATTTTAAAAGGTAGAAAAATCGTAGGAAATTTCCTACGAAAATTTTGGTAGGAAAATTTTCGCGGTAGGATATTCGTAGGAAAGTACCTACCAAATTACTTCCATCTTCCTTCAGTTTCATTCTTTCTAATTTCAAATATTCCTACCATTTTCCTACCATTTGCTAGATTTTATAAAAAAAAAAATTATTTTTTAAAATTAAAAATTAAATTAAATTTAAACTAAAAGATGAATTAATTATTAATTCAATTATTACTATATATAGAGATACTATATATAAAGATATTATATATAGAAAAAAAAACAAAGTAATTAAAAGGAAGATAAAGCTCTTATTTATAGAGCAGCTTCCTCATGTAAATTATCTCAGATCATTGAGGTGGGACAAATCAAATTGAAATTTTCCTATCAAATTCCTACGATATTCTTATACATAATTTTTTGTCAAAAATTGGTAGGAAATTTCCTACGAAATATTTACCAGCCATTGGCCCTACCACTTTCCTTTCAAATTTTGACCGCGTGATAGGTTATTGGTAGGAAATATCCTTTGAAATTTTGACAAAATATTTGGTAGAAAATTTCCTACCAATTTCTCATCACTTTTACTTTTCGTCAAAATTGCATAGAAAATTGGTCATAAAAATTTTCTACCAAATATTTCGTCAAAATTTTTATAGGAATACATAGTACTGTGTAGCGATGATCAGAAGCAATGATAAAATAAGTGACGCAAAGAGTGACGCCAAGAGAGTGACGTCATTAAGAAATCATTTGATTGTTGAAAGGATAGACAATAATAATTTCTTCACTCATCATTTTTATATTCGTATTTTTTTCGTCCAAGAGAAGAACAAACAAAAAAGTGGTCCAGTTATTATTTCTGTTATTATACAGGATTTATTATTTCCAACAAACAAAAAAGTTGTCCATATTCATTACAAAAAAGAATATTCAAAGGGTAATAAAGCAAAAAAAAGGTATCAATCAAAGAAATGAATGTTCAAAATTTCGAATGGAATATCAATCTGATTATTTGTGATATAGCTTTGCTGGTGGACTTGGTCAGCAAAGACGTTATTATCTTGTATTATCTCACAATTTCTGTACATGACTAGTTTTTTTTTGTGGAACATATCATCAGATAACTAAAAATTTGTTGAGTTAATGTGCATTAGTCTTTCCAATAATAAATATTTTTTCGCTTTCGAAATTAACATTTCCTATTACACACAGCTGATAACATGAGAAGTTGATGATATAGTTCACAGTCACATGTGTAAATAAACTAGAGGTAGAGAGACTTTACACTTAGATTCAAGCTGAAAACCGATTGTCTATATAGCTTATACGTTATCTAGACAACCGATTCATTAAACTAAGCTATATAGATAGATATACGTACTTTTATATGTTCTACAGCCGACAACCGATTCATAATCGTTTTAAGGGACAGTTTGTTAAACCCTAGTTGTCTAATTATTTACTTAACCACTAGCTATATTAAGATAAATGATCTACTTGGTTATTACTTATTATATATAACTTTATTAACAAAATTGCAAAGTTGAATTGGTCAGCATTTGATCTTGTAAGCTCATTCACGTCTTCTACCACCCCACTTGTAGACAGACTCTGGCCCTCTAATATAATTGAGAAATACGAAACAGCAACGATATAGCATTAAAATTCTCATTCTTTTTTTTTCAAAAAAGAGATAATTATCTTTTAAAGTATAATAAAAACAGAGAATGCTATGCAAGTAGACTTGAAGTCAATGAAAAAGAGCTCACGAGTCAATTAGATCCAGATATTAACTTTATAAGAACCCCTAGCTAAACACATACATATTCACCAAAAAGCAAAAAAAAGAAAAGGAAAAAAAATAGAGTGAGCTTATACCAAAAAAAAAAATAATACATTTTTTCTTAGGAAAAGAAAGAAGAAAATGGCGCAATCTAACGCAACAGGCAGTGGAGTGATCGTGGATGCACGGTTTTGCGCAAAGTACCCAGTGGAACTGGTGATTGTGCGGAAGTGGATGAAGATAAAGCAAGGTAACTTCGTAATAACGGACGTTAACGGAAACATGTTGTTCAAGGTGAACGACCGTGTGTTTGGTCTTCACGACCAGAGGACCTTATTGGATAGTTCTGGATCTCCGGTCTTGACTTTGAGAGATAAGGTCCAGTCCATATATATATATATATATATATGATTTAAATTATATATTAAAAAAACCCTAATTAAGTCGTCGGCTTGGTCAACTAATTTAGAATACTAAAAATTAAATTGCAGATGATGACGATGCATAACAGGTGGAAAGTGTTTAGAGGAGGGAGTACGGAGGAGAGTGATCTGCTGTACACAGTGAAGAAATCGTCGATGGTTCAGTTCTTTGATACGAAACTTGATGTGTTTTTGAGTCACAATACGGAAGAGGAGACACCCGATTTCAGAGTCGAATGTGATTCTGACGACTGTGACTGTGTTGTCTACGCCGGTGAATCTGACGTTATTGTTGCCCAAGTATGTCGTCTTCTTTCTTTTTTTCCTTTTGCCCCAACATATTTTCTCTGTATGGAAATTGGTTTAGTTGGTTATACTCCCTTCGTCCTAAAATATAAGATGTTAACAGAGATTAAGAAACTGATTTTTTAAAAAATAAAACATCATTAATTATTAGTTAAAAACATACAAATTCAGTCAATCATAAAAAAAACTTCATAATTCAAAAAGTTAAACAAATAAAATAACATTAAAATTGACATAGAAACCTGTAAAACATCTTATAAAATATAACCTTTTTTTCATTAAACATCTTATATGTTGCGATGGAAAAGTATATATATATATATATATATATATATATGATAAATCATATAATTTTTAAACAAGCTTTTTATTTTTCTTTCTCTCCTATCTCTTTTTGGTTTACTTTATCATGTTCTGTTTAGTCTTATCCTATTTGTGAATTGGTAGTTTGCCTAGGTTTGTGATTGGTCTAAACTTGGACTTTAGAATTGCTAACACTTACTAAACCAAATTAGGCCAAACGAAACGAAAAATAAATGAAACGAAATGAAATATAAATGTGATTGTTTGGCTTTGAATGGGAAGCAGAATAAATGTAGAATAATTGTAGTTAATTTGTATTTAAAATAATTTACAATTTTTTACCATTTACAGATTTTATGTAGAACAAAAAATATTAATATAAAATTGGAAGATCTGTATGCAGATATTTATTAACCTAAAAACCAAAGGAAAAAAATACTCTCACAACTGCTCTAAAATATGAGCAGACCACTCAATTCTACATCTAGTTCTAATTTATTTTTTTAATAATATTTTTTTAATCTGCATAAATTGATTTGCATTGCAACCATTCAAAACATTTGTTGTTGGTAATAGATGCACAAGAAGCACACGGCGCGGAGCGTTCTCTTTGGAAAGCACAAGTTTTTGGTGACTGTTAATCCAAGTGTCGATTATGCTTTCATTGCCTCCCTCATCGTTATTCTCGATGATGTTGACGGACCAGACCCAAGTGTTCTGAGTGTCACATCGACATTATTAGGGAACTTTGGTAATTAAAATTGTAATGTCAAAATTTGATATTATGATTATAATGTTTTATTGGAAATCGCTTGTAATTTATGGGTTATAAACTCATTATTGTGATTTGTTTGAGCATGTATAAATTTCTTGTATATACAGTAAAACCTCTATAAATTAATATTCAATAAATTAATAATCACTATAAATTAAGAAATTTTACCAGTCTCAGGTCGGACCAATGTAAAAATCCATCAAATTCGATAAGATAATATTTTTTTTTTAAATTTTTATGTAAATATATGGTCCCAACAAAAACATAAATTAATAATTATATATATTTATATAAATATATGTAATTATAGTATTTTAAAATATGACTAATGTGGTTGCTTTTACTTAAAATTTAAATCTCATTGGATCTTATTTCTTTAATTATTACATCAGTAGCTTTTATTGATGTTTTACGATATACATTCCAAATTTATGATAACTTTTAATGTGATAATTGATTCTCTTATCTGTAAATATTTTTAAATGTATTGTAATATTATCTTCAATTTTATCATCAATAATACGGATAGTAGCCATAGTTTTTTTTTTATAAATTTTAAACTTATGAACATGTATATTTTTATATGGATAATCCAATATGGTATTAAAAACTATTTTATTATGATAGTTATGATTGTTAAACATAATTTACATTACAAAATTTGTTAAAATTTTAAAATATAAAATTATTCTAAAAAATTTTTTAGAAAATTATAAGTGGAAATCAAATTTTCTATTAATTTATAGATAAATTAATATCACAATAAATTAATAAAATATCATAGTCCTAACATTATTAATTTATAGAGGTTTTACTGTATGTGATATATATGATTATTGTGATTTATTACTCAATTTTGGCTTAAATTGTGAAAGCATATAGAACTATAATTTGATTATAGATCGACGTTTACAGTGTTCGATTAATTGTTAATGTGAAAGTACTGAATTGTGTTGTATATGTCTCAAGAAAAAGTGTTCGTATGTATATTGTCCCAATTAAAGTAATTGGAATTATTTGTATTAGTATGAACATTTAATGGCTATCGTTAGATTCCATAATCATTCCTAATAGTCGAGAGAAGAATACTTCTCCAGCAAAGTTTCTTCTATCAAAGAGCTTTAATCATAGGTATGTTTTCAAAACGACCGCTCATTGCAAGAAATTTTTGTATTATCATATAGTCAAAATCCATGCTTATATTACAGATCTTTTAGTTGTACGTACTCAAAATTGTTTTGACTAAATAGTGTATTCCACTAATTTTTTTTTTTAAAAGTTCCTGGAAAGTAGACACGAGTAGATTGTTGCCTTCTTGGAAGTAATCTTGAGTGTGGCTCTTATAAGAGGACTGTCTCTTGAAAAAGAAAAAATAAAAATAAAAAAAGAGGATTGTCTCTCGTATCGTTGTTCATGGTTTGCGTGTTGAGATCACCAAACATTCTAATATACTTGATATATTATATATATATATATATATAGATCATACTATTCACTACCACCATCCCACTCCCCCATCCCACTTGTAGATACACTCTAATATACTTGATGATAAATACGAAACAACAATAAAATAGCAATTTCCATTCTTTTTTTTTTGAAAAAAAGAGATATTAATCTTTTAAAATATAAAGACGGAATGGTATACAAGTAGACTTTTGAAGTTGTCAAATGAGCTCAGAGTCAATAAGATCCAGATATTAACTTTATAAAAGCCACACCTTGCTAAACCTAAACATACACATATTCACCAAAAAGCAAAGCAAAAGATATACATTTTTTTCTTAGGAAAAGAAAGAAAGAAAATGGCGCAATCTTACACAGCAGGCAGTGGAGTGATCGTGGATGCACGGTTTTGCGTTAAGCACCCAGTGGAACTGGCAATTGTGCGGAAGGTGATGAAGTTCAAAGCTGGTAACTTCGCAATAACGGACGTGAACGGAGACCTATTGTTCAAGGTGAATGACCGGTTGTTTGGTCTTCACGACAAGAGGATCTTATTGGATGGTTCTGGATCTCCGGTCTTGACTTTGAGAGAGAAGGTGATCCATTTATTTATTTATATATATATCGATATATGATTTACAAAAAGAAGAAAGAAAAAAAATTGTCAACTAATTTAGAATACTAACAATAAATTGCAGATAAGGACAATGCATAACAGGTGGAAAGTGTTTAGAGGAGGGAGTACGGAGGAGAGTGATCATCTGTACACGGTGAAGAAAAAGTCGATGGTTCAGTTCTTTGATACGAAACTTGATGTGTTTTTCAGTCACAATAAGGAAGAGAAGACTCCCGATTTCAGAGTCGAATGTGAATCTAGCGCATATGTTGTCTACACTGGTGAATCTGACACCATTCTTGCCCAAGTATGTCTTCTTCTTTCTCTTTCATTTTTCTGCCCCAACATGTTTTCTCCGTATAGAAATTGGTTTAGTTAGTTAGAACGGTCGGGATCGGATTTTTTTAATTGACAGTCTCAAATTATAAGATACTGATCAGCTTGGAGATTAAAAAAAAACTAATGTTTAACAATAAAACATCATTGATTATTAATTAGTTAAAACATACTGTATATGTTTATAAAATAATTAATGAATTATATAACTCAGCCAATCATTAAAAAATTACATAATTCAATTTTTTTTTAAAAGTATAGAGAAGAGGCGGACGCAAATACAACGGTACGGGATCAATACCTCCTACTCCCTTTTGTTTTATACTCCTTCTGTTCAGAATTATTTGATGTTTTAGAAGGTTTTTTGTTCATAATTATTTGATATTCTTACTTTTCAATGTAAAATTTAATGAACTTTTATAGTTTTTGATCTTTTATATTCTGCAGATTGTATTCTTATTGGCTGAATGATATTTAAATGGATTATAAATAATATTTTTAGTATAGGAAAAACAAAAATTAAATGAATCCTTAAACTGTGTGCAAAAACCTTAAACATCAAATAATTCTGAACAGAGAAAGTATTGAATATTTTTTTTATAAAAAAAATCTGATTTAATATATTATTTTAATGAAATAATAGAAAAAATATTTTTTATTATGAAAAATTATGATTTTTATTGAAAACGCCATCGATAAAAAAAAATTCTAAATCCACCACTAATATAAATTAACATCAAAGTTAGCATGGAAACCTGTAAAATATAAACAACATTTTCTCTTTTTCTTTCTCTACCTCTTTTTGGTTTGCTTTCAGATTTTTTTTTTCCCTCTTCTGTTTAGTCTTATCCTAGTTGTGAATTGGTAGTTTGCCCAAGTCTTATGAATTGGTCTAAACTTGGACTCACAATAGCAACACTTGTTAACGAAACGAAATGAAATATACATGTGATGGTTTGTTGTTGGCAACAGATGAACAAGAAGCACACGGCGCAGAGCGTTCTCTATGGAAAACACCAGTTTTTGGTGACTGTTAATCCAGATGTCGATTATGCATTCATTGCCTCTCTTATCGTTATTCTCGATTATGTTAACGGACCAGACCCAACTGTTCTAGGTGTCACATCGTCATTATTGGGGAACTTCTGAATTGAAATTGTAATGTCAAATTTTTAAAATTGTATAATATTATATAATTATAATGTTTTGTTAGGATCATTTGTAATCAATGGGTTTAGAATCTATTATTGTGATTTATTTTGAACATGTATAAAATTATGAAATTGATTGTGATTTATTTGCCAGAACTCGTTTGTTAGAGACCCGCTTATAATCTGTTGTTGTGATTTATTTAAGCATGTATAAATTTATTGTATATATGTGATTTACATTATTATTGTGATTTATTTGAGCAAGTACAAAATTTATGAAATTTATTCATTATTGAAACATTTTTTTTTTTTTTTTGGTCGAAAATGTTAAGTCATTATTGAAAAATGTTCACATGAATACACAGTTTGATTATTACGTGATATATGAATTTTGGTTTATAAATCATATTTGTTACTCAATTTTGGCATAAATTGTGAAAGCATATAGAACTATAATTTGATTATAGATTCAGGTTTACAGTGTTTGATTAATTGTTAATGTGAATATAATGAATTGTGTAGTATATATCTCAAGAATATGTATTTTTGTATATTATCCCGATTAAAGTAATTGGAATTATTTGTATTAGTATGTACATTTAAAGGCAATCGTTAGATTCCGTCATTCCTGGTAGCCAAGAGAAGAATATTTCTTCAGCGAAATTTCTTCTATCAAGCAGCTTTGATCATAGGTAAGTTTTCGAAACGACTGCACATTGTCAGAATAGTTGTATTACCATATGGTCAAAATGCATGCTTATATTACGGATCTTTTAGTCGCACTCAATTTTTTTTTGACTAAATAATGTATTCTACTAATTTTTTTTTTATAATTTCCTGGAAAGCAGATACGAGTAGACTATTGCTTTCTTGGAAGTAATCTTGAGTCTGGTTCTTATAAGAGGACTGTCTCTCTTGTCGTTGTTCATGGTTTTGGTGTTGAGATCACCAAACATCAGGTGATTCTCTGTCTATATATATATGCATGCCATGGCTCAAATCCCTCTATACATAAAATTAGTTTACTCCGCCTTTTACCTATCCATAAACATTTTCAAATGATAAGAAAATTCCGATTCTTAAGAGGTTCGAGGATTAAACCCCAGTTATCTCATATATATATATATATATATATATATATATATATATATTGGTATATATATTGGTTCATATGCATTTGTATATGCTTGGTCAATTGTTTGTAGTATGATGTTAATTTTACTGTTTTTGTGATATTTTGTATCAGGCCAAAGTGTTAAGATCCGCCGATGGCGTTCATTCGGTGGAAAAGAACGAACAATTAAACTTGTATCCGGTAAAAAAGAAGAAACTAAAGAAGGAAACTTCTAAATCCGATGTAGTGGAATTGATAATAGCAGAACATAATAGTGATATCATAACAATAAATAGTATCGCGATGGTAGAGTACACGTAGTACTGTAGAAGTAGTTAGTAATTAAAGTTTTTTTTTTTTTTTGTCGACAGCAAAGGTTGTTTATATATTTGTATTTGTGATTGCAAATGAAAAATCAATGCTAAGATATTCTTTAAGCTTCTACTGTGATCGATTGGATCGAAATCCATGCCATGCGGATCAGCGGATGGATAGTGTGTGACCAAACTTTCATGTTTAACATATTCATGAATTACTTAACTTTAAAGTATTATTAACCGTGCATATAATGAGACTAGGATAGTATTGTGTAGCGATGATCAGAAGTAAATGATAAAATATGTGACGCAAAGAGAGTGACGCCATTTAGAAATCATTTGATTGTTGAAAGGATAGAAAATTATAATTTCTTCACTCAATCATTTTTATATTCGTTTTTTTTTTGTCCAAGAGAATAACAAATGAAATGGTCCAGATATTATTTCTGATATTATACAGGATTTATTATTTTCATTATATAAATTAGGTGGATACCCGCACATTAGGTGCGGGTTTTTATTTTCAATTTTTTCAATTTTTTTATAAATTTTTATAAAAATTAATATTATCATCACTTGTTATTTCCTTACTTGTTAATATTTTATTCAAAAAAATTAAAATATTAAATATTATTTAATAATTTAGAGTTATATTAAAATTAATAAATATCATCAATATTTTTAATTAGTTATAACATAAAATTTTGTTTAACATTTACACAAATATTAACTAATAGTCAATTAATAAAAAAAAAATAAATTAATAGAATCATCATTTCATTTGTTACTTGTTAGTATTTTATTATAAATAATTTTTTAAAAATAATTTAAAATAGATATTGAATATTATTAAGTAATTAACAGTTATATAAAAATTAAATACATATCTATCAATATTTTTAATTAGTTATAACATAAATTTTTGTATAACATTAATATAAATATTAGTTAAGAGTCAATTAATAAAATAAATTTTTCATATTTTTTAAATGCTTTAAAATTTAATATTAAATCTTTATTAATTAAAATTTAAGTGACGTATGTCAGTTTCTCCAATGCTGATGTGTCAAGCATATAGAGAAAGTTAAACAACTTTTATATATAAGATGGTCCATGTACATTAAAAAAAAAAACAAATAGGCGTAGAGATATAGCTTTGTATGACTAGTTTGAGATATATTACTACACTCTTCAATATTGAAGGGAAATTATTAAAGCAAAAAAGGAATCAATCAAAGAAATGAATGTTGGAAATTTCGAATGGAGATATATATATATATAGCTTTGATGGTGGAATTAGTCTGTATAAACCTTATATTATCTTGTATTATCTCACAATTTCTGTAATATTATGATATCTCATACCATTCACGACCACCATCCCACTTGTAGATATACTCTAATATACCAAACAACTACGAAATAGCAAGTTTCATTCTTTTTTTTAGAAAGAGAGAGTGGTATGCAAGTAAACTTTTGAAGTTGTCAAAAGAGCTCAGAGTCAATAAGATCCAGATATTAACTTTATAAAAGCCACACCTTGCTAAACCTAAACATACACATATTCACCAAAAAAAGCAAAGCAAAAGAAATACATTCTTCTTAGGAAAAGAAAGAAAGAAAATGGCGGAATTTTACCCAGCAGGCACGGGCCCTTCAGAAGGAAGTGGAGTGATCGTGGATGCACGGTTTTGCGCTAAGTACCCTGTTGAACTGGCGATTGTGCGGAAGGTGATGAAGTTAACAACTGGTAACTTCGAAATAATGGACGTGAACGGAGACCTGTTGTTCAACGTGGATGATCGTGTGTTTGGTCTTCACGACAAGAGGACCTTATTGGATACTTCTGGATCTCCGGTCTTGACTTTGAGAGAGAAGGTGGTCTCCATATATATATATATATATATATATATATATGATTTACAAAAAAAAAAAAAAGAAAGAAAGAAAAAAATTGTCAACTAATTTAGAATACTAAAAAAAAATTGCAGATACGAACCATGCATAACAAGTGGAAAGTGTTTAGAGGAGGGAGTACGGAGGAGAGTGATCATCTGTACACGGTGAAGACATCGGTCGTGTTTCAGTTACATGATAAGAACCTTGATGTGTATTTCAGTCACAATAAGGAAGAGAAGACACGCGATTTCAGAGTCGAATGTGAACCTGGCGTATATGTTGTCTACGCTGGTGAATCTGACGCCATTATTGCCCAAGTATGTCGTCTATTTTCTTTTTTTTCTTTTTCTGCCCTAACATATTTTCTCTGTATGGAAACTGGCTTAGTTAGAACGGTCGGGATTGGATTTTTTTTTATTGACAGTCTCAAAAGTCAAAATATAAGATATTGATCAGCTTGGATATTAAAAAAAACTAATGTTTAAAAATAAAACATCATTAGTTATTAATAATTAGTTAAACATAACTCAGCCAATCATTAAAAAAACTACATAATTCAAAAAATTAAAAATACTATAAAGCAAGGGCAAACGTAGGTACAATGGTTCCGGGATCAACGTGCCTCATACTTTTTTTTTTATTTAATAAAACTTAAAAAATCTTATAGAATATGTTATTTAAATGAAATTATAGAAAAATGCCTTTCATTGTTAAAAAAAAAAAATTCTATTAAAAGTGTCCCTGATAAAAGAATTTATAGATCCGTCATTGGTATAATGTAACATCAAAATTAACATGGAAACCTGTAAAACATCTTATTATATGAACCAATATTTTTTTCTCTAAACATGACTGAAAATTTACATAAACAACCTTTTTGGTTTGCTTTCAGATTATATTTTCCCCCCTTGTATAGTCTAATCCTAGTTGTGAATTGGTAGTTTGCCCAAGTTTTATGAATTGGTCTAGACTTGGACTTCACAATTATAACACTTATTAAACCAATTTGGCCAAAAAGTATTTGGTTTTATATTGGAGGATGATTATATAAATCTGATGATTTGTTGTTGGTAACAGATGCACAAGAAGCACACGACGCAGAGCGTTCTCTATGGAAAGAACGAGTTTTGGGTGACTGTTAATCCAGATGTTGATTATGCATTCATTGTATCTCTCATCGTTATTCTCGATGATGTTAACAGACCAGACCCAAGTGTTTTGGGTGCCACATTGCCATTAGTGCCGATATTACCGTTATTGATCTGAGGCCGTTGTGGAATCCATGGCTAATGCTCTCGATTGCCCTTCTTAAGTTGCTGGTTTGAAACGTATCTTTCATTCTCATATGTTTTAACCAAATGTATGTTTAATTTAATATCCTCCCTAATAACTCTCTAAAAACTGTATAACCTTGGGTCATAGCTGTAACATTTATTGCAAACGCTTTTGCCCAAAAAAAAATTGTATAATATTATATGATTATAATATTGTTAGAGACCACTTGTAATCTATGGGTTGAGAATCATTATTGTAATTGATTTTGAGTATGTATAAATTTATGAAATTTATTGTGATTTATTTGTTAGAGTCTGCTTGTTAAAGACCCGCTTGTAATCTATTGTGATTTATTTGAACATGTATAAACTTATCATATATATCTGATTTACATTATGATTTTGTGATTTATTTGAGGAAGTATAATTTATGAAATTTATTCATTGTTGAAACATGTTCACATGAATACACGATTTGATTATTATGTTGATGCGATCATGGAACCACCAAATGTTCCATGGATCGAGGGATGGGTCGAAAAGTACGAATTAGAGCATGAACCAGATACGACTCTGGTTGTGCCGGTTGGACCAAATGCTCCATCGTGTGTCCGAAAGTTTGTGGGAGACATCTGAAAGGTACTTACTGGTCTTAGCAGCCAAACGATGGATCCAGCGACGGAATCAACTTTCGATGTTGTGATCATATTCATATATTCAAGTCGTGACTAGTATGGTCGGGATGTTGGCTTGATACTCTTTTTTCGGGCATCCGAGTTTGTTCGGATGGGTTTACCACATGAGGTTTTAATGAAGTTAAGTCACCATACATCTCACGATCCAAGTTTATTTGCGATTTGGTTCATGGGTCGGTAGTCCAAGAGTCAAACTTGACCAAACAGTCCAAGAGTCATTTTGAATTTGCCGAGGAGTTAGTCAACGTTTTCATTCATTTTTTTTTTATAATTCTCTATGTATTATGATTGTTTATCTCTTTCGCCTTCTATATAAGGTTTTGTACTTTTCAGGATTGACATTTACTTTTTTAATAAAATTTTTGAAAATTTTTTTTATTAAAATTTTTGATTTTTTAAGTGGTTAACCTTTGAATCTTTTGGTGTATCAAGTTTAAACCATAGAACTTGATCGTAGGTTTCATTATTAAAGCCATGTAAAAAGGATTTAGGCTTTAACCCTTTTTTCAAGGTAACTTTGTGATCAATCAGTGAGTATAAAACTCTTGAAAGGTAAGTATCTTGCGGTCCCCTGGCTTCTAATCGATAATATAGATACTATATTCTTAAATTTTATCAAAATCCAAGGCATCACCTGTTATTTTTGTCACCAAAATAGTAAATATAAATTGACTAAACAAAAACGAAATAAATAGTAGATAGTTTATCGAAATCTCATGGCGTGCCCAAGCGGATACTGTGTGACCAAACTTTCATTTTCGTACCTTCAAGTTTTTATTTACTTCTTTATGATTTAGGTTTCATTCGATAACAGAAACAAACAAAAAAAGATGTGGCCAACTTATATATTTAGGCAAAGAAAATAAGATATGGGCTTGCTTGCAATCATGGGCCTGTTGTCGACAACTCGCATGCAAATTTAGCTTCTGATCCCACGCGTCGTTGCATCAACGTGGAAGACACGCTCGGAACGTTCTTAATTAGTAGCTCGTAAACTACATACGAAGAGTGTCTAAATGTACTTTTACATTTATTGGATGCCTAATGGTAAGTTTAACACTTTAGTTTTTTGGATTTTAGTGATACGTCGGTTTCCTTCCCTTCTAAATTCTTTTTTCTTAGACAAAGATAGAAAGTTTTCAACTGCTAAATTTGTATATTCAAATTTACAAACTGTGAATTAGCGATGGCAAGACAATAAAATATTTTATTTATTTTAAGTGTGAAAGCGTCGGATTGGTATTTTGACTTTTTCTAAACGAATCGAAAGAAGTGTCTTTTCCGTACATGTTTTATTTTTTATTTTATGTTTGGCCTTTTCCTGCTTTATTAATAATACATTGCTCTTTCTGACTAGCCCAATTCACAAGTTGGCTACTAATCATTTGGCATAACAAGTAATAAATTAATAAATTTGATTTCTGTAAAAATGCGAATTAAATACTGCCGTGTATCTGTTGACAAACACACACCAAAATAAATAAAGATGTTGCAGCGTTGATTGGGAAATAAATGCGATAACTAATGCCGTAAAGTGTTAGCAAATCAGATTTTTTCTATAGAAAAATATAAATGTACTCATTTGTATGAATTAATTATGAAGCACTATAGAGTTAGGATTGAAGATGTCAGATTGAGTCATTATCTTGTTAGCTGATTCAATTTCACGTTAATTTAATGATTTCGAGTTATGTTTTAGATTCATTTGACATATGAATTTGTAAATTAGCTCAACTGAGTTGGTGAATTAAATGCGCTAGATGTAAGTTAGTTTGTGATTTATATAATGGATTGTTTAACCTGAAGTAGCTGAGTATTACTATTGTCTAGCGATCAAAAGGAATGATGAAATAAGTGACGCAAAGAGAGTGACGTCATTAACAAAATTTAAGGATAGAAAATAATAATTTCACTCATTATTTTAATACTCATTTTATGCTTTTTTTTTGGGTCCAAGAGCAGAACAAACAAAAAATAAGATTAGGAAATAATAAACAATGAAAAGGGGAAATCCACGCGGAGAGAGGTTTGAAATGTCGTCGGTCCAATGTCTTGACTCATCCTTTTCTTTGGAAATATTTCTGTATATTCCTTCTTCAGATTATTTTTCTAGTAATCAATTAATATGTTGATGTCAATTACGTTTGCCCTACGTTGACACGGTTTCTTCTTATAGTAAAACGAAGTATAATTCTGTATAATACTACTAAACAAGTATAGTACATATGTATCAATAGGACGAGTTTGTTGAATTCGACAATAATAATTCAATTATTTATCCGTTTTTAAAATGCGTTTGAAAGAAGCTACATCAGATTTTACCAGCGACTTCTTGCAAGTCGCAAAGATGATGATTTGATTTATTGATGTGTTTATCATCAGTATTTTCCGTCATTTAGGAAAATTTGAATTTGTTTTATCATCAGATAGTCGTTATTCTAGTTTTGTTAATTTTCCAACCACCGTACCTTGTTTATAACAATTCTATTATAGTTTGGTATTGTGCGAATCCTTTTTAGTTATAACGTATAGCCTAAAATACCATTATTGAGCTCTAGCTATACTTGCATATGTCAAATTCTGCTATGAAAAAACATCTTGTAATTTTTGGATTATAATATAAATGGAATTATATGATCGAAACATGCAAACTCTTTTACATCGTGAATGTATCATTATCCGAATAAAAGTGGTACAATGTATGATGTTGAAAGTAAATTATTTCCACAATATTTTATATATGAAAGAAAACAAAAATTATACATATAGTAATTAGACAGGAAACATTATTTTCAACATATAAGTGGTCCAGATACATTATAAATAAAATTGAAGGAAATAAAGCTAAAAGGTATCAATCAAAGAAAATGAATGTTCGGAATTTCCAATGGAATATCAGTCTGACTATATATTTGAGATAGCTTTTTGATGGTGGACTTGGTCAGCAAATACCTTACCACACTCTTGTAAAGGACTAGATTTTTTTGTGTGGAACATTTCATAACTGAAATAGTTGATTTCTTTTTTTTTTTTAAGTGTCACTCTATTATGTTTTTTTTTAATTGTATAATACATACTTACTAGTTTATGACAAAACGATACTTAATTGAAACGTACTATAGTAGTATTGAATATTTATTTATCACAATTCTTGTTTTTAGCTATACAAAACTTATCCTTTGAATACTAATATTCGTTATAACACCTATGCCTTACGTAATATAATAAAACGGAAGGTGCATAATTAAATTAAAAATTACTGTTGAGTGTTGACAATATTGACATCACAGACGGTAGTTAAAAACTGAAAATCATATAAAGAAGAACGGTTGTTTCATACAAACAAAGAATAATAAAAAAATGGACATTATAGAGAATCTTAATCACATGTATAAAGTCGTAGCTTTGAAAGGGTACATTGAAAGCGACAATTGTTAAACCCCTTGTTGTTTAATTATTTACTTAACCACTATATTTAAATAAAGGCTCTGTACAACTTATAACTACATTAACAAATTTGAACTGGTCAGCGTTTGACCTTGTAACTTCATACACTACCACCACCCCACTTATTTAGATACACTCTGGCCCTCTATACATTTTTGTTACCCAAAGACTTTTCTTTACTTTGAAAGTTTTGTCTCTTTTTCTAAAACAAATCTATTATTAAAAAAGTTTAAGAATTATTTATGGTTAGTCACTTGGTCAAATTTTCAAACACTCAGATGCAATGCCTTTATATTCCAAACCAACACTCATCAGCCCCATAACACTCTCATTCTCATCATACCATTCTTCAAATCTATACATATTCTCACCATAAAATTCAGATCATTTAACTCATTACTATAAAATACATTCTTCATTATAATATACACACATTATATTTCTTTTCTCATCATATTTTGGTATCAATTTCAGACAAATATTTTATTAAAGTGAGCTGATTTGTTAATAAGTATATGATAATTTGCGAAATTATTTTTCTTAAAAAACAATCTTTTTGAGAGTCATATATTCAGAATGGAAGGTAAAAATATGTTAAGTTGGGAGGAGAAGACATTGCTAAGCGAGCTCATTCTTGGATTCGAGGCGGCGAAAAAGCTTCAGACACGGCTCCGAGAATCCCCGTCGCAATCGCCGTCGTCATCATTTTCTTCTCCGGTGGCGGCTGAGACAAACGAGTTTCTCGTGAAGCAGATACTTTCTTCCTACGAGAAATCTCTTCTCATTCTAAACTGGTCCTCCTCGCCGCCCGTACAGCTTATTCCGTCGCCGGTTACTTCAGTCCCGGTGGCAAATTCCGGCGGAATCCCAGAATCTCCGGCGTCGATAAACGGAAGTCCGAGAAGTGAAGATTTTGTTGATGGAGGAGGTTCCACTGAGAATCATCGCCAAGATTACATCTTCAATTCAAAGAAAAGGTAACAACAAAACAAAATTGGTATTTTTTTATTGTTTTGACAAATTCACCAAATTAATTTGGAATTTTGGTGGGAAAATTTGCAGGAAGATGTTGCCAAAGTGGACAGAAAAAGTAAGAATAAGCCCAGAAAGAGGCTTAGAAGGACCTCAAGATGATGTCTTTAGCTGGAGAAAATATGGCCAAAAAGACATTTTGGGCGCCAAATTCCCCAGGTAACATCATCATCATCAAATCCATCACAACAATTCATCATCATCATGAATCATGATGTTAATTCGATTGGTTTTGTTCTGTGCAGGAGTTATTACAGATGCACGCACCGAAGCACACAGAACTGTTGGGCGACGAAGCAAGTCCAGAGATCGGACGGTGATCCATCGGTTTTCGAAGTGACGTACAGAGGAACACACACTTGCTCGCAGGCGATCACACCACCTCCACCACCACCAGCCTCGCCAGAGAAGCGAGACACCAGACCCAAACCCACCATTACCCGAAAGCCCAACGAGCTTCTCGAGAGTCTCAAAACCAGCTTAACCGTTCGAACCGACGGGCTTGACGAAGGTGACGGCGTTTTCTCGTTCCCCAATACGCCACCGTTTTATGATTACGGGACTATCAACGGCGACTTCTGCCACTTGGAGAGTTCCCCGATGTTCGACGTTGTTGATTGGTTCAATCCAACGGTCGAGATCGATCCAGCTTTCCCCACGTTTTTAACAGAGTCGACCTATTATTAAAATAAAAAAAATGTAAAAGAGAGAACTACACTAGTAATCATTTAGAGAAATTACTGAGTTAAGATAACTTGTATCCATTTTTTTTTTTCTTGGTTAAGAAAGTAAATTGAGTCTAACAAAGCATAAGGTATGTTCAACAGGATTTGAACATATTACAAAACTAAGAGATTTTTTCTAGCTAGAGGTAGTAGCCACAGACTTCTTGTTGTAATCTTCCAGTTCCTTCTTGTATGCTTCCATAGATTTTGCAGCTTTTTTGTTGTAAACTTGCTTCTCTTCTTCACTCAATTCCTGCAAAGATATTTTTACTCGGACAAATTAACAGCCTGAAATTTGTAATTAAGCAAATGTTACACGTAATCGTAGTTTTACATACCTTCCACTTCACTGAGATCAAAGCGGTAATTGTCGAGTTGCTTGTCCCGGGACGTTCTTCTGTCAAAGTCTTCCTTACGTCTTTGCTGCGTAAACAATTTTTTTTAAACAGTTAGAAGCTTAGGTAGAAAAAAAGCTTAGGATTCTCTTTAGTCACATTAGCTTAGGTTCGTACCTGAAGAGTAAAAATGAAGAAGCTGGCTTCTTGAGTTTGTTAGGGTCAACGTTTTCGTTCTTCTTCTTCTTGGTCTCTTTCTTCTTCTGCAAGAGAACATTATTATGATTCGGTTAGTCTCTGTATTGTGTAATGCATTTTAGTGGGTTAAGAAGTGAGAGTGTAAGTTTAAGTGAGTGACCTTGATCAGATTATCAGTTTTCTCCTTCTTCTTGAGCAGTTGGAGAGCTTCCTGTTTATGGAGTTTCATGAGTTCCTCTTCTTCTTTCTTCTGGCTCATGGCTTCTTCTTCCTTTGTCCTCTTGTATTCCTCCATTGCTTGAAGGTATATCTCCTTGTTCTTCTTTGACACCTGTTAAATATTGTACCTAACGTGATTCACTCTCAAGTTCAATAATGCGAATACAAGCATATGTATTATGGAAACAGACCTCTTCGTAGGGTGCTTTTTGTTCATCTGACAGCTTCTTCCACTCTTCTCCGGTCATCTTTGCGACCTATATCCACCATTCAACTTCATTCGTTAGCTTCAAAAATTAGCAAAAGTGGATCTTGAGAGCGACTTAAGTAATTAAGATTAGAATTTACCTCCACAACGTTCTTGTTCTCTCCGCGTAGAGCAGCTCTCCTCTCGTTAGCATAAACCAGGAAGGCAGAAATGGGATGTTTTGGCTTCAGAGGATCCTTCTGCTTCCTGCAAACGATAAAAAAACAAAAAAAAAACTGTAGTCAGATTACCATTGATGATCAATCAATTGATTTAGTCATTAGGAGCATTCTGGTTTTACTTGGTCTTCTTCTTGGTGTCTTGTTCAGCTTCCTGCACGAACTGGAGATACTGATCAAGTAAATCCATTGCAGTTTTCTGCTTCTGCTCATCATCCAGAAGCTTCATGGCCTCCTTCTCGCGCTTCTGTTTAGCAATGACCTGGAGGTAAGCTTCCTTCTCAACCTGGTACTTCTCCTCGTAAGGCTTCTTCTCTTCTGCACTAAGAGATTTCCATTTAGCACCCAGGATGTTCGAAGTCTCCTTGAAGCCAGCCTCAGGGTTTTGCTTCTTGACTTCATTCCATTGCTCCTTACACCACAGAATGTATGATGTCGACGGTCGTTTTGTCTCAGGACAATCCTTTTTCTTCTTCTTATTCAGCTTCTCTTGCTCAGCCTGTGTGAGAGATTGACCGCAAACGAAAGCCTGAAGGAGCAACACAAAACACTCTTGAATCAATAACAAACTAGTAGACACAGAATTGTGCCAAATGTATAGAAGATAATCAATTAATTCATCTCTCAGTCTACTGAAATTAACAAATCAGCTGTCCACAGTAGTTACACAAGGAGAACCAAGTTTGATACTAATCTCAAGCCTACGAAACTTCTATCAAAACCTCAAATGATCAACTGCGGAATCAGCATTTAAACAAATGTATTCCAACACAATCTAAAAACCTTCTAAAGCCAAAACTACATCTAGATTCGTAAATTCTGCAGAATCGAAATCTAATTACAAGTCATAATCTCATCACAAACACCAGCCAAATCGAGAACCAAATCTAGATCTAGAGATCGTACCATGCTAGGTTTGAATTCCTTCATCTTCTGAAGTTTCTTCAGCTCCACCTTAAGCTTTCCCTGCTCAGCATCTCTCGTCTCTAGCTCCTCCTCCTTCTTCCTGAGGATCTCGTCCTTCTCCTTAAGCAACTCCTCCGTCTTATCCTTCTCGATCTTCATTTTCTCCAACATCGCCTGCATCTCAATCAGATCTTTTTCGAACGACTTGGCTGATTTCTCCTTGGCAGAGACAGGCGACAACGGCGTCTCGACGATCTCATTCTTCTGCTTCAACGCCTTTCTGCTGTTCCTTGGCTTCTTCGTCGGAGCTGGATCTACGATACTCGCCATTTCTAAGTCGAGATTTAGCGAAGATATTTTCAAGATTTTCGAGACTGTGATTTATGTGGAGCCGCCTCTGCATATATCTCTGGGTTTATATAAAAACTAAAAAAGGAATACCCAACGGCCTAATAATTTCGAAATTCGAAACTTCTAATTTTGTGGATTTAATACTCATTTAGCGTGCAGTGACAGATTTGGTTGAACCTTCTTCTTGAATTTCGAATTTCCCTCTTTTTATATGGAAGATTTCCCGCTGACTAGACTTACTTTCTAGGGCTGGGCAAAATATCCGTTATATTTGCTTCGATCCGTTATCCGTCTCGATTCGATCCGAAAAATCCGGATATCCGTAATTTTATGGAGCAAAGCAAATACTAAAATTCAATATCCGTAAAAAACGGAGCAAATCACAAATACTAAAATAAATTAAGACGGATATCTGCTTCGCTCCGATATAAATATATATGTATATATAGATAGATAATAATTCATATAAAGTGTATAATTATTATATATAAATGTAATTTTTATGAGTTTTTTTTATAAATTTGATAATTATAAATATTAAGTAAAAAAATATATTTTTAAAGAAAATATTGTCATTTTTAGCTAAATTTTGATTTTTTAAAATTTTTTTTTAAATATATTATTATTTAAATATTTTTATGGGGCGGATCGAATATCCGACAAATATTCAAATTTTTAGCGGATATCCGGAAAACGGATATTCGGATAGTTACGGAGCGGATACGGATCAGAAACATGATTATCCGGACGGAGCGGAGCAGATCACAGATATCCTCAAAATCCAGGATATCCGCTCCGCGCCCAATCCTACTTTCTATAATATGAACACAAATCAAACCGGTTCAAACCGCTCTCTTATCAAATGATCTCATAATTTTGATCTGTGCTCATCGATCTCTTATAGCATCTTCAATGAGTTCCTCCATTTTTTTCTCCGAAATAGAGGAACTGCAAAATGGAGTTAGATTTTTTTCCAATGTATTCCTCTATTTCAACTCCAAAAATAATATTCTAAGTGTAATCCTTATTTTTATTTTATTGTTAATTACTAATAATACACTTTATTTATAAAAATTACAAATGAATTCATTTATTTTTTTCAAATGAAATTTCTATAAATTATATTATTATTTTAAATTCAACTATTATAATATATAAATAATACTACACACCATTTAAAATAATAAAACAAAGTACATTTTAATTTTATGTATTTCTTATGTATTTTTAATTTTATGTTATTTTTCAGTTAATCTTCTTATATTTTTTATTTTCTATTCTCAAATTTTAAATCTATTTATCTTTAATTTTTAAATTAAATATATATAATATAAATGATTAAATTATAAATAAAAAATATAGTTTTAAGAATTAATGAAAAGTAAAAGACTATCTTGTAAATAAAAAAGTTCACCTGCAAAATGGGGTTACTCCATATTTGGAGAAAAAAATAGCATTCCTCTATTTTGTAGATAAAAATGAAGTAGGGTTGGAGAAGAATTTTCTCCAAAATAGCATTTGGAAGAAAAAATGGGGTAGAGTTGGAGATACTCTTAGGACACTAGTCCATTTTTTCCTCAAAATGCCATTTTAGAGAAGATTATTCTTCAATCATATTCTATTTTCACCTCCAAAATGAGAAAATGTCATTTTTTCCTCCAAATATGGAGTAACCCCATTTTCAATTCCATTTTACAAGTGAACTTTTTTATTTACACAATAATGCTTCAATTTTCATTAATTCTTAAAACTACATTTTTAATTTATAATTAAAATTTTTATATTATATATATTTAATTTAAAATAAAAAATAAATAAATTTAAAATTTAAGAATAGAAAATAGAATATGATTAACTGAAACAAGAAATAACATAAAATTAAAATACATATAAAGTACTGAAATTAGAAATAACATAAAATAAATACAACAACTAATTAATAAAATCCGGTAAACTGCTTCTAGATCCACCAAGATCATTAAAATATTGTCCAAACAAATGTATCCGGTTCCAAAAAATTTCTTGCTCGATTCAAAGATATCAAATATAAAAACGCTCATTTCTCACTTCGAAATGCTTTAATTGATCATTGGTGAAAAAAGTATTCAAATGGTGATATTTAAATTAAAATGTACTTTGTTTTCTTATTTGAAATGGTGTGTAGTGTTATTTTTATATTATAATGCTTGAATTTACAATAATATTATAATTTATGAAAGTTTATACAGAAAAAATTAGATTTATTTGTAGTTTTTATAAATATAATACATTATTAGTAATTAACAATGAAGTAAAAAGGAAGAATATATTTAGAATATTTTTTTTGTAGTTGAAAATAGAGGAATCATTGGAGAGAAATCCAACTCCATTTTGGAATTCTCCCATTTTTGAGACAAAAATGGAGGAATATATTGGAGATGCTCCTTGTGATGGTACACCTCAACCGGTTTTTCAAGACTTCAACCTGGATAAACCGAAAGTAAATGAAAAACCAATTTAAAGAACTCAAGTTAAAACTGAAACAAAAGATTTTTTTTTTATTCAACTAGATCCATCAACTCTTAAATAAAATGTTGTGGTGGACCAAAATCATGCTAAGGAGGTAGACTGGTGGTACATGCTGCGGACCAATACCAAACTGTTTTAAACTCTTCGGTAAAATCAAATTAAGAGTTCAAACCAAATTTGTTTTTAAACGCAAAACTTGAGATATTTTATCCACTCAAAACTGTGGAAAAATTATATATATTTACATCAAAATATAAATCTAATATTGAAACGTTTTTTCAAAACTATCACAAAAGAAAAATCTTCACATAGTTTTAAATTCCTTTTCTCTCTATAGTTAGTTAGTTACCTTCTGCTTCAATCTCTTCGCACTGTCTTCTTTACTTTTTTTTTTTTGGTAAAAAACTGTCTTCTTTACTTATCCAACACTTCGTCCCACTCTCCAACTACTCATCCTTTTTTATGTAGATTGGTTTTGTTTTCCTGACTTATAAGCTTCTCCTGATCATGAAGATATATTTAAGATTTAGATTTCTTTTCGAACACACGATTTAGTGATGAACAAGAGTGGTTGTAATTATGAGAATGCAACGATTAAAATATAAAAGCATTTTGGATATCTATGTTTAGCAAGACTCTTAAATTTTCCAGTCGAATGCATTGAACACAGACAATATCTAGGTTTTCGATGCAGTGTTGGGAGTTTCAGAGGTCAAACACATGCATTGTTTCTTTGACTTTCTCTCGCTGACTCCAGACAGTAGCAATTGGTCTAATAATCTTGAGTCCTACAAGGAATATGTCACCCTCATGTCTGAACCAACAATCCTAGTAATTAAACTGGAAGTTCTAAATTTTATACGTTAGTGGTAGTTCTCGCTATATATATATATATATATATATATATCTGACTATAAATCTCCGACACCATGTTCTTGTACGGCAAGACATGGAAGTGTATGGTAAGCAAACTTAGCCTAACGCAGATTTGTAAGTGAAACAGCTTCCATCCTAAAACCTAGCTACTTGCAGATTAACAATGTATCTGTCTGTAATGATGCATTTGATCTTAGATATGATCATTACTTTCAAACAAACAGATTTCCATAAACAGTTAAACGGTATGTTTCATTTCAAGATTAAGGTTGAAATGCTTCATGCACGTTCTGAGCTTGGCCTGAGATAAATCTCTTTGTAACATACGATTTGGTCAAGTGGAGTACAATACTAAACCAGTTGACAAAAGAAATCAAAACCACTACAAAATAACGAGTACAAATGTGACCAAAAAGATGGAAAACCACTCAAATCAAATGAGTGGAAGTTTATATTTATAATTATTAGAATAATATTTCATGTCATTGTGGAAGTTTGTAATCTCCAATATCAGTTATTATTGAACTAATGTGGTTAACAGCATTTTCATTACACTTGCCTCTCAAAGTTTGCATGGCAGGCAGCGATTTATGAAATGTGGAGATAGCCTAATTGTAGGCTCCATCCAAACTCCCACAGGTCTGTGAACCCTGTTTTGGCGAATGATTGCATGCAATATTGGTTCTCACTGCAGTAGTCTTGTTCTGTTGTTCTTGGTGTTCTGTCGTTGGAGATATCGATTGATCTTCTTCCCCTTAGGGATTTCTGGGTCCTGCTCTTATTGATGCTCTGGGCCTCTTAAATTTGGGCTGGGCTCATTCATCCAAAATCATCTCTCATTCAAGATATCTTCTACGTCTTCGCCAGTTATCTCCCAATTAGTATAATTTGCAATGGAGTTTGGTTTTTCATGATTCAATTTAGTTTTTCGATTATGAGTTTGTAATTATTGTTGACTTGCTGTAACCTTAAGTAAGATGTTTTAAAAAAAAAAACATTAATAATTTTCCTTTTTTTTAAGTAATATGGAAACAAATGTTTGAAAATTAAAATCTAATAAACATGGAACTAAATTTAAGAAAAATAAATAATTACCAAAAGATATAAATATTTGTGTTGACTAAAAGAAATCGTAAAAGAAAACTTACGTCGATAAAACCTTTCACTCTTCATTTTTAGAACTCAAACTTGTAATTTTCAGAACGATGAATTTTCAGAAATCTGATTCCGATTACAACTGAACAACATAAAGAGTATATTAACCCTTTTTGATCAGTGTTGTTTGTGCTGACGCGGGCGATAATAACTTCGAGGTAATCAACTAATTTTTTAAAAATATTTTTTAGGTTGATTATATAGTTGAAGAAAATATTGTTCTAATAGTAAAGAGAAAAATTATACTTTTTATTTTATAAATTAGTTAAAAATCAATTGATTGTTTAATCGTTAGTTAGAACTCGCAAAATATATGAGATCTGATCTGAGATCCGATCAGATCAAGGCTAAAAATAAGATATTCAAAGGTTCATAAATCTGGATCTATGTATTTTGATTCAAAAATCAGCATATCTATATCTGCTTTATATATAATTTTATATATTTTTAATATGATTAGAATGAATATTATAAAATTAGTTTTGAAAGGTTTTACATGATATTTGTAGTTTATTTTTTCATTATGTATATGATTTTCATTGTAATTTATATTATTATTTTAAATTTTAGCTATTTTAGGCGGCTTTAGATTGGATTTACGTGAATCCATATAATATTTGAATATGTAGTGGTATTAGCAAATCGATTTGGATAGTTATTTTTAACTGAAATTTTATTTTAAAAATTGTTTTTTTTCTTTTGTCCCCAATATAAATTATTTTTTCTCAACACGATTTTTTTTAATACCACAACTGTTGAAAAACATTATAAAAATATTATGGAAAATTAATGTTTTACAAGAATGGTTTCGAAAAGCTTAGGAACCATTTTTAAAGGTTTTAAGAAATTTTCTGAAAAACAAATATGTGAAAAAAAAAATTGATAATGTATAATTAGAACGAGATTTAAGAATTTTATAAAATCTTGAAATGAGGGAATAATTTACTAAGTGAAATGAAATTTTAATGTTTTCATTTCACTTATAAAATACACTAACAAAATTACTTATTTTTAAATTCTTGAATTAGGCTCGATTCCCGTTGATTTGCTGCTGACTAACTTCAAACGACGATGGTTGTAATCACTGAAACTTCCGACGACGTTAATGGCGGCGATCGAGGTCCAAACAAGAACTCGCAACAACTCCAGAATAAACGGAAAAAAGTCGAGAAAAAGACTTCTTTCCACATTCCAGACGAAGTCACCGAAATAATCTTCGCATGGGTTAGGAGACGTGGTCACCCTGTTCTATCTCTCGTCTCCAAGGCCTTTGGTGGCCTCATCAATACTCCGAGATTCTACGACTTGCGCTTGCGCCTTGGCGCTACCGAACCCGTCCTTTACGCTTGCGTGGGACCCACTCCTTGGTTCAGAGGCCCTAAGTGGTGTATCCTAATTAAGAAACCCTACAGAAACTTGACGGACACGGTTTCTCTGCGGTTGCATGAAATCCCCTCACTCCCTCCCATGCCTTGGGGATCTGCTGTGGTCACAGTCGGGCACGAGATGTATGTGATCGGTGGATGCGTTGGCCTGACACGCACAAATGTTGTGTATGTCATCGACTGCAGATTCCACACGTGTCGTATTCTCTTCGGTATGCGAGTGGCTCGTTACCGTGCAGCGGCCGGAGTTTTCGACAGGAAGATATATGTGGTTGGAGGATGTGAGATGCGAGCTATGGATTGGGTGGAAATATACGATCTAAAGGGTAAGTTTTGGATTGGAAGCAGGTGGACAAATGGCATACCACTTAACGTGAGTTGCAAGTTTGTGACATACGCGGTTATGGAGAATAAAATATACATATTAGGTGACAGAATGTGTTATATTTACACTCCTGGAGGACAAGGAGGTTCATTGGAGTATGTGATGCCAGGAGAATTTATGAGTTTTTTGTGGCAAGAGTCGTCTTGTGTGATTGATGGTTTGTTGTATTCCATTAATCTTCCTCAAGGGGGGATTGATGCATCTCCAATAATCGTTTATGATCCAAAGCAGAAGACTTGGAGACCCTTGACTGGTTTACAAGGTTTTCCGGCTAATATCCATCTCCGCTCCTCTAAAATGGCGAATTTTGGTGGGAAGTTGGTGATTCTGGGAACCGATGAGTATTGGTATAATTGGAATAAAGGGAAAAGAGAGATTTGGTGCGTAGAGATCACTTTGGAAAGAAGTCATGGAGGTGAGGTTTCGGGGAAGGTCGAATCAGTAGCGGTTGTGCGTACAGTCCCAGAGTCATTGGCTTCAATTGATGTTTGTGGAACTGCTAATGTATGATGATCGTGCATTCTTACAGGTATATTATATATGCTTATGGTCATGGGTATGGACTTTTGATGATGAATTGTAGTTAGCTTCCAAAACATACTTGTCTTATCATTAACTTTCAGGATCTTTATGAAGCAAAGTGGCTAAGAAGGTGTTATCTGACACCGTAAAACCTAAAGCTGTGTTGAGTATGCTACTCTTTTAGCCGCCTTTATTTTAAAATAATAATAATTTTAAACAATAAAATAAAATCTTAAGAAACTTGTTGAACTGCATCTTTCTTTGGTTTGCTATGTTATTTCTATTTGCTTTTTGATATGTAATGCCTCTGATCACAATCAGATATAATAAAGCCCAATGTTACGGGTTATATACTCATATGAAACCTTGGTTTATAGAATTGCATTTTACTATTTTTTTTTTAAGGGAACAATACTCGTATGGTATGAGCTTTCGGTAGATTTCTTAAGCAGTAGGATATGCTATTCTTTTAGCTTATGTATAATTCATACGATACTTAGCTTGTTGTTGTTGTAACATTTTTTCCTTTTTTTTTTCTTTCCGATTCCAAAAGCAAACAGAAGAAGTGTAAAAATTAGTGAAGTCGCTGTGAAGAAAACTAGGATACATTACATAAATCCAGTAAAGGACAAGATGATTATTTTTTCACAACATTGTCTAAATGGGCTAGACAGTGATCGGTTCGGACTCCGGTTCACCAGCTGATCCCTTAAAAAGCAAAATGGTGAGGCTGCCAACAGAGAAATGGATGAAGCAGCCACTGCAATGAGTCACGAATGATCCGAAATGTGTCCCCGCAATACACTGCCACCCCAATCCGTATTTTCTATCAAATTCCTGAAACATATATATCAAAGAATTGGATTTTGTTATAACATTCAAATTCATATTTCATTTCATTATATATGTACACTATGTATAGGTAGAAATACAAGTCCAATCAAGAGTTATACGCTAATTAATAACACTTATTATATGGTTAACATAATAAGGACTGAGTTGTTCACCCCATTGTCAACAGATGAAACTGAACTGAGTTGTCGTTTGCAATTTCTCTCATACAACTCTCTCTCAAGTAGAAGCCTCAAGACTCCAACTCTTTACTGGTAAGTGTTCACCCCATTGTCAACAGATGAAACTGAACTGAGTTGTCGTTTGCAATTTTTTGTAAATTTTATTTTCGAAAAATGTATTTACTTTCTCAAAATAATAGAAAGAAAACAAGTAATTGGAAAGAAAAACAATCGTGGTGACAAAAAAATCAAAATTTTATGTTTACAAAATTTGTGCATGATTTTCTTGTTAGTTTTTAAAATTTTAAAATCAGTTTCAATTTCATCATTAATAAATATTTATGACACCACAAAAAATATCTTTTAAGTCCACCAGTAGAAGAGATAGTTTTTCATAATTGTCGAGAACTTGAAACGAACAAATTTTACTTAGAAGCAAGTCTTTTTATTTTCGTTTTTATTTAATTTCATTGCTCAAAATGATGTAGTTTTGATAATTAAAAAAAAAAATCAAAAGTAAATTTGTTGAAATTTGAACACACAATCACAACACGTATTAATATAAAACAATCATAAAAAATTATATCATTATATTAATACGTGTCGCAATTTAAATTAGCAAGAACACATATCACAATTTGGTGAATTACAATTTTACTTAGGTGTCAATACTTATTAAAAGATCCAGCTTTATTTAATAACAATATATATAAATATATAGTTTTGTATTTTTTGTTTGGGTTTATATCATGTGTTAGTAAATGTAATTTTCAACTATAAACATAGAATACACAGGGGGAAATGTATGACAATTTGCTTGAGTTGTACACTTCTTTTAAGAAATATTTACCTCTGACTAGACTTACCTTCGAACGTTTTTCTCTTTTATCATCAAGATTCCATAATATGAACACAAATCAAACCGGTTCAAACCGCTCTCTTATCAAATGATCTCTTAATTTTGAGGAAACCCCGGTTCACGAATATAATCTTTACACACAACCTCGTGTATTCTTGTTTTTTACAAACAGAACAAACATAAATAATGTTTTTACAGTGTATTTGCAAAATAAAATTTAACTCCTACCAAACCGGTCTCGCTTTCTCCACCGGCTAGCACCCAAGAACCAAATTTTGTCCGTATTAGTCTAATTATCACAGAGAACCGGTTTTCTATTCTTCCGGGTTCATGAATTGGCAATGAACCAATCACAATTTGTTCGTCCGGGTTCAGCCATTTACTATGGTCTCCAAAATAACATCATTCAAGTAATCAAACGGACCAGGCAAGCACCAATGCAGACAATCATTCTGTACCTTTGCATTTCTGTCTTTATCAAACGGCCTGAACTGTCGATACGCACCCGGATGCCCGTCGGGTCGGGTCAGCAACATCCCGGTGAAATCCAAAAGCTTTAGCCTTCCACCGTCTTGACCCGCCTTCTCTCTAACCGCTCTCTCGAACTGACCAATCTCAACATCTCTTAGTATCTTATGCACATTCTTCATCTCAACCTCCTCATCATCACTCACCGGCTCTGTTTGCTTACACGTCCCGCCGTTATGCCATTCTCCGTTCTGGAAATGATCCGGAGTCGAAGTCCGGAAAAAAACCGTGCCTTTACGGTTTGTTTCCTCTGCTATGAAGTCCATGACATTCCTCAGCGACGCGTTGTAAGCGTAGTCGAATCCTAACTCTTCCATGCGAGATTTCTCCGGACAGATATGGCAACCGACCGGTTTAGCGTTTTCGTGGTAAACCGCAGCTTTGAGATACCATTTACCCGTTGAGATAATCGCGTAGTCGAGGCTTGGCATTAGATTGGTCCATGTCTCGTCGAGTTTGTCAAGATGTAGCTGGACCGAAGCGGTTGAAACGCCATTTGCATCTTCGAAAATAGCGGCTTGAACTAGAAATGGCGACCAAATGTTGGATATAGTTAAGTTATGTAAAGGAAAATGCCATCTTTTTGATCTGTACTCCTTGTCGTGGTACACCTCAACCGGTTCTTCAACCTGGAGAGAGACCGAAAAACAAATGAAAAACCGGTTTAAAGAACTCAAGTTTTGAATTGAAACAAAGAGTTGTTAAGAAACTTTGTTTGTTTACCATATAGAGCATACAAAGCAGAGATTCAACGTGGTTACGGGAAATGGAGTCACCAATGAATGCCCAAGATTTGTTCCTCATAAGTTGAAGAAATGTTTGGGGATCAAAACGTGGTAGCAAACAGTCATGAGGCTTCCATTTCCAGTAGAGAAAGTCTAAGTCAGGCCTACCATTGGTGATGCAGTTTTGGTGACCATCAATGAGCATGCCGCATGAGTTGTTTGTGTAGATTGGTCCTACTGAATCTGGAATCCATTTGCCGACGAAGAGATTGCATTTCTCTATTTCGATATCTGATTCAAGAAACAGAAACCAAAGTCTGTTTTTTTAGCCTCGGTGTGAGATCAACTATGAATCAAAATGTAGCAACGGTAGATCAAGATCAATTTTTGTCAGAAACCAGTCTTTGAACATTGCAGCTAACTGAAAAAAAAATCATCACTCAATCAGAGAATTCTGAATCAGACATTTGGATAAACTATCAAAAACATGCCCCAAACAAGATGAAAATGTGAACATTGTGCAATTAAGATAGAGCCAAATGATACAAATCATCATTATAGTAAATATCAAATGAGGCAAGCATGATCCATGAATTATCTTTTTTATAAACTACAATCCCAAAAACCATTAAAAGAAGCTTCAGATCTTCAAGATCGAGAAACATCTTCCAAAAACCCCTATAGATCTCATAATTGTTGCTTATAAACAAGGTTTAGACACAATAACACAATGGATGATTCACATAGAAGTCTTTCTACTAGCTGATATTACCCTGAGGAATGAGATCTTCGTTTTCCGGCACGATAATCTTCGGCGGCAGAAACCGTGCTTCGAATTTTCCGGTGACCGACGCAAAGATTGGAGAAAAGTCGCTGGAGTGGAAACTGAAGATGTGGAGAGCGAGACCCGTTATCAGAATAAGAGAGACGAGCTTGATGAGAAACACATTCTTATGAATCATAGAGACTGAGATCAGCTTGAGCTTCTTCATCTGAAGATGATATGCAGAGTTAGTTGTTTATTGGTAAGTATATTATTCGACCGACCAAAGCTCTGGCCTTTTCTTTATTCTTTGTTATAAATCATTGCTACAAAAGAACCATATAGTTAAAAGAATGAAATAAAAACGTATTAATTTAGTATTATCTGATTATATCACGGTCCAACACACAAGACTGGAGTTATGACAGAATGTTTCGTAACAAGACTGGACTGGTCTATGTTTTTTACTTATATTTTTTTCTCAATTTTTGACGTGAAATTCCGAAGATAACACATAATTAGTAACCAGCACTAACACAGAAAATCAATAAACTTTGTCCCCTTAATTATGTAAAGTTGAAGGAGACAAATTAACATGGAAAGAGTAGAAAACAAGGAAAGACAAGAAGAGTTTAGCTCATTATTCATAAATAGTGTATCTAATGGGCTTGGGCCGCATGGTTTGTGGCAGAGAGTCAGAATGTTGATATATGAGTGAAGGACTGATGATTGACTGGTTGACTAAAACAAGTGTTAATTTTTGAAAACGAGTAATTAACTTAAAAAGTTATCATCTTCTGCATCGTTTCGCATTTCCCGCTCTCTATTTTCGTAAAGGCTCTTTCTTTTGATTTCTTCTCTCTAGGTTCGATTCGATATCATCTCCGCCGCGTAATCTCCATCGACCCAGCAATCTTTGGTAAGAGATCGACAAAATTTCATTCAGACTAAGATTTTTCTCGGGAAAATCTCTTTTTCTATGTTTCCTTTTGTTTTCAATTGGCATGTCGTCAAACTGGTAGGAATCCGTTCGGGAAAAGAGAGAAACTTGTGAATTATGTCCAACATTTTAGTTTTCTTTCATTGTTAGTTGTTTTTGGTGCTGAGCCAAATATTTGGGTTTTAGGGTTTCTAATCTTTAAAAAAGGTTTAGCAAGTAAAATTCCCAAGAAAATCTTTTGTGATTTGTGTTTTTATGCTATTTCAGGCTAAGAGTTAAGTGATTTAAAGAAAGAAATGTCTGGTGTTACAACAGCTCGTTCGAACAATTCGGAGAAGAAGAAGAACAAACCGTTGGAAAGTGTTCTACTTGCTGAACACGAGCTTTTGAAAGAGAAGTATGAGACTATGACGAGAGAGCACGAAACCTTAATCAAAACCCTCGAGCTTATAGAGAAAAAGCATGGATTCACTCTAGAGGATCTGGAGAAGAAGCAGAGAGAGTCAGTGGTGGCTAAGGAAGAGGTTGAAAAGTGGGTGAAGATATTTGGCCAACTTCAGAAGAAGCTTGAGAAGGTCGAAAAGGATATCGAAGACATGAAGTCCTTTGATGAAACCGAGATGAACGGTGTGGATTCAGGTAATGCAGCACCTGCAGAGAATCTCAATGTGAACCGCAAGACTGTATCAATTGGGGGTAAGTGTGTGTGTTATCTGTGTTATGTGGTGGTGTTTAGCTTTAGAGTTTAGACTAACTAAACATATTCTATGGTTAAAATCTCTATGCAGGTGTGATAGAGATCAGTGATGACGATGAAGAAAACCAAAGTGGAAGCAATAGAGGACACTCTAACAAAGAGTATTACTTTACTCTGTGATCAAGACCTGAAATCAAGTGTAGTAGATGGTGAAGCAGAGAGTCAAATGTGGTGAAACTGGAAGTTAGTAATCTTTGGAGTTAGTTAGTTCTTGCTGTATGTCTTTGAATCTCCGGTGTATTGATTTCGTTTTTTGGCTCGGAGTTGGGAAGTTAACATGGAAGTTTGTATGGTAAGTGAATTTAGTCTGGAACAATGTTTGTAAGAGAGGCAGGTTTCCATCATAAATCTACTTTCAGAGTGTTTTTTAAACAGTTAAAAGAAGAGATCAGTAGCTTCTTTATGCTAAGTGTGTTAGCGACAGAGAATCAAAGATAGACAGAATAAGATGATATGTTTTCAAATTTATAACTTTTTTCTTATCATTCCTCTATAGCGCCTGCAATATTCCGAGGCAGAGGCGTTACATTAAATCAATTTTGTGATTACAACTCAAAAGATACAAAACAATTGGAGCAAAGAACTTTATGAAGGTCTCGTCGTAGCTAAAGCAGCTCCCTCAGAGTCATGGTCTTGACTCGGTATCACGAACTTCTTTACTTTCTGTGACATTCATATAAGGACAAAACGTTAATTTTAAGCAGAAAAAAATTCGTTGGTTTTTTGCACTTAAGGACCCATGTTTGAAATCGAACTTGAAATTTTAAACCCATCAGGAAACAATAAGGACAAAAGCTTTGATCAAGACTAAGAACAAGAGTGAAAACAAACACTGTCCCCTACTAAAATACATTGTTAGATGATATTCAGCCTCATCATTCTCTAATCGCTTCCTCAAGAAAATCTTTAATTTCTCAAGGATCATCATTGCATTTCTCGAGAGTAAGGGTATTATAAGCTCAAACATCGTGTCTATGATGAGAGTCCATGGCAATCACTCAGAAACTGTAATTACTGAATCATATAGCTGAAAAACAAACACAAATTAAACTAATATATCTTCCCTAACTGTAAAAAAAGCTATAATAACCAAGAATTCCAAGATGAAATTCAGATATTTGCATTTACAACACGTATGTCTCCAGTTTCAGAGCTCCAAATTCTCCACCAGTAACTTTGCGTTTACATATGTTTTATGGGAAAAAAGAATGTGCTAATCTCTCAAGAAAATTTATATAAGAGAGATCAATAATCACCAAGAACAACGTCAAATCCGTCCTAAAGCATAAGTGACCATAAGGATTCGAGATACTTGATCGATCGACGACGATTGGAACTTTAAAGTATCAATCCAAAGTAAAGCGTTCCAAAAGAAACTAAGATTCGATTGAGATGATTATCTAAAGATTGCCAACCACTAAAAAAAAAAGAGACTAAATTGTAAAACTGAATCGCGGGATCACTCATGAGAGCAAAGAAAAAAAAAACCTTTGAGAGAACGCATTCTCTGAGAGATTGCAAGAGACGGAGGCATTTCTCTTGATCGAATGGAGATTCCGTCACGCAATTGAGAAGAAGGAGAGCCTCTTGGCCGCAAACTGGTTGTGGAATCTGTTTCTCCATGGAAAGGATAAATCCTAAAGAGAGGGTTTTTGCCGAGAGAGAGAGAGAGAGAGAGAGAAAGAAATGTTTCCGGCGAGACGGCTCAACGACGACCACGGGGCGGTGACACAAAAAGTCAAAAGGAACAAAATCATTAATGGGCCACCAAAAGCCCAGCTAAGCTACTCAACAAATACCCGTTATCCGTGAAATAAGTACTTGATTTTTCGGCTCAAGGAGAAGCCGAAGCTCATATCTATCCTTTCACTGACAAGTGACAACAGTTTGAGCTTTCATTATAAGTCCAACGTCAAAATTTGCTTCTTTTTTTCTGCTCAAGTAGTAGACTAAATAAATAATTGGGCTTTTGATTTCTTAGGCTTACAGTTACAGTTTTATGCTTAGGTCGAGCCTAGTAACTCACGGGTCGGTTGATTTTTAGCGGGTACTTGATCGTATTTGTCCAATATATGGGCTAAAATTTCAACTACCCATGCACAACGAATCGATTCTCCTCTTTTGATTCTCTCACTGGAACTTGATGAATCTTTTTCCTTATTCCCATTTGAATCAGGTGTATAAATCTTTTTACATCTGAATTAGGTTTACATATCCGAGTCTGGCCTAAAGCTCAACAAACTAATTCTTGAGACAACATGATCCATTATCATTTTAAGAGACATTATTTTGTAAAATAGTTTTGGTTTCAAAAAGTATTATATCATGTCATCGTGTGCAGCTGAAACCTCATTCATTAGATTCTTGAACAGAATCCTGGTTTAAATTGGGTTCAAAAGAACCAAATTAAATAATATTTGCCGTTGGTTTTGGAAACTACTCTTAAGATCTAGCAAGACAATAATTGGTTTCATTTTCCACCATTCCACAAAAGCTTATCCAAGGGCCCCAACAGGATTCTGATCACCAAGTGTTGTAGTATCATAATAATTTAAAAGTTATTTATACAAACTTTTCGTAATAACATTAAGTTTTATCGAAACACGGGTAATAGCTAGATGATCACCGCGCAATTCATATAACACTCGGGGATATTTGTGAGCCATCAATAAAATGAGGAAACTAGTAACGGTATGATACCTATAGTACAAACATTCAAACTCAAATTAGATTGTTGCATTATGGTTAGGGAATTAAGAAGAGAAAAGTGAGATCACATAACCGAAAAAGTAGTTGGAAGGTTAGTTCAGTAAATCATAAGGGAGAAGCAGAGCAAACATGTTAAGTGCATGGGAATAGCACGAGTATGGTACGTGAAATATGAAATAAAAGACACATCATTTAATTGATTTGTTGGTCTTTCTCTTTAATGTTATTTATTAATGTGTCTCTGCCACTTTTCATGAGACACTGTCTCACTCACCTTCTATTCCACATGTCTTTTCTTACCAAGTTACTATATGCATTCTAAAATGTTTACGCATCTAGTTTGTAGTTTTGTACCGTTTATACACAAATGTAGACCGTGTACATGTACAGACATATCATTATATCGTACGTGAATGTCGGTGTGCCAAAGCTAATTACATATATCATATATGTTTCATGTTTGTAGTATATCATGGCCGGTTTTGCGAAGGTTGTGAAAAATATTTTGAAAAGTAAATTCTAACAAAAGTCTGTAACATAAATAATACATTTTCTTTAAGATTTTTTCTAGACTACTTTTTGTAATCCTTATATATATGTGAAACTTGTACAGGCTAATATACGCATGGCATATGATGTAACAATCGATCTTTGGTTCTTTTCTTGGAACGAGAAAACTTAATATTTCAACCAAATTGGACTGGTTAACAGTATCATCCATCGGTACGTAAATGCCAAGTGTACAAAAATTTTAGTGTTATATTTTTCACTTTTTTTTCAGTTTTCCCTTGGATAAGATATACTCGCATATACTGTTAAACTAGTATTATGTTATTCAAATAAATGAAAATACATAAAAATTAATCGCATGTACATCTCTTCCTATATTTAGTTACGATCACTATCTCAAGGCTTTTTGGATAGAATTGTAGATTAGTGAAAATGGACGTGAAAGACAGATAATGGCTGATGAAAGTCAAATGTGAAAGAAGACGTCCTCTATACGGATAAGTCAACTGAGAATTACCAGCAAGAAGTCATATTTGCGTTGAAAGTTTGAGACAATATATGTTCTTTTGACCAAGACAGTCCTGGACCGGTACAGAGATAAAAAGAATCTTGGGTTTTTCCGGTTCAGAATGGTTTGGTGATTACTTTTCAGATCTAAGTATGCAACCTACACCTGGTTCAGTTTCAGCCATTCCACAAAGCTTATCGAAGGGCCCAACAGGTTTTACGCCCACCAAATGGACGGTCCAGATTCGCTGGACCACGGGATCCAAAGCCGTACATTTTCATATCTGAGACGCGTCATCATAATGGGTCCCATACTTGGTCGTTAATTCTCAGTGTAAAGACCGTTAGATCATGTCATGACGTGAACGGCGAGGATTGCTTTTTTCATGGGGTTCCAATTCTAGTTTTTGAATAATACTAACCAATATTGGAATTAAGTTTTGAATGCATCATAAAGATTTATCATGATATTCTATAGTTAGTATAATTAGAAAATCACAGAGAAGATCTCATGAAAGGTCCCCAATTATCTTTTGGAATAAATCTTATAAGAGCTCTGGAATTTTGTGACAAACCAAATCTTTGCATGAGGGGACACCACAAACAAATGCACATATATATATATATATATATATGCATAATGTGTGATTGTTATATGCAGCCTGTGTATATGCATGCATATATATCCCTGGCCCATAAGGCCATAACAATCTTCAATCCTTACGAATTTAGGGAGGGGCACTGGAAAGTCATGTGATTTTACTAGTTTTATTTTTGAATTACGAAATATATAAGAATGAAACAACCTCTTAATGAAATTGGGAGTATTTGAATCCATACAAGACTGCATTATCTATTGAGTGATAAAACTTTTATACGCTTGATTAATTCTTATATAACCAAAGCATTAGGAAATATCTTTCTCTATATTTATAATGTAAAAACCGAATCTGTTAATTACGTTAATGTCTTTATCTTCATCACCTTTGGATTACTTATAGAGTTATAGTATATATAGTTATGACAATAAAATGCGAGTTTAGATTATACTGTAGAATGGAACATTGATGGGTACGCATGAAAAATCACGCAACTCACATGAACATTTTCGGAAGAGGGACCCAACTATTTAATACTTCATATTTTTCGTATCTTCAGATTACAATAGTATGCATCTATTTTCTAAATTCTCTTATTACCGTACGTCTTTTAATTTTATATGTAATAAATGTATGAAGCGAACCCAAATCTAAAAAAAAAAGTAAAATATTTGAAGCGTTTTAATACCATTTTCCTTAGTATATCTTAAACTCGAAAATCAGCAACTTGCATGGTTATTTCTGAGATTGTCGGAAATATTTAATTTCTTATGGAATTTGTTCACATTTTATATACAATTTTTTTTTAAATAACGCCTGCGAAATGTAGGCTCTGAACCTGTCTTACGGGCAGAAGAAAAAAGGATATTTAGCGATAGCGACACAACTTTGCTCTTTCTCGAGTAGTTGCGGCTCTAGCCTACGTTCTTTGCTCTGCACCTCTGTATTTTCACTCTTTTTAATCTTAGTTTTGAGATTTCATTTCAAATTTTGATTTATCAATTATATAGGCTGGCCCAATAAATTCAGACTAATTTTTCTGATTGAAGATGTCAGAACTCCTAACAAAACATTCGAACAAAAGTCTAAAGATATACGAATGTTTCATATCATTCAGAAACTTAAGGTCCAAACAAAGATTTATGCAAATTAGACACGATTAACATTCGTCTAGGTACAACTCCGATTATTGTTCCCTAGGATATATAGATAAGAAAAAGACGTTAACTCCACTGAAAATACAGATCTCAAATAAATAAAGAATGCAATTTAAAAACAAAAAACAAAAAAAAAACAGACAAATTAAGCAAACCAAGCAGCAATGCATTACAGAAAGTGAACCAACTCAATAATTCTTCAAGAATTACGCCAATAGAAGATTCTAATTCTTTTTTCTTTTTTTTTGAGAACAGAAGATTTTTATTTCAACAAGCTCCATCAACTTTTAATTAAAATGTTGTGGTGGACCAAAATCATGCTAAGCTGATCAGATATTTTGAAGTAGACTGGTTGAACATGCCGCAGACCAAGACAAAATTGGTTTAAACTCTTTGGTTTTCTTTCCAAATGATAGTTCTTCTTGGGATCCAATGAAGTGAAGACCGGATTAGACCTAATTAAGGCTGGACTTAACATGGGACAAGTTAGCGGTTATTCCATTGCAAAATTCTTATTCTTGAATTACAATGAAGCAATATATATGAACAAAAAAGCGAATTGGAGACAAGTGCAATAGAAAGGAGATGAGACTGAGAAAGTAAAATTCAACCATATTTCACAATTGAGGTCCTGAAGGTTTTGATTGTTTCAACTTTCAAACACAATTTTTTTCTTTTTTGGCTATGAGTGATAATATCATATCATTTAGACTGAAATGTAAAAGTATTAGAAAGATGTTAACCTACTATTATGCTTCCTTAAGAAATAACATAAAAACAAGAAAAGCATTACACAATAAATTATAATTCACATAAATTTATCAGATCAAAAGCGACATTAAATTGCCAAAATGTTGGACAGGTTATCGGTTATTCCATTACAGAATTCTTATTCTTGAATTACAATGAAGCTATATATGAACAAAAAAAGCGAATTGGAAACAAGTGCAATAGCTGTTCAAAACAAAACAAAAAAGGAGACAAGTGCAGTAGAAAGGAGATGAGACTGAGAGATTAAAACTCAACTATATTTCACAATTGAGGTCCTTAAGGTTTTGATTGTTTCAACTTTCAAACACAATTTTTTTTTCTTTTTGGCTATGAGTGATAATATCATATCATTTAGAATGAAATGTAAAAGTATTAGAAAGATGTTAACCAACTATTATGCTTCCTTAAGGAAAAAAAAGAGCATTACACAGTAAATTATAATTCACATAAATTTATCGGATCAAAAGCGAAATTAAATTGCCAAATGTTGGATACGTCATGCTCTCTTTGCATTGTAAATTCAAACGCAACTTTGGCCTTTGCCGTTATAAGAATCAGTTGTTTTTTTTTTTGTTTTTTGTAATTTTGAAACTATATTTCATATATTTGTCTCGTAAATTCAGAGCATGGAAAAATGAATATCCATTTAATTAGTAGTAACAACTTCTCATCTTGTTGAAACTATAATAGTGTTGATTGTAGCCTTGATCAAATCAACAACGGCTTTGCTTACACCAATTCCCATCCAATCAACATCTCAATGCAAAATTTAGTTGCTGATATTAACTCTCTGTTATTTTATTTCTTTTTAAAACCATTTGCTTAAACTGTTAAACAAATTGGCTTGGTATAAATTTCATCTGATCTTTGCGTGGATAACAATACAACTCGTACGTTGATAAAACTGTTAACAGAGTGCGATTGAAGCGTCTAGACCAGCAACTACCCCAACTGCTTCTCTCATTTAAAACTCATGAGATTTTTTAGTCTTGTTTTGTTTTTTTTTTTCTTTTTCTTGCAATAAACTGCCAAAACATAGCATCTATGATGTGCCACACATTTCAAATCAACTTAGATTCTCCCTTCCCTCGTATCTAGTCTCAGTCTACCTGGCATATCACACTATTTTGACTCTATAAAATTATTTTAGTTTAGCTTGTAACCGTGTAGAATTAAATTATTATTGGCCTTTCTGATTTCTTTTTGTTTTTTTAAATGGTGGTGATTAGCCATTTAGCCTTAAGAAACAAAATTTTAACTAAGCTTTTCAATTGTTTGTTCCCATCGCGAAAGATTCACACGTGCCTCACTAACAACAACAAAAAGCGAATTTTAATATAAAAAAGCTAAATTTGTAGGAATTTTGCAGTCGACAAAATAAAAAAGGATAAAGAGAGCCAGAGCACGTGGAGCAAAGAAACTCGACCTCCATTACGGTTAACAGACGGACTTCTAACTTAAAAACGTTAATAAATGATTAATATTACCATAAACACCTGCATTAATACAATTTGATTTATATAGCTAATTTCATAAAGAAAAAAAAAAACGAACATCACGGAGATAATCTCCCCGGTACAAAACTTCGCCACCGTTTTAGTAACTGCCGGCAAACTATTTATTTATTTATTTAAACAGCTAAAAGAGGATCCGACGACCCGAATAGATCCCCAATATCTTGAAAATGGTCTTCCACATGCCAGTTGGATAATCCGGATCCGAAATCAAACCCGAAGTTCATATCCGTACACGTATCCGTGAATACATCTTCTCCGAATAAGTCGCCGCCGAGATAGTCGGGAACCACCGAGCTCCGGAAATCGAACAAATCCTCGTCTGTGAACAACGGCGCCGAGAAATCGGAGAACGTCTCCGATACTGCCGTTATCGGCGTCGTAGAGGGCTCTTCTTCCTTGACGACGGTAGATGAAGAAGTGCCGGAGAATTCATCGACGGCGAACGGAGATCGGAGAACAGACACCGGAGAGCAGACGCAGTCGCTGCTGCTTCCGCTGATGGAGGAAGAAGCGACGTCGTCTTTGATTTTGTTCTTCTTCTTAACCGGCGATGGTGGCGGTGATTTTTCCTCCGTCGTCGGAGTAACGGAGAAATTGGTGAGAGCGTCGGGGCCACGAAGCTGAATCGCGGCGTTGTCGTAAACCATGGCGGCTTCTTCCGCCGTGTTGAAAGTTCCAAGCCAGACGCGTACACGTCTAAGCGGATCTCTTATCTCCGCCGCCCATTTTCCCCATGGTCGCTGTCTTACTCCCCGGAATTTCTTCTCCGTCGTCGTCGTCGCCGCCGACGCAGCAACAGGAGTCTCTGATTTCACGGTAACAGCTCTCTTCCGTCTCTTCTTGGATTCGATTTGATTGTAACCAGTATCGAGAACCACTTCGTTTACGAACTTCTTGATACGACGGCGTTTAGAGGCGAATCGTTGGTGTTCTTCTTCTTCGTCGTCGCTGGAGGAATCGGTTGCGTCTGGGTCGGTGACGGAGATACGCAGAATCCTTGGTTGTTGGTGGAAATCGGGTACGATTCTCGTCGTGTTGGTTTTGTGCTCTGTGAATTTGATTCTCGGGAGAATGATTTTCTTCTCCGTTTCCATTTCCTTATTGCTCTCTCTCTCTCACTGTTGTTTAGACTGTGACTATGTATGTGTGTGTGTGGTTATATCAGAGAGACTGTGAAAGCAATTGAAAGCAAAAAGAAGAAAAGGAAAGAGACAAAGAATAAAGAAGAAGAAACTTGAACAACAAGAGAAAAAAGAGTGATGCTCCTCTGCAAAAAAGTTTTATCAAAGGACGAGAGATTTTTTTTTTATAGAAAGCTACAAAGGAAAGCTGCAAGAGGGAAACCTTGGTAATACAAGGAGAGAAGAGGAGGAGGAGGAGGGAAAGCGAAGATTTTCCAGGAAAGTTGAAGAAAGGGGAAAACAAAAAGTAAAGAGCTTTTTGTTATATTCTTATGGAATCATCAAAAAAAACGCACCGGCTGGTTATCGAGAGATAAGAGAGAAAAAAAAAAGAAACTAAAGAGGAAGATGCTCCTTTTTGGGCAGAAGTCTTTAAGCTTGGTTTTTCTAGGAAATATTCCTGGAGAAATTTAGTGTGCAGAGGAAAGAAAATGTTTTTGCAGAGTGTGAGAAAGAGTGACACGAGGAAGAAGAAGGAGATTTAAAAGCGGCAGAGCACATGTAAGTAGAGAGAGAGAATGAGACTATTTTATAGGATCTTGAAACGGCTGATATAGTGTTTACTCCGGGTCTTTTTTGCTATTTACATTTCTTTTTCTTTTTTGGATTTTGGAATATCGTTAAAAAAGTTTTCACTAATTTATCGCACCAAGATATTTCTTTTTTATATTTGAAATGATAATATGCATTTTATTGCACTTTGTTTAACTGTCTTATGGATCTATATAATAACCTTTTTTGGTTTTTAATGTTTTATACATAATGCAAAAGAAATATAGTAATGTTTTTTTATTGTCGTCGATGATTTTCTTTTAATGTATTACAAGAAATTGAAAAACGTAAAATTTGTGTTACAAAAAAATGACAATTGTCAAAATCATGCTTGTTAAAAACAAAGTACATTTAATAGAAATTAAGATAGAGAGAAAGCATACTCGACAATTGTCGAAAGTAAATAATTAAAACTTTGTAACGCAAATGACAATCATGACATACTGTTAGAAAAGGAAATATTTTTTTTACCTGTTGTTTTAATGTCCATCAAATTAAATAGAAATATGTTAGGTTTATAAATATTTTTTATATTCAGTAGTCGCTAATTAAACGGTGTATATTTAAATAAAAAAATTAGAGGTAAACTATATAAATTTGATCCGACAAAGCAGCAGCAAAAATGTAAAAAGGACATTTTTATATAAAAAATGAAACCGACATTTAAATTGGTATTCTTCTTGAAACGAAAGAAGTATTTCTATCAAAGTTAAATGGCGAGCAATAAACAAATCAAATAAAATGAAAAAAAATCTTAGATTTTTGATTGATATTTTCAAAAAACGAATTTGACAAAATTATCGCCGGAGAAAAAGAGCGCGACAATACCAGAATGCCGCATAAAGTCAAATAAGTGAGATATCGACACGTGTCATTACAAAATTGGGTCCAATCCAACGGCTGGGACGTGCCTTTCCATGGCAGCTGACAAAGAGAAAAAAACATGTATTAGTATCTTAATAGATTAATTATAACTATTCCCTTTTAAAAATTGTTCTCGTAATTGGAGATTCAGGTCACGTGATACCGGAGACACGGTCCAGTCCTACTTTTGACCAGAACAATTAACAATAATTAAGGGCAGGTGATTAAAGTCTTTAGTCTAAAACCCCCGTACGAAGCTCTGTTCTCATATTTACCACAGTGGCGTTTTCGTCATTTACACTGAGCAAGTGGCCGGTAAAAATCAAAAGACCGTTACGGCTCGTAGTTCTTTACTGTTCTAACCTTTATCAGTCTCTGTTATTACAGCTGGTGGCTAACGTGGCAGACAACAACCTAGGACGTTGCGCCAAAAAAATACACAGTAAATTTTGGAGTCATTGTATTAGTTCTTAATTCTGATTTAAACTCTTATTTTTTTCACTCAAAATTTTTTAGTTTAACAAAGTGCCTTTGATTCACTGGCTAAAGTGGTTTAAAAGCTACGACTTGGGATTTTTTCTTGTTTAGACGAGCATATTTGGCATTCTTTGAGAGGCAAGTTAAGTATATCAGAATATGAAAGATACTACTTTGTCTACAGTAAACAAAGTTTGAACCACTTTGACCAGTGGTCAAGTTCAACTATGCACCATTGACTTCCTATCTAACTTAGGTTAGGTACCAATCCTAATTAAAATGTTTTTTTTAATGCGATCGGGTAGCACTTTTATTCGCTAACTAGGTGAATACCCGCACGGATTTTTCTTTTCAAAATTTTCGATTTTTTTATTATATTTTTATAAAAATTAATATAATCATCACTTATTATTTACTTACTTGTTAATATTTTATTCTAAAATTTTTTAAAATATTAATTTAAAATATATATTGAATATTATTTAATAATCTAAAATTATATTTAAATTAATACATATCATTCAATATTTTTAATTAGTTATATCATAAATTTTTGTTTGATATTTACACAAATATTAATTAATAGTCAATTAATAAAAAAAATTAAAATTAATATAATCATCATTTTATTTGTTACTTGTTATTATTTTATTATAAATAATCTTAAAAATTAATTTTAACATCTTGAATATTATTAAATAATCATCAGTTATATAAAAATTATATATATATATATATATATCTATCAATATTTTTAATTAGTTATAACATAAATTTTTGTATATTAATATAAATGTTAGTTAATATAATCTTTTCATATTCTTTAAGTGCTTATATAAATGTTAGTTAATACAAATTTTTCATATTCTTTAAATGCTTTAAAATTTAATATTAAAATTTATTATTTAAAATTTAGTTGACAGGTGTCAACTTCTCCAATGCTGATGTGTTAAGCATATAGAAAGAAAGTTGATTGTCTTTTATATATAAGATTAGGTTTATTCCAGAATACATCCATTTCATTTTAAAGGTGAATTAATTTTGTGACCAAAAAATTATAGATTATCCACATCACCTAAAATAGTAAAAGTGTAAATTGAATGATTTTTTTTCTAAAAGAAATTACACACATGCATGGTTTTTGTGGTGATTGACTTTTTATAGCACAATGTGTCTGTAAGTAATAATAGCTTCTACGAATTATAAGAGTTTATCAATTTATTTTTGTTTTCACATACAGCTAGTTAATTATTAAAAAGATATAGAAACGTATTATTATATTACCATAAGTATATAGGATATTGGAAGCCCATGCTATATTGCCAATGAAAGCAGCAATTTTGCATTGCAGGGTATGTGAACCATGAACCCGTTTGTTGGTCTTGTCTTTCCCTTAATTTTTTATATGCCTCCTCTATGCTACGCAGTTTCTGTCCAACTTCTATGCTACATTTACATTTACAGTTTCTGTCCAGCTATCCAAGTTACATTTATAAATATATTAATATATTATCAACGTTTTGCAAATTCATCACATATTTTTTCACTTGTTGACACGCATGCAAATATATCTATTTATAAATTTGTATTTTATAGAACGTACATATATAGCAAAAAATATACATTCTTTCTTTCTAATATTGTATGTTATCTTTTTAATAAGTGTGCGATTTTAATTAAGTATCATTTCATATAAAGTGGAGAAATATATAGCTGTGATAAATGTGGTAGTCAATTCTCAGAGTAAAAAAAGGAAAATATCCCAGAGTATACATTTTATAATGAGTAAGAAAAACGTACGTGAGTATGTTATTGTATATCACTACACCAGTCAAATTACGCATCAAACCCGTAGACGAGCAAATTAACTTCAATCCATGTAATCAAGCCATGTAATCCATTCAGCAATCCAACAGTAATTTCGTATCCTATATTGATTAAATTAATTAAAGGGTTCCATTAAACAAAGGGTTCCGTTAAACAAAGGGGAAAAACAATTTGTACGTGTAGGTAGGTGATTAGCAAAGGCCAAGACAAATAAGTTCTCACTTCTCAACAAATCAAACTTTGTTTCTGGAAATGTATTAATATAATAGAATGCAATAAAATCGAGATAATGAAAAATGCGTTGGTCCACGAAATAATAATGATTACACAATCATAGTTCTTGTGAGTTGTGACAACGATAAGTTTAAGGGAAATTCGATCTCAATCCTCACAATGATATTGGGCACAGTTTTTACGTGATACGCGAAAGGTTTTTTTCGTTTTCCTACTGGCCAATAAAATAGTGTTAGACCACTTTGTTTCGGATTCTACATTTTTAATTTTAAGCCTCGTCTGAATATAGCCATATAGCGGATAATTTAACCAAACCGAAGTTGAGTTTTGTTATACTATTCTGAAGACTTTTACTTTACCGATTTAATATTTTTCGTAACTAATGTACTACAAAACAACACAAGTAGAGCTCTCCTTTTTTTTCTTCCTTTTTCTTTGTAAACGTCTCAATACATAATTTGTTCTACTACAAGTGAAGCTTTGTTTCAATACATATTCTCATAGGTTGATCTAATATATGCAACCAGCTTAAATCGCAACAAAAAAATTTAACCGATTGATATTTAAATCTAGATTTTTTTATAAAAAAAAATCTAAATTAATAACATTACTATTATCATAGTTTTTAAGGAAAAGAAAACTATTGAATCTAGCTGTCTGATCGGTTGAACAAGATTAAATTATAACAAAACAATCTAACCGGTTCTTTATGTTTTAAAGGATATTTGATTTTTGATAAATGTTTTTAACGAGATTCATATTTTTGTGTGCTTTTAAAAATTATGAATAATTATTCCAGCTTTGCTGATCATTGATCAATAAAGTGATATAATATACGTATTTGTTAGTGTACTAGATAAGGTAAGTATTGAAACGTGTATTACATGTAGACTGATGAAGTTGTACGAGCTGAGAGTTATTTGGTCATGGCCATAAGAGGTATTGAACAGAAGAGGGACGTTGCTTTGAAGCCAAAAAAATAACCGAGACCGTACGGATATTTTGTCCAAGAATACAAGAACACTCGGCTGACCGACGATGGTACATTCAGGCCCATTGTGGGACCCAATTTTATCTCCGTTACTCCCCTAACGGCGCCGTTCTCTCTTTTCGAGGCCTTCCTTCTGTTCGGTCCACTTGGTCACTTCCTTCCGTCATGTGACGGCTGACGTCCTCTTCTCAGTTTCCTTTTTTTTTCTTTTTACTTTATTTTTTACAGGACCATAAAATTAATAAAATTAAAAACCCATAAGCTTTGACAGAGGATCGTGTCAAAAAAAAAAAAAAACATATATATATCTTTGACAGAGGAAAAATTGATAACTAAAATAAAGAAAAATTTAGTTTCTCAACAAAAATTATTTGTTTAAAGAGAACGACGTTATTCTTGGGGAATAGAAGGTTACGGTGATTAATGGGCAATAAACATGGTTGTCTTGTGGAGCTGTTATCATGTATTTTCTCAGTTTTGAAACAAGTTAGTCTCTACTTAAAACTAGCATTCAACATAATATTTACTTCATTCTAAAAAAAAAACCTTATTTCCTCCGTTTCATAAACAGTGTCATTCTGACATTTTTCACACATATTAAGAAAATAATTAAAAGTACAGTTTTATCCTTTATTAATACATTAAATAACTTGTTTTTATCTAATAAATATATTAAATTAATAGGGTTAAAACTGGAATATTGTTTAAAATTTTGCATTGAAAATATAAAACGACACTCTTTGTGAAACAAAAATAAAATTTTAAAACGACACTCTTTGTGAAACGGAGGGAGTATTACTTACTATGACTGCATTAACTTTAGATGAAATTTTATATCCACAGATTTTAATTAAGTGTATACATTGATATGGAAAAGAACTGAAAGATGATGATTAAAGTCAAAAGAGTTCGGCATTACCCAAAAATGAAAATAAATACTCAATTTTCAATAATGACCCAATTTGAAGGTACATTATGTACCTCTGGAAAGTGCTTAAAATACGATGGTCAGGAACACATTAAGGTTAACGTTAGCTGAACTTGGGAATTATTCGAGAAAAGGAGAACTTAAAGAGGGAATATATAATCATAAATATATATATATATATATATAATCATCGTTCTTCAATTTTTCTAGTTTACTGACTTAGGTTAGGTTGATATCCCAATTTCTTGATATAAAAAAATACATGACTTTCCGATAGCAAAGTGAACTATCAATATTTATAGCCTAGAAAAGTGTCTCGATCGTATATATAGGCATAATAAAGTGAAAATAATTTACCAATAGCGAAAAATGGCGATTCCTTTTTTTTTACTCATTTTTCCATGAAATAGTCTTTTTAAATTATCAAATGACCTAATAAATTATTGCTTAAGGCTAAACATCAAAAATAAACCTTAAAATCTTGAATGAATCCAAAATCATAGGATTATTAATTATTATTTTCGATATAACAAATGATATAGTGCATCTCTCAATCAGACAATACTAGACCCTAAGCAAGACGAGCTTAGGGTAAAACACAATATTAGAGGAACGATGGAAACAAGTGATGTAATTATTAATGATTACTTGATCATTTTTAATTTAAGTTAGGTTGTCGGTCCCTCATAATATATTAAAGCACCTAATCTGTGACGACGCAAAAGTGTTACACTTTCTTTTTATTACCACGTTAAACGATTATGCAATACTTTAATTGGGATAATCAAAGAATTGATATCGACGTACTTTCATGCAATCTTTCACATTAGAATGTAACATGAAACGGATATAAGATAAGTTTTATGTTGACCATAGACTCAATCAAGTAAGCTCGTTAAAATCAGACACGAACAAACATCGAACGTTAAATACGAATTTGGCGAGCTTAAAGAACATGTAACGCTATGGTAAGGATGAAGCGTTTTCACCACCAGCAACATATTTGACTAACACGTCTTTTTGGTCTGGACAGACACAGTGTATCGTTGGATTTCTTTTAACCTACATCTCACCTACCACGATACATGTGACAATCGGTCTAATTAATCCGACTCAAATTATAACAATCCGGTCTACGATTTTGGATAAAAACATTCTTTTCGTTAGAATTTTGAACATTCATTTTGTTAGATTACATTATCCCACACTTTAGAATTCCTATGATATGACGTTATTTTATAACAAAGCGTTATATGATGGTAAATTTGGTATACTATGTTACTAACTTATACTAGATAAAATTAAATTTTGGATAAATATATTAATTAGAAAATGAGAGACATATAGGAGTACTAATTATTTTAATTGCAAATACTTAAAGTGGAGTGGAGGTGGGGTGGGCGGTGAGCTAGCAAGTGATTGTCGCACTTTGTCATGTAGTGAAGACAAATCTCAATAAATATTACCATGTTTAGTTTAATAAGTAACTAATTAAATCTAACCGGGGAACCCTTAAATTATGGACTCGCAAACTCCTTTCCAACACTTTCTCACGACCCTATTGCCGGCCAATAATATATGTACACTTAAACCATTTTTATTTGTCAAGTACAATCCTGTTGGGTTTCCAAGTGCATTACATTATCTAAATGACATTACTAATCCTGCAAATTAAAATTTGTTCAATTAAACAACGTTTAAAAACCGTACTTGTCGCGAGAGTGTTGATCACAATCAAGTTCTGTTCTTATTATAAGAATATCTGAGAACCAGTTCACTGCTATTTACTAAAGAAGATGTAGACATGGGTCGTAATGGTTGATATAAATAATTGTAAACTTTATACAAATGTTTTCTTATGTCATTGTTTCAGTTTGTGGAAAAACTTGGACAAACTACACATTTTCCCATGAAATAATAATGTATTAGCATCTTTTTTCTTCAATACATTCGGTGTTATGAATGCAGAGTTTGAACCGTAAAGGTTCGGTTCCATATGAAATACTTAATATACTTCATGAGAAATGTTTCATCAAGAGTGAGAATCAAAAGCTGGTTGTATGAATATTTCATATTTGTTTCAATACATAGCATTTTCTGCCATGGTTTTTTCCAATAAAAATTTGAATATTACTAGTTTTCTATGTTTTGTAAATACATATATAATTATTTTGTGGAACTATTTACCCATAAATAAGACGAATACTAGGAAGATAGAACAGAATCTCGTTGGAATTTTGTTTCTTAGATTTCCAGATAAATATACACATATCCACATATACAAAATGCTTTGAAGAACCAAATAATATGTTATAGATGACTATTTGAAATAAAAGTATACATTATGATAACCTTTCTAGTTTTTTGTTTTTTAAATCTCTTCGCAAAGGAAAATGGAACGAGCTAAAGTTAAATGTGAGGTACAATGTATAGTTCATTAGTTTGACCTCCGTATGTTAAGGGACTACAGGCTAAATTTGAATTTAAGTTGGCTATATTAGAAGAAAAAAATAATTAAAAACTTTATGTAGTTAGAAAACTCATAGCATAGGGATGAGAGGGTAGAAAGGCTTTTCAGTTTTACCTGAAAACATGGAACCATTGGTCTATAATCGTTGTTTTGGAGCACGCATGAAATTCGACCTTTTACAATCACTATTTTGATAATTACATATCAGCGAAGGAATTGTTTATTTATTACTGGAATTCTTTTAAATTTAGTTAACTCCGTTTGTGTAACTTGTCGACAGACCACCTAAAGGAGGGTTGACTCTGACTTGAGAAAAGGCAAAGAGGCACATATAGAGCAAATGGATGTTGACTGTTATGTCTATTCTCATGTTCTTTTCTAAATAATATATAAAGGTTTTCTTTTATATTTTTAACAAAAAGAAAAGATAATTGTTTTCTTCGTCGTTCATATAAGCTTCGATGTCTTATATAATATGATGCTTTTATCAGTAGCTAGTAGGAATTTTAACAATTATTGCAAAATTACTACTATTCGAACAGCTCTGCTCATTCTTGAATCATTATATCAAGTACCAATAGCAGGATAACCGTATTGAGAAAATATTTAAAGGATAATCGTATGGAATGAACAAAATTTATTTGTAAGAAAATCAAACGGAAAAACTTATTAAGTACCGTAAAGAAACACCAAATATATAGTTCAGTAATGTGTTGAAAACTGTAGATGAAAATAAATAAATAAATTACTAGACAAAAAATTCACAAGGTTCATAAGTCATGAATAAGTAGAAAAATAGATTTAACCATCACAAAAAATGGGATAATATCATTAATAAACAATCTTAACTTATGCTCTAGTCTCTATAGAGTAGTTTTCAAGTATGTCACTAATGTATCAAACATTCGGATTTGTCATATGAATGCACATTGACTGAATGCTACAAACATAAATTACGTGTTCGTTCAAACATTCAGTTTTTTTTTTTTTCCGATGTGTGTGATATGCTAGATTAGTTTAATGAGATTGTTATACTATATTTAACTTCATCGCTGTCCAAATAAGGCGACCTTTTAATTTTAAACAGCGGAGAAGTAAACAAAAAACATGTTGATCAAACGATTTCGTAGGGACCTAAGGATTTACATAAAATTGACAGATTAATATTCATTATTTCTTTCTTTTTTCATATTTCGGTTTCTAATTTCGCAAGTTGGAAAGGAAGAAGAAAGCCCTATTGCAGAATATGAGAAAGACACGTCATTTTCTGGAATTAGACAAATCATATTCACGTTGTAACTTGCCTTATTTGTCTCCTTCCTATTGTAATCTCTGCCACCTACCTGTTCCCCCTCCAAAACACAACCACGACAAACAATGTATCAATTTTTCCTGACTCACAATATGTTGTTTCAGTCAAGTAGTATTTCGAGATACAAATAATAATAATTAGTTGCTGCAATTTTTTTTTTGTTTCTTTAAATATCGAGTCCAATCCAAATCCATTAAAATTACTCTAATTATCCAAAAAAAAAAACCAAAAAATGATACTGACGACGAGTGACGATTTTACTCGAAGCTCAATACTAGAAGGCCCAATGGGTTTTATCTTGGGCTCTTAAAAGCATGGGGCTTTCTTTAGCTTCTGAACGAACTAGAGGCTTTGACGATTAATTAACGAGCAGTAACTATAAGCTTTTCAGATTCTCTGCTTAAAATGTTTCTTTCGGGTTAAATTTTGAAACCGAGGGAGACGAATTCAAACAAGAAGAAAAAACCAAAGAAGGAAGTAATTTCCATGGCGACGTCTGGAGATATGTTGAAGGCGAGGACGGCGAGAGGATCCAACAATGAAGAAGAGAAGACGTTTGTGGAGATTTCGAAAGAGTGGACGAATTGGTCGTTGAAGAAGGCGAAAGTCGTGGCTCACTTTGGCTTCATCCCTCTCGTCGTCTTCGTCGGTATGAATTCAGATCCTAAGCCAGTCTCTTCCAGCTCCTTAGCCCCGTCTAGTCTGATCTTATTCGAATCCAATATGTTTCTTCTTCGTCTAGATTCTTCTGTACGCAATCTTGAATAACAATAGGTTTCATTTTGTCTGAATGCGATTACTATGATGAATATGAAATGCGATTTTGATCTGATGTTTCTTCTTCGACACGTCTTTTTCTGAATCGGAAATTCAAAATCATTTCACACTGAATTCTGGAAAAACAAAAATCCCTAAACAGAAATGTGATTGATGAAACGGATCTAACCGAAGAGAGGAATCAACAGAGGGAGTATATAACTACATATAGATATAAGTAATAAATCAAGAGTTTTTTTTTCAATTTTCATAGATTCAAATTTGTTCACTGGGCGTGGAAGTCTCGGAGGCTTCATTTTCAGATTTGGGTTTAGGCTCAAGACTGGCTGCTCGTCGGTTTCCGACATTCTCCATGAGCCTAACCAAATCAGACATCCTCGGCCTCTGGTCTGGTGCTTTGACAACACACGACATTGCAATCTGCAACATCTCCACCATCTCTTCCTCTATGTTCGTATACCTCAGAAGCTCGATGTCGAAAACTTCTGCAGTCCATTCCTCTCTCACTACCGAATGTACCCATCGAACCAAGTGGATTATCTCGTCTCCTGCAAAAATTCCCATTACAGAAATCATTAAACCGGATTCTAAAACCGTTGAAATGGTCTAATCTTTTCGAAATGTGAATTTACCTGCAGTAGTGTGAATTGGAGACTTTCCCGTGAGGAGTTCGAGCAGCACGACGCCGAAGCTGTAAACATCTGACAATTGAGAAGACTTCCTTGTGTCGGTTACTTCCGGTGCACGGTAACCAGCTTGCCTGGAGATCGGTGGAGCCAAGGGGCTCATTACTGCGGTTAATCCGAGATCAGATACACAGCCGTTACGCTCTGAATTCAAGAAAATGTTTGAAGATTTGATGTTCCCATGGACTAGTTTTCCATTGTTTTCTTCGTGGATTCGTGAGATCCCTTTAGCTGCGCCAATCGCGATCTTCATTCTGGTCTCCCAGTCCAAAGGAATCCGGTTTTCTCCTCTGTTCCCTGCAAGATCCAATGCCAAACCCATGAAAACTCTATGCTAAAATGTTGTAACTTTGACTACTGAGCCTAACTATGACGCATTAGATCAGAAACGGAAACGTACCGTGGAGCAAAGAAGCGACACTTCCAAGGCTGAAATAGTCATAAACCATAAGCTTCTCGTCTTTGGAGTAATAGTAAGCCTTTAGCTCCACAACATTTTCGTGCTTAATACCACCAATGATCTCCATCTGCTGCTCGAAATCGCGTTTCCCAGCCGCAACGTCCTTGAGCCGTTTCACAGCAACAGAAGTTGCATCCTCAAGAACCGCTTTGTAAGTAGTGCCAAACGTGCCTTTACCAAGAACCTCAGCAGAAGCTCTCAACAGATCCTCAAGATCAAAAGAGTAATTACATCCTTCGAAGAAAGATAAACGATTGTTCGCGTCTTCCATCCGCGACACGAATTTCTCCGGAGACATCCCGCCTTTCTTCTGCAGCTTGTTGTCCGAAATCATCCCATCACCGTGTCTTAGTTTCCTTCTCAAGTAACAAACAGCCAACACAAACGCCAAAGCAGAAACTGCTACAATGCATACAGCGATAACGAGCAGCAAGAAAAGTGTTTTCGATAGTCCTAAAAAGTGTGCTTTTGGTTTCTGACGAGTTGGGTCGCGAGGTGGCTGAGAGATGGAGAGGTCACGAGGAGGAATCACACGAATGCCTTCGTAAGACGACGATGGGAATCTTTGAAGCCAGTTTGGTATTGGTCCATTGAGATTGTTATTGGACAAATCAATGTGCTGCAGAGTAGAGAGGACACTCAGATCAGGAATATCACCAGAAAGCGAGTTGTTAGCGAGACTCAGCGACTGTAGACGCGTGAGACGAGACAGAGAATCCGACACTGTTCCATTGAATCCATTGTTTGAGAGATTCACACTAGTGAGATTCTTCCAAACAGAGAAATCCGAAGGCAAAGGACCCGAGAAATCGTTGTACTGAAGGTAAAGAAAGGCCAAGTCTTTAAGCTCGACGAAATCCGCCGGAAACTGGCCGGAGATTCTGTTGGATCTGAGGCTGAGAACTCTGAGAGCAGAGAGTCTGCTTATGGTGTTGGGAGGAATCTGACCGTTGAGACCAACGCCTGGTAATCTAACGGCGATGACTCGAGATCCGTCTTGGTTGCAAGTTACTCCGGTCCAGGTTTTGCAGACGGAAGAGCTCTCGTTCCAGTTCAGTGAACGAGTGGGACGCATGATGCTTAGAAACTCGAGCAATGCGCGTTTGTCTTGTACTGGATCTGCGTTTCCTCCATGGAAAAGCAAACCCAGAGAGAAGAAGATGCATAGACAAATCCTCCAAGCTTCCATTGGGATGAACAAAAACGAGCTGTTTTGTTTTGTTCTTTGTTTTTTTTTTAATCTGGAGCTGAAGAGAGAATCAAAAACCAATTATCTCAATTTGACATGATGATGATGAGACTATAAATGGGGAAACTTTAATCCAACTTTAATTTAAAATAAAAGGTACAAAAAAGCAAAAATCAGATTTATAGAAGACTGCGGAGAAAAGTAAAAGGAAGTTTAAATCCAGAAAATTAAAGAACAGGAGTGGGAGACAGAGAGAGAAAGAAGAGACCGTAGCTTCGAAAATGACGAAATGAAAGTCCTTTTTTTGTACATTTGAGCTTTAATTTAAACTCTTCGAATCAAAACCCTAGAATTTCTGGAGATTAAAGGTGGCAAAAAGTGGAACCCTAACTCTACTAAAGGGTTAAATTATTAAGATCTAGAGCTATAAATTAAACCAATTAGTACCTCGCTTTTCCAGATCTGAGCTTTAGAACTCTTTTTTTTTTCTTTCTCTAGTTTCGCGCGCCGTTTCTTCTCGAGAATCGATCAAGCTGCTATTTTAATAACAAGAAATCATAATCTCAGTTAGAACAAACTTAATCGATCAGAAATTAGGATTCATACATATACAGAACTTGATAATAGATATGGGAAGAAGAATCGAGGGTTTTATGAAAAAAAAAATTCCAGAAATGAGTCAAAATTAGAAACCCAGATATTTGGGGAAGAGGAAGAGATACTAACTCATAAATTACGCAGTGACGATAATGTGAAGAACCGGCTTAAGAACACCATTGAAGCACTGAAGTTAAGAGCTTGTGAGTTTTAATTCCAGCAACGGATATAATTTGTTTTTCCTCTTATTTTTGTTGGCATTAAAGTAGTGAAAATGACGAGGGAAGATACTGATGCGACATTTTTTTATTCGGTTACAGGCGGGTGACCGGTGAGCCTGTGAAAGCCGTACGTACCGGTTATTTAATACCGAACCGGGGACCATTGCCTTCTTGTATCTGGAATTTAGTTATGCCAGCTATCCTATGGTTATAACTTTGTTTGTTTGATTGATATTCGTTTTACAAAGTTGATAACCTCGCCATATAATTGATATTGTCTACAGTTGTAAAATAATTTTGTGAAACCGGTTTATTTTATGAACCGATGTATACTTAACCGGATGATATGACAAGAGATTAATTTGGTCAATGCTTACCAAAAGAAGAGAGAATACTAATTAATGATGTAAATCATATTTAACTTACCAAAATACATGAATTTACGTTTATATTTGTTTGTATAATTCACTTGTCATAATGAAGCTCCCCTTCAATGCAATGTCGATTTGTACCATTTTAATAATATATTTATTGTTGACATCAACGGTGAATTAAATATTGGACCGACCCAATTATAGAATTTATGGTGGATGATAATAAACCAATAATTTCAAACATTTCATGATTATTGTGATGATTTTATACCATCTTAGGCACTTAACCCGGTTGATTCCTTTTTCCTTTTCTCCCACATTGAGAGGCAATCAAAAGAGTATCAAAGGCCACTCAGTCACTCACCACTGAAGCCTTTAAATCTAGAAAGACTTTTCCTTTTTTCATTTTATCTGACTTACTTCTGTTTTTTTTTTCTTTCAAAAATGGTTAACCAGGAGAGAACGAGGAAATCTTAAATAATACTAAAATAGAAATGAAGATTTCACCCAAATAAAAAAAAAGATAAATACAAACTTCATATATGTAACATTATCTTCATACACAAGTTAAATCTCGCACAAAACTAGGATCTTGTCACTTCCTAAAAACGGGTGACCTTTTCAAATCCCAGGCTTGTTTTTAATATTTCGGATTTAATACCGAAGAATCACACACACTGTGATGTTCTATAGACTATACAGGAAAAAAATAAACCCAAAAGATACAAATAATAAGAGAGAGAGAAGAATCAATAAGTTTGAGATAACCGGTACCGGTTTTCAGGTCGAAAGGACAAGCGATAGAATCAATTTCCCGGTCCATTCTTCACCCGGTTTCAATGTGATGGGTTTCTCTATAGCTGCTCCATCAACACAAAGCATCTGTTTGTACTCTTCATCTCCCAAATCCGTCAATGCTTTAGCTTTCTTATCCCATGGATTCCAAACCACTGCAGCAACAATACCGATAATCTGAATCTGTTAAAACAGGATTCCCGGTTAAAAGAACAGTTAAAGGCTACTTACCGACATCAGGTAGACCTTCTTTCTTGATGAGAAATGTGCGTTTTCTCTCATGGTCGAAAACAGCAACCACGTCTTTAGAGTTTAGGTACACTCTATCGATCTCGGACTCAAAGGTTAATGCATCGCCTTGCTCTGTAAACCGCTCTTTATCGTGCAAGTTATCAAGATAGTCAAGAGTTTCCAGTCCTTCAACTCTTACTTCACTGATTAAAAAAACCAAAAAAAGGAAAGCATTGAGTTCTACGGTTTTATTGTGTGAACCCGTAGAGGGCTAGAGAAGCTTAAAGCTCGGTGTTTTAACCTGATATCGGAAATGGAGAAGTATGTGTGGTAAGCAATGGAAAAGCTGAAAGGCTTTGAATTGATGTTTCTGACTCGAGAGATCAGCGTTAGGTTCCCATCTAATGCCAATGAAACTCTGAGGTGAAACTCAAAGCTGAAACAAGAGCAAATAGCAATTAAGCTAACTGAAATGAGAATATAAAGGATCTCATCGAGGAATCACAGTAGAATATTTGGTCAGGTTTTGCAACCTGTGAGGCCAGATCCTAGTGTCTTCATCAGAGGACTTGAGTACCAAATCAACATATGCTTTGCCGGTTGAGTCAAATGAAGGTAAAGCTGGTGGGTTGTTTTCCACAAGCCACATCTTATTTCTTGCAAATCCGTGTTGCTCAAGCGATCCTCGAGTTCCAAACTTTTTTCACAAAATGAAATATAAGAAACGTGATCGAAACCTAGATAATATATGTCCAAGGTTATCCGAGGAAACTGTGTTACAATGTACCTGAGGAAAGCATATAGGGATTCCTCCTCGAACCGGATGGGGAGGCTTTGAGTTGGCCTGAAACAAGAGCATGAAGTTACACCAAATTTTATATGAAAAAAGAAGTTGCCTAATTGTTGAAAAGTAGGCAAAAATGTAGACCTTGGTGCTGGTGAATAACAATTCATCACCCTTCTCAGTCTTCCAAGAAAGAACTTGTCCTCCATGTAAACTGATCTGAACAAAGCATCATCCCAAAAATACAAAAAAAAACGTCAGCTCAATAAACAAAATGAAAATGTATGTGGACATATCACAAAAGCCATACTTTCCACGAACCAAAAACCTATTTATGAACCTTCAACCTTCAAGAATCAGAACAGTCGAACACGCTTATAACTCTCTGAACCTAAGAACCCAAAAACACAGACTTCCCCCAAAATCCAAACCTTTGGACCATTTCAAATGTATAGAAAGATGAATTCCAATTTTTCTAGTACCATAGAAGAGGTTGGAAGAGGAAAAACATCGAACAGTTAGTGGACAATCTTGAAAGTCAACATCTTATCCTCTATCACCAGAATCAAATTCCGAATCTTGCGTCGAAGAATCATCATAATTTTTTTTTTTTTGTGTAAACATCGGAGAAACAAAAGGGAAGAATAAAATATATCACCTTAACGGAAGCACCTTTAGGACTCTGAAGAAGAATCTGATTAGTTCCATTTTTATCCTTGACCAAGTCAACGATGGGTCTCTTCTCAGCACTGACTCCAGATGGTTCCTCCATTGTAAGCAACAAAAGATTTCAATCGAGAAACAAAAATAGAGACTTTGATTTTTTGTTTTTGTTTTCCCTTGCTTTGTCGCGTTTTTAAACAAAACAAAAAAAATTAGGCGAAGAAATCACAAGAAGTAAGCTTTCTTGTGGATCAACAAGAAACCCAAAGTTTTCTCGTGGAGACGAAACCGAAAACCCAACCACCACTTCAACTGCTAAGTCCTTTTCTTAAACCGATAAAGCTGCAACACACACACACAAAAAGAAAAGAAGGAAAAAAAAATCTAATGTGCAAAAAAGAGGATAAAGGGAGATCGCGATTAAGACAGACGTGAGGTTGAGATTGAAAACGGAAGATCTTGGAAATTTTTGAAAATCACTCGGAAGTCCATATATTAAAACACAAGATTTCCCGGGAAAAAAAAACCCCCCAATTTCCCGGGAAAAGTTAACGATTAGGAGCCTATAAATTAGGATTCGACCCAGATTAAATTACGTTTTCAATCAAGAACCTAGAAAGCAAACACACAACGTTTTTGACCCGGAGGAAGAATCTAAATTATTCGGATGATAAACAAGGGAAGAAAGAGATGTTCAGAGACAGAAGTCAGAAAAAATGGGCAATATGTAGAAAAAGTGCAAAGATTCAAAAGCATACAAATGGTATATTTTAAATGTTTTATTTTTTTGAAAGGGCATTGATTAACGTTTTCTGTAGAATTGACGATGATTAATCTTACGGAAATACTCTTATGATTCTATTATCGATCATGTATTAGAAATTTTAAATTAATTTTGATACATTAAACTAAATACAGAATATTGCTGCCCTTTTTCAATGAACCAATTTTTTTTAAAAAAATGTTATTATTTACTTTGAAAATGTGCATAAAAATAACGTAATTAGAAAATATTTTCGATTTTTTTTTTTTTGGTAAAATATTTTCGAAATTCAATTAGGTGACTTAAGAAATACCAAATATGATAACGTCACATGTAAAACTTGGTAAAAAAAAATCAAAACATGGGAAACCATTAAATCTTTCTTTATGAAGTGGTTCAGCATTCACTGGTCCTTATGTATTAATGTATGAACCAGTAAATGTCAAATTTTTGTTTGTCAACAACAGTGTCAAACAATTCTCCATCACTGTTAAATAGATTTTTGGTAGTTAAGTTTTCTCTTCAATATGGTTGGCTGAGATAATTATTTTTTTAAATGATTTTTTTTGGTGAAGAAATTTTTAAAATGATATCAAGTTGCAAAAAGAAAATGAAAACAAGGCAAATAAAAACAAAAACAAGAAGATGATGATGGGATGACAGCTGGTTATGATGATAGGAGTATGGGATGGGTAGATCTTGACATGCGACCATGATTAACGGAATTAACTACCTGTTCAGTTTCGGAGGGATTAAATATTATTTCTTCGTTAATTACCAATTAATTAGATTTTTATCAACAATTACTTAGTTTATATTATATTACAGTTCGCAATCCTATTTCAGGTGATGAAATACGTCAACTGTTTTTTTTTAAGCTCTTCGACCCATTCAGCAGATAAAAAAAACATGCATACTAGTACACTTGACAAATTAATCAAACGAAGAAGTCAGCACAGGCCCAATACTCCAAAATAGACCAAGACCAGGGCCATATATTTGAATTGTTACTAACTCGTGAATTGATACTTTGAAACATACAATATAGACATGTAGGAATTTATCTTACATTAGAAACTCAAAAAGAAATCCTTTTGTATGTGCTATATCGGAAATTTTCTAACAAGGTTTAAACCCTTCAAGACTTCAATTTCATGTAAGGGAGAAAGCAGCAACGACTACACCATGCTCAAGCTTGGATTTGGGTTGATAGGCCTTTTGTTCAATAACTAGCTCTTAAGATCCAAACCCTCGATGGATTAGATTTGATCTAGTCAAACGAAAATTCAATTATTTTCTTTCATATCGGACAACATTAAGTGACATAATGTTCTCCATATGCGCTAGTTCTAGCACACACAAAAACTAGGTTCATTAGCATTTGTTCCTTTCTTCGGTTAACTAGTTTCTTTGAAACCTAGAACCACCTGATTTTGTCAAAATTTATACAGCTAAGATTGATTTAAGTTTTTTTTTCTATGTAAAATCATATTGAAACATGAAAAATTAAGGTATTATCAAATTGTTCTTGTCTTTTATGCCGACCTGTGTGTTATATCCAATGCGTGACGCCCCTCTTCGACGTCGTTGGTCGTCCCATGCGTATTCTTTCTTCTTGCAATCATTAGTTTCTTTAATTATCTTAATTCTTGTGCAATCTTATAACTTGAAACTATTGAATAAGTATGCTGATAATTCACTTGATGCGTGTAGGACTCCTCTATAGATCTTTTGATATTTTTTTTAAAAAAAAAAGACACATAGGACAGAGATATCAGATGTGTATAATAAATTTTGGTAATGACAGTTTATGTATTGTTTGATTAATGAAAAATTTGGACCATAAAAAAGAAGAGAGATTTGTAGTTAATTTTGTCCCAAAACGCTTTCGTATAGGTACCGTATATATGGTCTTGGCCTTTGGGCTCTCTCGTTTGCTGATGTGGCCCAAAAACTAAATTTTTGTGTACGTTGCTTTGTCGTTACTCTATTACATTCGAAGACTGCATGCCGTTTTCTGTTTATGTTGTGGAAATTTGGAAGATATCATAATTTTGGAAGATATCGTATCAGAGTCTAGACTGTGCTCGGTGATGCAAAGGAGGAATATGCAGCTAATGCAAAGGTTCACGCCCCAGAAGTTATCGTGGACCAGCGAATTTTCCTTCATCAGCCACCTAAATAACATGACCCTCATAGTCTCCACTGGTATAAAATTTATCTTTCTGTACAATGTTTTTCATTGGACGAAAGTAACTTTAATCTAAAAGCAATAAAAGAAGAAACCAAAAAAAATGAAACTGTTTTCAATCTATATATGGGATTTAGTGCTGATGGAGATAAATTGTAATTAACTTATTTCAACCAAGAGGATTATGGATGTGGCTTCTAGCTTCTAATTATAGATAATAGATATAGTTATTTCGAAGTTTGGTTTATATCCTGTGATAAACTCCTAAAAAGTTAATTCGTTTTAGAAAATAGAACAGAGGAGCAATGTGTTAGCGTCTGATGATGGGAAGATACACTTGATGCATTCCGTATGCAGCTTCCGGAGGAAAGAAAAAGCTATTCCAAGAACCCATTTCAGAGTCTCTCTCTCTCTTTCTCTCTCTCATTTCTCTTCTTGTTTAATATAATTTGCAGATTCGTTGGTCATTGTTCGGTCAAGGTACTGAGAGAGAGACAGAAATGGTTCATACCGGTTTGTATTTTTGATTATTCGACCTGTGTGTGATTCTTTTGTACTCGGCGAGCAAACTTGTTTCTGTACCTTGTCTTTGGTGCGAACCCCAAATTCCTTTGTTTGTGACAATTATTAATGAATAATGTATCATATAGTCTTGTTTGTGATAGTAAATGTATACGAGTTATTTTTTTTTGGGACCAGTTTAGCAAACAGAGTTTTGCAAGTAAAACTTTATGCTTGAGATGGGATGTTAATGTGGATTCAAAGCTTTGCAACTTGGATTAAAGTAAGTGCTATTTATATTCTAAAGTAAGTGATGAATATAGAGTAAATTTCACTTTTGAGTTATAAGACCCAACCATTTATCCAAGAGACACGGTTTCAAATCCGGATTCGTACTCTGGTAGGGTTCTAGTTACAGTTGCAGATGGCATTTTACTTCCACTAACCCATCTGCTCTTAAACACTTCACCATCATTAGCTTCTTTCTCCATCATGACTTGTATCTTCTTTGCTAGTGAAACCCTTATCCCCATTGTACACGCAAGCCCTAGAAACCCTAGCACCATGAAACCTAATGCAAATCCCATTATCCACAACCACCACCAGGTCCGCCACGACTCAATCTTCTTCTTATCCTTCTCTAAGGGCTCGATCACCGAATAATCACCGTGGCTCGAACCATAACACACTCCCGGGAGAACCATTCGGCTTATATGAGCTGATTCATGGTCTTTGATCAGTGCATTGAACCTCACGCATCTTACTCTAGACATCATTTCCTCATCCCAGCCTTTAGATAAATCTTTAAATGAAATCTTTACAGGATTTTTCATCTTTAGACTGATCTCTTTGACGTTTCTTTGATCTGAAACGTCCAACACCCTAAATCCTAAGACAGAATCTATTAAACGATAACCGGATACGGTATACCAATGAGTAGACCAATTCCCTAGATTTTGGTACACAATAGCAACTCTCCTTGCAGGAGGAACCAAAACTGACTTTGCCGGAATAAGCACGTTGCTGAACTTGGCCCCGGAGATCCAGAGGCTCTTCCCGGTGAGACGGACGATGGAGACTTCGATGCCGGAGAGATTTTTGGGTAAAATAGCCCGGTATAGTGCACCGGTATGATGTTGACTGGTTAACGTCTTGAGGGCGGAATTCTCAAGAGTTTGAGACAAGGAATGTGGTAAAGTGACATTAAGGATTGATGTTGTGGAGTTGAAGTGGATGAGAGAGGATTGTGATGTAGAAGAAACTAAATTGGTGTATACCAAGAACACAACACAATAAGTGAGAGGCTTTGAGTTCATGTTTCTCTTTCGCGTTTTCTTCTTTTGTAGTTAGGGAAAACGTTCTGTAGAGTTAGAAATTGTGCAAGGAAGTGAGAAAGGCATGTAAATGTAGGGCCATAAGTAAATCATTGCAAGTAAGTATGATCTATTATATAGAGACCATATTATATATAAAACTCTGATGCAATGAATCGTATTATAATAGTTTGGATTGGTTTGGTTTGTAAATGACTTATGAAACGTAAAACTAATAATTCAGATTAAAACTCGGTTTTGTTTTTTTTCAGGTGACAAATTGGACTTGGACACTCTTAGTATGTAAACCTGCAATTTGTCTAATCCTTGTGATACTCGAGGATTTTTATACCTAAAATTGAAATTATATTTGTAAGTTTAGTTAGAAAGTTTCACGATTTAGTGAGGTAAAATGATGAGAAAGTAACGCATCCAAAGAAAATAAACATCAAAGAGTTGACTCTTTTTGTCTTTTGACTTTTGAGTAATCATGTTCATGCCGCTGATTGCGCTCTTTCTTCCCTTCCCTAAATCATTTTCTCTCTACTTTTCAAAACAAAAAAAAAATTCAACTATAATTTCCAATTTCTTAATCATCTTTTTTCTATTTTTGGTCAGAAGTTCACAACTAAACTTTCATGAAAAAATGGTTTAGGCTAAAACTATTCTAAAAATTTTACACAAACATTAATCACGCAATCTACGGATTCTATTTTCGAACATTTTATTTTTCTTTCTACGTCATATAGTACAGATTAGAATATTCTTCTATACAAAATTAAAGCTTCCAACATATATTGGTGGTAGATAATAGATATTGACAAAAAAAAAATGTAACAAAATAGATGGTATTATAAAATTTTTCGTCACTGTGGTTACTGGTTAATAAAGCTGATCACATACAATAACCAAAAAATTAAAATCCAATAAAGGCCAATAAAACTTACACAGACCAATAATAATATTACAAAATAAAGGCTACTTAAAATCCATTACAAAAATAAAACTTACACAGACCAATAAATTAAGGCTACAAGTGATAATATTGAGCTTATGCTTATAAGGGCCACCTCTATAATAATGGGCCTGAATAAGCCCAAAATAAACGCATTTGATATTTTGAAGTTTTATCTGGTCAATTGATTTTTTATGATGATTAAGTCATTTATATTTTATAAAATGAAAATTAAATTCCCTGCTTTTTTCCAAACTCTCAACACCTGGATTGCTTTCACCCCACACCTGAAAAGCAAATTATAAAATTTTTAATCGAGACAATTCTTCAAAAGTCAATAATAACGATTCTGGATTTTTGTTGGAAGAAAACTTGATTACTATTGGTACAATCCGTAGTATTAAATCTTTAATTTGATTTTTAATTATTCATTCCAGGGGAATTTTTTTTTTCTTTTGGTTGTATGAAAGTGTAATTTTATTCAATATTTATTACAGATTCTTTCATATTGAAGAATATCAATCACAGGGAATCAAAACGCAATTTTTTTCATTCAGTTGAATTTCATCTCGGTTTTTCTTTTTTAGTTTGAAAGTAGATTGTATAGGTTATTAAAGTGTATAAAATGTAAATATTGATAAAAAAAAAACGTAGAAATATAAGTTACTGAGTGGTCATATCAAGTGATGGGGGAAAAGTATGAGGATTCACTCTTTTGGAATAAAATAGCAATGAAATAAATGAAACAGGTAGGAGAGAGAGTGTCTGCTTAGCCATGAGTTGTGTTTCCATTTCACCGCAACAAAAAGGTATTCACGTCCTATACCCAAATTGAAATACCTTCAACCTATTTCCCAAAACAATTATGTTTCTTTACGTGTTTGGTGATGTTAATAGTGATCTTGTTCTCATTAAAAAAAAAAAACAAAAATAATATAAATAATAGTGATCTTGTTCATAATAACTTCATATGTGGTTGCTGCAACAAAAACAACAATTTTCAGGCCACGTCCTCGAGAACAATGTTAGTGAAAGGTTTTGTGTTGAACTGTTGATAAATAACTTAACTTTGTTTATCCACACCTTCTCTGTTTTTTAACCAATTATATATGATTTGATAGGTGTTTGGTTCTTTAATATAATTATAAATAATGAACTCATTTAACACTATCAAAATGTTCTATATTAGCTAATATTTTTTTTACTTATTTTATTATACATAACTCTAATTTCAGTGATAAAGATTTGTAAATTTATACTGTTTTGATGTATACGTTTCAGTGATATATATTTTATGGTCTGATCTTAAGATTCAATGAGCTGTAAAAATTATACAGTTATTAAAGGCCACAATTTTCTAAAATTTAATAAATCTCTTAATGTGTTGGCACTGTAAAATTATATTTTTAGTATTTAACTATTTATGTGAGAGTTTAGATAATTCTTCAAATATGTTCATATCTAACTAACTAAATATGGTGAATTTAAAGAGAAAAATAACATTCTTGAGATAAAACAAAAAGAAAAAAAATTAATAGAGAAATCGTTGTTATCATGAAATGAAAGTTCGAGTGGAACTTTTGTTAGGAGAGAATATTTTACCAGATAATCCTTCGTAACATTTAAACACCAATAATTTTAACTTTGAAGTATCATGCTGTCAGAGAGTTTTACAAAAAAAAAAAAAAAAAAATCAGACTTTTTTTCCTTTTCTGAGACGGGATCTGATATGATGATGAGAAGACTACAAGAGGACTGAAGCAAGTAACAAGAGACCCATGGAATCTCTGCAGTTTTGTTTCCCACTTCTGTTTTATATCAATTGAATTATACATATTTATTTATTTTGAAAGACTTTAAAATCCCATATATAAATTGCAGAAGATACATTAAGACAGCTGTAACAGAACAGAGTCAAATCATCATGGGACAACCCTATATGACCAACGAAGGCATTATGATCCTTTTGTCTCTCTTTCAATTACCTTATAAACCTTATGAATGTCATAACTAATATCTATGTTTGTTTTGTATTACTTTTATTTTATAGCGAAGGTTTAGATAAACATAGCACATTTGTTCAAAAGAAAAAAAAAGACAAACATAGCACATTCAACTTTTCTGACTCCAAGTAATTCTATATGTACCAAGATTGGTCCATGCACTTGGTTGACTAGGTTTGAGTAGTAGAAAGATGTTTTTGGATCTCAGTTAAAAATGATGCGGTTAAATGAAATATATATAATAGTAATAAATTAACGATACGATAAGAACTATTAATTAAATAATGATTGTACTTAGCAATCTCTTAGCCGTTTCTAATTGTGCTTGATATACAAAAAATAAATAAAAAGGGGTTGGAAAAGAACACAAATAAGAAATTTGAAAGAGTTTTAGAAAGATTATTGTACAGATGACTTGTTTATCTCTATTGTTGGTTTTTATATATTCGTTAAATTATAGACATTTCTTTCAACAAAATACATTATGTAGATCTAAACCTAGATTGTGACACATAGACATTGACCTCACATTACACAAAATACAGACATTACTACTACATATGTATTAGGGTTGGTCAAATGTTCATGTTTAAATTTTTGCCATTTTAGACTGGTAATATGTTTGGCAACAAAAATCTTGTCAGTCGCGAAAATAGAGTTATTAATTAAATCACATTCATTATCAAAAAAGCATTGCTGTTTTCTTTAACCAATTTTCCAAACCAATCATACCAGCTGTTACACCAATTAGCAACAGTATGAACGGTTGGTTTCCAACCACGTTCGTAGATTACCAATAATACTTTATATGGTAAATTTGAAGAACAAAAAAAAATCTAATTGAAAGAACAAACAAAAAAATCGTACTATAAGAAATGATGGTAGGAGAAGAAAGAGTGGCATGAGACTAGATGTGCCGATGGACAGATGAGAAAAAAGTTTGATTAGACTAATTTTTTTTCTTTGTTAAAGTTGTGACACAAAAACAAGCTTGCAGGTTTATTTTTGCAAGTAATATCCTCCATTATTACTATAAATTTCACTTTTGGCTCACCACCGAGAATCTGATGTGATGATATTCCCATATTTCCCATTTCTATTTCTTTTATGAAGTTAAGATTTCATTTATAATAATTCAAATTCATCAATTCGCGTGTTGCGTAGTGGCCATACAGGTCGGGTCGAGTAAGTTTGATTTGGGGTCAAATTTGTCACGTGAATGAAGTTGTTGGTGATGGTTTTGACGAATTATTTTCTATATGAATACTATACCGTCGAACAATGGAGATATTTTAAAATCAAAGCTACTCTATTACTAAACAACCAAATGTTTTAAGGAATTCCAACGATTTGCTAAAACATGCATAGTTCGAAGCACAGGCAGAAGAAGATGTGACTTTAGGTTTCAGAGTTTTAGGACAAATTTTTACTAGTAAATTTTGTTTTTGATATTTTTTACCCAAAAAAAATAAATTACTAAAAAATCGTAGTATTTTAATCCAGCGTTATACTTCTGGAAACGTTAAATCGGTCTTGTGCAAGTAATGATGATGAACATAGAGTTAAGATCAAACTAAATTTCATTAAGAAATTTTCTTCTTTCATTGTAAAATCCTTAGTGCAATTTAATTTTATTAGAATGCCTCCCCAGCCAACGTCCCAATTTATCGGTTAAATTGAAATGATGATGTCTATATCTCTTGAAGAAATGATCGGTTATCGCGTTTAAAAAAATTAAACTAGAGTAAATTCTAAAAGCGTGACTTTATGGGGTATAATCAAAACTCAAAAGCAAAAGGGTTACCTTATGTGTCTATATATTCCAACAGGGAGACATATTTTATATCACTAGGTATGATTTTCAATGAGACGAGCAATTCCTTAAATTGATGCGTAATGAAATCGACATTATTACATCAAACTACATATACCCTACAACGAATAATATGGCAGCACAGCACTGTTACACTAAACTACGTATATTTGTTTTACCCTTAGGCTTCTTTTCATGTAGATATAAGACATTAACTAATAGCAGCCTGGGTCATTAATCTGTATAGACTTTGGTGTTAAACGATATAATTACTTTTTCACGTTGAACGTAAGATTTTCATGTTTTGTTTTGATAAGAAAAATTTCATATATATATATTATTTTCCGAACAAATATATACATAAATTTATATTCTTCTTATCATAAAACTGAAATCTTGGCCATGCATATAGATTTTGTGATAGAGAGCCATTATACACACCATCCCAGACTTTTACAACAACGGTTAATTTGTAAGATACCTTTTCTTATACCAATCCTCAATCGTTACGGATACACTGACTTAATTATATGCACATCATCGAATATACAAAGTTACACATGGAAAATCGACGAGCATAATCCCCTTCCGCATCAGTTTTTCCGGTTCTTCGTCTCTTTAGCATCTAAAACATACTCAACCCTCAAGGAGAATTCGCTTCTTTTCCATTAGACAACACGACAAAACAGATATAAAATTAATGAACTTTATTATAACTTTTTATCACATGGTAAAACCTTCTACAATTTGTTTTGTTCTGATATCAAGAAATTGTACTTCATGTTTATATTGTTTTCTCATATTAGAAAAGGGAATGTGAACATGGTATATTGATATCATATGATATAAAAAAAAACAAAAAGATGAATGGAGAGAGAACAACACGAAGAACTACCTGCAGATATAACCAAAAAAATACCATTAGAAGAGAGGAATTAATTGGTTTGATAAAATACAATTATTGCTGGTTCAAATATATAAAATGAAAGAACAAAATGCTAAAAGAAGTGAAATGTGACAGAAAACTCAGACCGACATCGACACGTAGATGTGAATGTAACATGTGACCGTAACCCTTGTTACCAAAAAAAAAGAAACGTGAACATAGGAAAAATTGTTCGAAATAATAATTGTGAAAACAATTTGGCATAAAGTTTGTGACTGCGAAGATTCAGTAACTTATCAAGTGTTATTTAATTATAAATATATAGCGGAAACAGATTTGCACATACGCAATGGAGATAAAAAGTAATTCCAACTTCCAAAGACTAGAATAGCAGAGACCGAAGCGCTTTAACAATATGAAAATATAAATGCCAAAAATATAAAAAGACTAAAGAATGTTATTAAAGAGAGAGGACCATAATTGGGAAGTGTAAAATAAATGAAAATTATGGGAACTTGTTGCTGCAGCATTAACTCTTCAAGCCCCAAGAGATAACAAAGCTAATAAGTTTGTCGTCGAGCTTTACCTTTTTTCTTCCTTTTATACAAATAATGTTCGATAACACTAAACCCTAGCCATCCAACTAATAGACAAAACCCTACTTGTAATTTACAACCGCAAATTCCCAGAGAACAGAGTAACTACGAGAGAGAGATGGAGATTCAAATTAAAAAGAAAAACTTATATATAATGAATACACAAAAGCTACCTAATCTGTATATATATATATATAAATATGTCTTCATTAAATTAATGGTCGTGGAATAGAAAAAGGAAAACCTAATTTGATCGCTAGGGCTTATCAGAGTAAAGATGGTTAACCTTCAAAAGATGACTAATTAACCGGGGAGATAATTAAAAGATTAAATACGCCAACAGAGAGTTAAGAGATACCAGATTTAAATTCCACAATTTGGTCATGTTCTTCTTCACGTATTCATGACGATGTCTGAATTATAGAGAAACCCAAAATATAAAATGTTAATTTTACCAGACATTTACATACCAATAACTCTATGACGATATGTAAAGTAAGCAAGGCATGTTTTTATGCAGGGAAGATTGAAAATTCAAGATTAATCAAGAAAATTGGAATACCAAAAAGAGAGGGAGCTCCCTTCAGTCCAATCAGAGAGAATCAATGACCCAATTTGTCTACCGCATCATTCATTCATTTAACAAGTCTAGCTCGAATTCTTGGTGACTCGGTATTTGGATGAATGAGTCGGAAGCTAATTGGATCATATCACGACCTATGAATGGACTCAAGGAAGCTCTCTACAAATGTATTCCTACCACATCAACCCAAATATAGTGATTACAGATGCTGTTCTCACTGTAGACTACATTTACGTTTTTGTATGTTTGTGTGTATATGTACTCTATATATTCACGGATCGAGAACACTAGCAAGCGAGAAATCATGATTTTTGAAGAATATGCAGGAAGATTTGAAAGAAAAGAAAGAAACCCTAGATCTCGTCTAAAGGTTAAAGTAGTTCTAGCTGAAACTTTTGACAACAATAATTCGTATGTATGTAAGATGGAGAATGGGAGAGAAATAAGAGAGTTCGGAACAAAAGAAATCTGAGGATTAGAGAGATAGCGAGAGACGATGGTATGTATGTATGCATATACTGTATGGAGAGAGTTGATGAGAGAGATAAAGAGTTTGAACAAATGAAGATTTGATGGAGGGAGAGAGAGAGAGAGAGACGTAGAAAATAGATGGTGGGATGCGAGGTAATACACAATGGTTACAAGTATGTAAAAGTAGTGATGGGTTTTTATAAGCTTCACATTTTGAACTTTTCTGGTAATTTTTGGAGGAAAAAAATAAGGACAAATTTTCTAATTGATTACTCTATATATTTTAGGGATATTTTTCTTAACTTCATTGGTACGTGTGGACTTGGTACACAAATGAAGATAATGTAGAAAACTGGCAATTATTTAATGTCTAGAGGCTTAGACCGAGTATTTCCCTGTACTCGTCTACGAACTTTTATACCTATATAAACTATAAAATACTTCTTAGTCCTTTTTTCTTCTTCTTTGTGGCTTATATAATTGTTCATCAACATATGCTATCATATGCTATCAATCCCATCATTTGGTGTTCAAATCATATACTATCAATCCATGAAAAAATTCTTCAAAATCTATCGTTAGTAATTTGAATATTTGTAAATGAACGCTGCACCCTTATGTAGATTAATTGTTCATCAACATCTCCACCGTTCATAATCACCTTTTCACCAATTTTCTTCATGTTTGTGATCCTTTGCCCATAAGGGATACTCTCCATTATTGTAGAAGCCATATGCCGTATCTGCATGAATCTTGTCTTTAGTTTACTTTTGTCTTTCTATATCATTTCGTGCAGCGGTTAGCTTTTGTTTCAATTTGTTACTGATTTTCTTCAGTTGCTTCATTGTTTTGCACCCAAGCTGATAAATCCATGTATAAAGGCTCTCCTAAGTCCTACCCCATGAGAAACAACCTTCTAGATGAAACAGAATTCAATGGGTTCCTTTGTTCTGAAGTTTATTACAAACACAGAAGTCCTAACAATATTCTGTAGAGTTGGATACAATAATAATTCAAAGGCACAAATCGAAAATCAATAGCAAATCAGGAATCCACAGACACACTCAAAGAAACGAATGAGGGAATCCACTCAAAAGTAACACTTCACACCATTTTACAGTCGATGGTTTGCTTGTCATCTCAGTTCTTCACTGTAGTCACATGTTTCAGAAGCATTTCCACAACATCTTTAGAAATTCTTGAAGCCTCGTTCTTCAATTGATCGATTTTGGCATCAGTCTCCTGCTCAAGCCTCTTCACGTTTGCACCTGAATCTCCACTGGTCTGTTTTCCAAGTCATGTTTTCTCATCAATAACAAGTGTTTAAAGGGACCAGGATATATAAAATAATCAACTATTTTTTTTGTTTTGTTGCTTGTACTTTTACCTCTTGGAGTTTCCTCTGGAATCCATGCTCTGTACTGGTTTTGTGCTCAGCAATCTCTGTTTCAGCCTCTTCCTTGGCTTGCTTCAGTCTTGCCATTTTTGCTGAAAACCAAAAACAATTTGCAGCAATTCTGAAGCTCAATTACTGCCAACCCGTAAAATTCCTCGAATTATGTTACTTCAATCCACAATGAACTCTAATTTCTAATCAAATGATAGAGATGGATTCTAACACTATATCATTACAGTTTGATGCCTTTAGCACATTCACCATACACGAAGAACTCTGGCTCTTTGCATCAAGACATACGTGTAAAAACCGAAAGAGATACAATAACATGTAATGAGTAGTAAAGCAATCAAATGTAAATCCCTAAGTGATTCTAGAGTTTCAGATGTATCAAAGAATAAGAAGTAGAGCTTGTCAGTACCGGTCCTAGCGGCATTGACAATCTGTTGAGCTTCGTGTTCAGCAGCAAGCAGTTGCTGGATCCCTCCATGGTTACTGGTTGATTCCATGTTTTCTTCAAAACACCAAAAACCTGTTTGCCAAGAACAGCACAAATCATCGGATCAAGCTCTGTGAATTTACATAAATTGTGTGAGAAATCAGACAATAAAAATGCAAACTTTCAGCAAAGTTTACGCATTTTCAAAACAAACTACACAAACACATTAATCTGAAACGGTGATCGGATCGAGCATGAGATGCTATTACCCTATTGCTTAGTAAATCGATAAATTTTTCAAAGATCAAATCACAATTTCACAAAGTGTTCGAAGAAGTCAAATCGGGATCTATCAACCACATTCCATAACCGCAATTCAGCATTCAGAATCAAAACAAGTATTTTTTCGAACTAAAATGAGATCTAGAATCCCAAATAATGCAAACTGGTTGAAATGTGAACAATTCATCATTCAGCGAATTTATCTGAATACGATCTTTAAAACACGGGGTACAACATTTCAGGAAACATCTGTAATAATTCCCTCGATTGCAAACCCAGAATCTACGGGAGAGAGAGGAGAAAATATACCTGCTTCGGCGAAATCGGAGAAGACGAGAGATTGATGATTAAGGAACGTTTTAGATCATATTGAAATTGTTGTTGATTATTACAGAAGAAAAGAGATCAGATGATTTCCCACAATAAAATGAGCCTGACGAAGCCCAATATAGTCTTCACATGTCAGGCCCATTAACAAATAAATTAAATGGGCTCTGAAACTATGCAAGCGCATTCGCATTCTCTGATCATTCTTTCTTGTAACTCACATTCGTCTTGTATTTCCTCTATTCAAACTACATTCGATTCTTATGTATAGTGAATAATGCGAGAAAAAATCTAGCAAAGATGTACTTGAGTTCTCACATCAAAAACTCAAAGAACTCGTAAACTAGTACGTGTCATTTAGCATTTCTAGAACAAGTTACGACGAATACACAGATTCGTTGTTAAATATGCTAATCATTGGTCAAGATTGTTACGATAAAAAAGTAGTTTTTTGGGGTAGTGTTTTGTAGACTCCTCCAAAAGAGTTAGAAGTCTGGCTCAATGAGTACGGTTGTGTTTGCATGGGAGGGATTTCATTTTGGTCACAGAGGGGCATATGCCTAAAGTTCTCGGATCCTCTTTAATCAGAAAAAGTTCCGATAGAAATGAGGAGTATACGTCAACACAGCAGCATTTGTTGTCTCAACACGTTTTTAATTATAAGTTTCTTTAAAAACACGTGTATAGTTAACTATTAATTATTATAATGGGTGGTAATGGTAAGTGTCAACTACGTACATCTACATATCTGAGATCGATCGTACATTTATTGATAACCATTCGTTTCAACAATTGACACCACAATAGATTAAACCTAGAAGACTTTATAAGCGGGACATAGTTAATATTTTCTAATGTTTGGATGTTTTTATTTTTTTAAGTCTCTTTTGTTTGTAGGTTGATAGACGATTTTTATTTGAAGGTTCATAATTTAAAGGTTGAATAATTCTGATGCATATATATGTAGTTTTTTTTTTTTGGTCAAAATGCATATGTAGTTTTTATCCATTTGTAAATAGTTAAATAGATTTCTTGTTTAACTGTGTTATTTAATAGTAATTATCTACATAACTTTGTTTTTTTTAAATAATAATTAATGTCACAATAGAAAAAACCGGGTGTTTTAGGGAGTAAAGAAATAAGTTCTTCATTTTTTTTGTTAAAGAGAAATAAGTTCTTCATGAACTTGTTCAAAGACAACACATTCCTGTAGAGTGTGATTAGTGTCTAGATTAGGGGGGAAAAGTATAGTAAACTCATTATTAAGAGGTTTTTTTTTTTTAACTATCAGATGAAAAGTTAAGAAAGAAAAAATCACAATAGTTTTACTAGAAAAGGAAACAAACGAATAAAAAAAAGTATATATAACCAAGTTGTTTTAGTCCAATGGTAACTTCCAAGTGAAAAATTTGAGTTCGAGCCTTGACGATCTAGCTAAGGCTCTAGCTACGCTTTAAAAATTTGGAATATTTTCAAACTCCTACTAAAATACAAAATTTTATGTGGTTAATCTTTACACTTAAAAAGTATTTGTAATTCTCGCGGTTTTATTATTAAAAAAATGAGAGTATATATTATAGTACAAACTTCAAATTATTTGTTTCCCCTCTTTTCTAGTTTTACTTTTGTAACTCTACTAATCACTTACCATTCACATCTATAGTCTAGTCTTATTCTCTTTTTGTTTCTTCTTCTATTTGTTGTTACTCTACGAAACACCGTCACCAATTGAACCACAATCTAATCTATGTGCATCATATGCCGATATGCGTGATAAGAATAGGTTCCGTAGGTGGGCCCTGTTAAAATACCTAAATAAAAAAAATCTTGTATAACTACGTCATGCGTGCTTACCTAACATTGATTGGAGAAAAGTCTATGATATATGATCACTATGACGATTCATATACATTTTCTTTCAAATACATTATTTAACGTACAATGATTGATAATAATTTCGTAATTGGTATCGAATCTACTTAAAAGTCGCTAGTCTTGTTATTGTTGATTTGTTGCCAAATTTGATTGTGCTATAGAAAAGTATATAATACATATATGGTTAACAAAAAGGGAGGAATTCGGGAAAAATTGGATTGAGTTGGTATATTTAATCCACAGTAGCCCAAGAGAAAATGAAAAATGAACTACTTTATCTTTCTCATGATCGATGGGTCTCTCGACTGAACCAGTTGTATATAATACTATGCATCGGATAATCTTATCGAAACTTAAAGTTGAAAATCAAACGAAATGTGATTTAGCTTAATATTTGAAAACTAAGTCGGCTTAAGTTTTTATCATCAAGGTATTGGTTGACTCTCTCTCTCTATATATATTAGTTAATCAAAGTTGTTTTAAAAATCTAACAATGACATGAATGTATGGCCTAAACGTTACACGTCCACGTGTCCTGGTATCTTATTACCTCCTACGTGTCCGGAACTCTATTATTTGTCTTTTATATATTGCCGGCTCGTAATTTCTTAATTAGGTTCATAGTTGTTTCAGATTCCAATTAGAAAACAAGTCATATCCTAAACTTGAGAGGTTTACCATTTCAACATGACAGACATAATACGTACAGGTGTCCACTGTACACTGCACAATCAAAGCGTAGACCAGACATCAGAGTATGGCACCACGAATTTTCTATTATATACATTAAACACGCAGATTTTGTATGATAATACTTTGTATATGCCATTAATCTATAAATTCAAACATCTAAACATACTTAATTTCCTGCTGATTGTTAATTCTTACTTATTCATATGAGTCATAATTAATATTCAAAAATATCCCTAACTTTTCGACAGCTCACGGTTTATGATAATTTGTGTATATAATTAACACTAATCAATACTTTCTATGGTATTCTTTTTTAACAGATATTTAACCTGTGTTAAAATACATAAATTCTAATTTCTTTTGGCACTTTTACATTAAAACATCATTTAAAATCTAGCTAAAAAATAATCAACCAATAAGAAAAATTATTACAAAATACAAGTGGTCAACAAAATAGCAAATTAAATTAACTACTTGCATAAATTTTGAAAAATCAAATAGAATGAAATAAAATGAAACTACTGAACCTTGTTCATTCTTACATAAGGGAATAGAGAAAGAGAGTAATATATAATTTCATATATGAGACCTGAAAGTAATTGATAGAATTTATGTATTATTATCGTTATTTCTGTTACGATTATTAAATATTCTAAGTGATCCAAAAACCAACTAACATTTTTTATATGTTTTCAACCCACCAAGCATTGACATTAACTTATTAAACGATAATACTCTGAATTTGCAATCTGACATTCAAAGTATCATTGAATTTATTTGATTAAGTTATCGGACGGATAATCTGTTCCAATATAATATTATAACAAAAATTTCTTTCATAATATGCAGTCATGTAGTTTAGTGATATACTTGTGTTATTGATGTTACCATTCGGATTCAATCATGACATAATGTAGCTACTGAAAAAAAAAATATTAAAAGAAATCTCAAAATTAAACTCACTGATCCGAAAATTAAGGACAAAAGCTTGACACTCCTCTGGCTTTTCTTTCTTCTCAGCGGCGCAATCTCACTCACCAAAAACCTTCTCTCTGGTGCAGCTCTGCCGTTGTTCCTCGCAGTTCTTACCTTTGACCTCGTGCCAGGAGGCTAGCTTTCTCCGGTGACTTTGTCTAGAGGCTAAATTAAAAAGAAGGTGTTTATTAGTTTATACTAAAAAATATGTTAAAATTTTCTACATTAAAAGTACAAATTTAACTTGGAGACTTTCAATCGATTCTAAAACCGAATCAGATCCCAATTTAGTGGATTCACTATTTCACGTGGTAAATTTACTAGCAACGGTGAATGTCATCCGAATTTGGATATGAACATGGATAATTCACGCTTTATAACTCCCATATGACAGGTTAATTTCTGTTTGAGACATATTTCACGTGGTAAATGTCTTACTAGTCATTCACGTGTGTTACAATCTACGTACATAGACCTTGATTCCATTTACTTTACTTGAATTGAGAATTGTATTAAGTACATAAAATAATGGTGGTTGACGTTTTATTTTAAGAGTTTAGTCATAATTACTTTTTTGTTCATGTTTGAGATGATGGAAATCCTTCTGTGTTTAAGAGCAAGAGAAAAAAGTACATCAAGAAGCTTTGGTCAACTTTTCCTTTGATAAAATAGTGTTTAATTGATGGGTGATACTCGTCCCTTGATTGCTAATTTCGCTTCTATTGTGTTTAGTTATATTCAGCGATTAGCCAATTATCTTTTATGTAAAACCGTTTTGGGTAAGTTTTAACTAGTTCTAGGACTTTGATCACAGTCATTACTTTAAAGAAATAACCTAGATCAAATAGAAATTGAGCAGGTTTATCTCAAACACAAAATGATATGGTCAATGCTAAACCACCAAATAAAACTATTGATACGATTTATTTAAGACTTAAATAGCCAATTATTTGGCATACGATTTAGCCAATTTATTCTCGTGCATTTTGTATTTTTCCTCCTTTACTGAAAATTACGTCTAAATAATATGTTTTCTTGAGAAAATAATAATAATATGTTTTCTCTTTCAAAAGAGGTGTTTAATGATGACGATAAGAGAGAGGCATAAATTTGAGATCTATTTACAAAGAAGACTAATCAATATTTTTTATTATTTATCTTCTTCTTTAGGTGGCTCTGAAATATGAACACCAAAATAAAAAAAAAGACTGTAATATTGGCTTATCTTACAGGTGGCAAGTGTACAAATACGACTAGCATTTTCTCCTATATGACTATCCTGTCAAATTTCTGTGTCATTCCACTTGATAGTTTTTAGTGTTATATATATAAAATTTTAATTTGGGAGTGAATTTTGGAATTTTGAATTTTGGGAGCATTTTTTTTGTTTTTTTTTGTATATATTAACATATAGAATAAAATAAACTTTCCAATTGTTGGAGAAGACGAGTAACAGTGGCGTTTTTTTTTTAAAAAAAATTGTACTATAGTGCTCTCCATTCCCAAATTTTGCGTGCATACATCTCTTCTAAATACATAAATATAAGCGCTAAACCTGATATATTGATATAACATAATGAGACTAATTTAAATATAATATATTTATTTATGTAATTCTATTTTCATATATATATATATATATATATTTTAAATTACTTAACCTATTTATATACACCCATATCAAAAAGATAATGTTCAAAACAATATATTCAAGAACAAAAGTTTGGCTGACAAGAAAAGAAAAGATTATATGTTTAAAACCAATGTACCACTTACATATCCCATACTGAAATGTAAGTTACCCATAAGTTACTAGTTTCCAAGCAAAACAAAAAAACGTCCAATTTTGTTAGCATCTCTCACCAAATTATCTAAGAAAGCAACTTGCTAGTTAATCAGTTGCCAACCCTAGCCTCAAGATAATGTTTAATTTGTTTTATTTACATACCCAAAAAAATGAGGAAATAGCTCCCGCGCAATCAGGGGTATTATCGGTATTTCGGTGTACTGTTAGGCTATATAAAGACCCTAAATAACGGCCAGATACATCCACCTCTCACTCCCACTTCTCCTTCACTTTCCTCATTACATTACAAAACCCTGAAAAGTCCCAATTCCTATCAACAAATTCGAACTTTTTTTCAGAGCAATCGAGTAGAAACGAAGAATCTTCTCCGTTTTTCCAGATATATAGCCGTGAGTATCTATCTCCTCTGTATCTATCGATCTCGTGTATTGATCTGATCTGTTTAGTTTCCGAGAAAATTAACGTAATCGAGAGAAACAGATCGTAATTTTCGCTTTTTTTTGCTAGGTTTTATGTTTACTTTCTCAATTCCTCTGTTCCGATGAATATCTCCTCATAATCATCTGTTTTTTTTTTTTTAAATTTTCCCGGGAAAATGCGAGAAAATTTAGTGAGAGAGATTATCAGTTTCCACAATGATTAATTACTGAGATTCGTAATAATTTTTTGGTCAGATCTTAGAACGGGATGGGAACAAACGGGACGACATGTGGAGGAGCAATGAAAGCGACCTCAAATGGAGTGTTTCAGGGAGAGAATCCTCTGCATCACGCGTTGCCTCTTCTGATACTCCAGATCTGTATCGTTCTTCTTCTCACTCGTGTTCTTGCTTTTCTCCTCCGTCCTCTCCGGCAACCACGTGTCATCGCCGAGATTGTTGTACGTTTTTCTTTTTTCTATTAGTATTTCTTTATTTAATTAATCATCTCGATTTGATCCATCCATTATAAGCTCTGATTAAAAAGTCAAAGAGGTTACCAATTTGATCAATTATTCGCAGTTATCTGAGAATCAAAGTTTGAAAATATACGGAGTATTATTGTTAAGGATTCCACCAATCATAAACTTGAATTAGTCGTCTGGCATATTTAGTGACGTATATTCCAAGGAATTTTCTTCAGAATATTCATTTTTCTTCCACATAATTCGCTGACACGTTAAGCTTTGAGTGTATCTAAGTATAACACACACACACACATATCTCTATATATAATATATTTATAATATCTTTTTGTGCCTTTTCTTTATACTTCCACACGTTCCGATTTAATGTTGCAAACAGATGCTGTCATAAGTGTTTATGACTTCATTAAGATTGATTAGTCATATAAATGCATATATATTTATAATATCTGTATAGTGCCTTTTCTTTATACTTCCACACGTTCCGATTTAATGTTGCAACAGATGCTGTCATAAGTGTTTATGACTTCATTATAAGATTGATTAGTCATAAATGCATACTTTAATTTCTCTTAGTATTTGATTACTAGGTCAAAACACAATTATACATTATTTATTTACTCTTTTTTCTTTCTTATCTGTAAACAGAATACAATGTAATTATAAGTTATATATTGTTGTGATTAATTAGGGTGGAATATTACTTGGACCATCAGCTCTTGGGAAAAGCTCAAAGTTTCTCAACACAGTCTTTCCATCAAAGAGTCTAACGGTTTTAGACACACTTGCAAACCTAGGACTCATCTTCTTCCTCTTCCTCGTTGGTCTCGAGCTTGACCCTAAATCCCTCAAACGAACCGGAAAGAAAGCTCTCTCCATCGCTCTAGCCGGAATCACTCTCCCTTTTATCCTCGGCATCGGAACTTCCTTCGTCCTCCGTGGCTCCATAGCCGATGGCGTCAGCAAAGCTCCTTTCCTCGTCTTCATGGGAGTTGCTCTCTCCATCACTGCATTTCCCGTCTTGGCTCGAATCCTCGCTGAGATCAAGCTCCTCACCACTGATATCGGGAAGATCGCTTTGTCGGCTGCTGCGGTTAATGACGTGGCGGCTTGGATTCTTCTTGCTCTCGCGGTGGCTCTCTCCGGCGAAGGAAACTCACCGCTCACTTCTCTATGGGTGTTTCTTGCTGGTTGTGGTTTCGTTGTGTTCTGTATCTTTGTCGTGCAACCGGGGATGAAGTGGATTGCTAAACGCTGTCCTGAAGGAGAGCCAGTGAAAGAACAATACGTGTGTTTCACGTTAGGTATTGTTCTTGCTGCTAGCTTTGTCACGGACTTGATTGGGATCCACGCTTTGTTCGGCGCGTTTGTGATCGGTGTTATTTTCCCTAAAGAGGGTAATTTCGCGAATTCTCTGGTTGAGAAAGTTGAGGATCTAGTGTCAGGTATTTTCTTGCCTCTTTATTTCGTCTCGAGCGGGTTAAAGACAGATGTGGCCACTATACAAGGAGCTCAGTCTTGGGGACTATTGGTTTTGGTTATTTTCACTGCTTGTTTCGGTAAAATCGTCGGTACTGTCCTCGTTTCACTCTACTGCAAAGTTCCGCTTGATGAGTCTTTAGCACTTGGTTTCTTGATGAACACGAAAGGCCTTGTTGAACTCATCGTCCTCAACATTGGTAAAGACAGAGGAGTAAGTCCATACATTTTACCAAATTATTTTTTTTCCGGCTACTTTATAATACCAATTTTGTTAAACTTTTTGATGTGTGTTTGCAGGTTTTGAATGATCAAGTCTTTGCGATAATGGTTCTAATGGCGATTTTCACAACATTCATGACGACTCCTCTAGTTCTAGCGGTATACAAACCGGGTAAATCCTTAACCAAAGGCAATTACCAAAACCGAACGGTCGAGGAAACGAATCAGTCCAACAAACCGCTACGTCTAATGTTCTGTTTCCAAAGCATAATGAACATTCCCACCATCGTAAACCTCATAGAAGCATCGAGAGGCACGAACCGTAAAGAAAGTTTATCAGTCTACGCGATGCATCTCATGGAGCTCTCAGAGAGATCATCAGCTATATTAATGGCTCATAAGGTCAGAAAAAACGGTCTTCCTTTCTGGAACAAAGACAAATCAGCGAACAGCTCTTCTTCCGACATGGTCGTTGTCGCATTCGAGGCTTTCCGGCGACTAAGCCGTGTCTCAGTGCGTCCCATGACAGCGATCTCAGCGATGGCGACTATACACGAAGATATTTGCAGAAGCGCGGAACACAAACGCACCGCTATGGTGATTCTTCCGTTTCACAAACACGTTAGGCTTGACAGGACGTGGGAGACGACTCGCAACGATTACCGTTGGATTAACAAGAAGGTTATGGAGGAATCTCCATGCTCTGTCGCGATTCTTGTCGATCGTGGGCTTGGTGGTACGACACGTGTCGCGTCTAGCGATTTCTCGTTGGCTATAACGGTTCTGTTTTTTGGAGGGAACGATGATCGCGAGGCGTTGGCGTTTGCGGTGCGTATGGCGGAACATCCTGGTATAAGCTTAACCGTTGTTCGGTTTATTCCTAGTGAGGAATTTAAACCGGAAAACGTGAGGCTCGAGATAGCGGAATTAGATCAAACCGGTTCAGGTTCAGGTGACACCAGATTGACTGATATTGAAGCGATAACCGAACTTAAAGCAAAGATTAAAGAACAAGAAAGCTCTCGATCGGATTCCGAGTCGTCTCAGATCGTTTACGAAGAGAAAATCGTGAAATGTTACGAGGAAGTTTGTGATGGTATTAGTGAATATTCTAGAAGCAATCTTTTCTTGGTAGGGAAGTCACCGGATGGTTCGGTAGCGTCTGGTTTAAACGTGGTACGAGGCGACACGCCGGAGCTTGGACCGGTGGGAAACTTGTTGACGTCAAGCGAAAGTGTTTCAACGTCGGCGTCGGTGTTGGTGGTGCAACAGTACAAAGCAAGCCGTGATTCTTCGGTCGTTGGAGTTTTGAAGAACGTCTCGGTGGAAGGGTCGCCGGTTGTGGATACTGATCAGAGTCCTTAAAGAAAGTTTTATCTTTGGGATTTAATTCCAAGATTCGAAAGGTCAAAAAGAAATTGGCTTGTATAAATAACATCTGTTTCCATATTGTAAATAGTCAATCTGAATGTGTGATTTTTATATGTTTTTAAAAAAGAAATGAATATATGATTTCTATATGGTTAGTCTCCGTAACATTTGGTTTTATAAATGATAGGGCAAAAAAAGAGTGCGAGTGATAATCAGAGCCATGCTTTCCCTTTTCAAAAAAGGCACTTGCCTTAGACCACCAACAATATTTCTTAATTTAAGGGCCACATCTTTGTATACAAATAGATGATCTAGTAGGTTGAATTAATTTTATGTTTAATTTAACCATTATTAGTAGATAAATTGTATGATTAAGTTGTAGGTTTAATAATTCTAGTAAAGTTTCTTAACAAAATTGTATGTTTTCAAACTTTTACATTTAAAGACTTATATCATATTACAAATACACATGTAAAATGAAATAAATGACTTATTTTTAAAGATATTAAAAGTATGTTCTGAAGTTATAATTTTGTGAAATAAGATTTTTAAAATACTGCTAATAAATAAAATTTATAGAAATTACATGGCTAAAAAAATTTACAAAATTTGCCTTACGCCTCTAAAAGTGTAGGCATGGCACTGGTGATAATTATAAAGTCCATTATTAGTCAATGTTTACAACTTTACAGTTAGAAGCATTTTTTTTTGTTTTGGGGGTCAAACACAGTTAAAACTTAAAAGCATTTAAGGAACTAAAAAATCAGGTGAAGAATTTTTTCCCCGGTCAAAATCGATAAAAAAATCAGGTAGAGATTCTATTTTTAATAAGGCCATAAATTCAGGTGGCAATTCGATAATAATTTGATGCTATTTCATTTTTTATTTATCTCGTCTCATGTAGATAGCTGTAATTTTTTTCTTAAATATTTCTGATTTATTCGTTAAAAGCGCTTACAAAGCATAGCCGAAGCTATAAAATGTTAAAAAGTATTTAAAATGTAAATATTGAAAATACAAGAAGTTGAGCTAGATATTACTCGAATAAGTTAGACCATCCATAACGCGGGATGGGCGGAGTTCATTCGTGGGATCCAATACCATTATTTTAATTTTTTTTAATCGATTAAGCCCAAATACTCGCTGATATCGTCTCGGGATAAGTCTGACGAGTCCGTATCGTCGAGGTTCAACGGGCTACGTGGCAAGCAGTGATTGGGTGTAGTTTGGGAGAAATTTTTTAGAGTCGGAGTCGAAGATTAGGATTTATTTCGCATTCTGTTTTACTTTTACTTTTGTTTATTAGTAAAAATATATGTACTTAATTGGACATCTAGAAAATTATTAGTTTTACTTTTACTTTTGTTTTTTCAATTTCTATGTTTAGTTTTAAATTATATGTACTTAATAAATCTTTTCATTTTAAATAATTTAAATGTTTAAACAAGTTAAAAAAAAAATTTTCAAAAAAATATTATTATTTTATTCTATTGAACCTTTAATTGGGTATCAGGGTTGGACGCCCATTTTTCACTCAGGTTCATCCAAAGTTCTTCCATATTCTCTCTTTTCCAAAAATTATTAAAAAATACTGATGAACCCCATCATGGGGTTCAGAGTTGTGGATGGTCTTACATATCATTTCCAATGATACAATTAGCCACGACCACCCTACCACCCTTTTTACTGCGAGCACGACCATGGTTACCACGTCCACATTTTACGGTTTGCCATTGCATTTTCTTAGTCATTTCTGACGGTTTAACAGGCCTTTCTGGAATTCCAGATGGGGTCAAGAAATCAATCGGTTCAGGTTCGTCATTTGAAGCATTAGCTTCATCATCATCCAAGGATTCTTGAAAGGCAAATCTGTTGGTAACTAAAGATGGTCCAGACAAAGTCCAACGAATACCTAGTTCTGGTTGAACAGTTGGAGCTGTGACTTGTTTAGAGTGGATGCCTCTTTAGTTTGGGCCAGAATAGCTGATTCAGTGTTGACAGTAATTCTTGTAGCTACAAGTAGAGTTATTTGTAAATTTCTGTGGTCTACTAATCAGTAGGAATAAGTCCAGAAATCATGCATTTAAAGAAGGAAACAGAAAATCATTAATCAAAGTTCGATTAAACTGAATCACCACCGAATATAGGATGTTCCACGTGGACAGTAAAAATGGTTATACTTCATGAAAGATCAGGAGGAATTACATATGCATGTGATGATGTGAGTATTCATTCAGTGGTCTACTAATCAGAATGAATAGTAAAAACATGGACGGGCTAATTAAGCAGAGACCCAACAAGCAAAGCCTTTAAGCAGCATATTATGTATATTATTTAGAGAGTATCACTTTCAAAACTAGCCATTAGATAGATGTACGTCTATAGTGGTACATTTTGTTTATTTGCCATCTTACTGATGGTGTAAAGATTGCTCACGTTTTTCTTTAAATCACTTCAAGTTTTTTCTCCATTAGATGTAGTAGTATGCCATTTAGTTTATTTGCGGCCATCTTATTGATGGTTTGGTTTGAAATTCAACTTTGTTTTACTTCACCATTGTCAAATGACTTGTTACAAAGCTTTAGTCCAGATTTTATGTAGTTGGGGTGGGTTGGTTTTATAATATCTTAGGACTTCATTATTTCAAAACGTTTTTTTTCTTTCACAATTTTGCAGGGCAAGATCTTTGTGAAGTTTTCTTATGTTGTCTCTTTTGTCTTTCAATACTAGTTTAGAAGCCGTCTACTTCCGAAATGGGTCTACTCTGAAATTAGTAAGGGACAAAGGATAAGTTAGGCAACTAAACCCCTTTGAACTCTTTATTTTTTTAATAAAAGAAATCCTCTTGTTTGACTTTTCTGACTTTGTTGCTTTTACTCATGTGTTAGGAAGGAGTTGGTGACAAATATTATTGACTCTACTGTTTTTTAAAATTAAATTTGAGAAAAATATGATTTCTTAAATGAATTAATTGTTTACAAAGTTTCTCGGATATGTCTTTCATATGTTAAGTATACTTTAGTTGTACACCGAAAGTAAAGAGCTAGAGCGAATAATTGCGCTACATGGCGTGGCCATGTATAATTATAACAGTTATCTACCCAAAAGACAATAACATTGTAGAATACGTTACTATTTTTCTGGCGAAGATTCAAAATAAACTATGGAACAAGAAACTCAACCTCCTCTTTGTAAAATTCATCGTTCTACCAAATGAACTACCTATACGTTAGGTTTTTTCTTATTTTTTCGCATGTGTTTGGTAAGTGTAGAGTCTAGTGTTACAGCTCAACCACAATACTATTTTATGTCGAGTGGAGTTTCATATTCATATCTGTAAATTTCGTTAAAACTTCATAATCAAATTATGAGAATGGTAAAAAAGATATCAAAACTCTAAACTTTTAAAACCAAATTATGATACTAAACTTTTGATAAATAATATGATCCAGATAATGTGTCACATGATGTATTCTATATCCTGAGATTACTCGGATTTCTGCCCTGATCACTCGAATTATAAAAGACAATGTTTTGATAAATACTAAATTTAGGATTCAAGATACTACAAAACTAGAAATGTTTTGGAATAATGTTATATTTCTTTTGACGACTGAAATTGCTCATTAGTAGCAACCTTAGAAGCAAAGCTAGAACGTGACGTGGTGATTTATTCTACAAGTCACCTAATTTTAAAATGAAGTATCGCACATGAGTGATGGGGGTTCGTAATTTTCAGTCAATTTCCCAAAGAGTTTTTTTTTTTTATATAATGGATTTTTGTTTTCCTTCCCATTTCGCTTGCCATCTTTTTGTTGTTGTTTCAATTTATGTACTCAAAAGGCTGTTTATTTATCCCTCGACTTTATGCTTTTAGGTTGGACCCAGAAGTGATCACCAAACGGTTTAATATTATTAAATCACTAAATCTTTCATGAAAGTGAAATCAACTAGTTGCTTAGTTATCACCAACCCCGTTTTGGCCCCATCCACATGATCTTAAAGCCTTATTCGCACTCTAATTTGTAATTTAAATATAATTGACAAAACATCAACAACCCATTTTAGTAGGCTCTTTAAACTTTTATTCTTCTTTCATTCATCCAAATAAATTCTCTTAATTTAATCAAGTGAATAAAACTTCTATATAAACGGGGTTTAAGCGATCTTCATTTTACACAACTCACTAGCTCTAGCTAACAATGGCATCTCTAGTAGAGAAACAACTCTTGAACGTCCTCTTCTCATTCTTCTTCTTAGTTTTACTCTTATCTGATACCGTCTTTTCGACCCGAAAAGTATTTGATCAGAAAAAACCTTGCAAACATTTTTCCTTCTACTTCCATGACATCCTCTACGATGGCGACAATGTAGCAAACGCAACCTCAGCCGCTATCGTGAGCCCTCCGGGACTAGGAAACTTCAAGTTTGGTAAGTTTGTGATCTTTGATGACCCCATAACAATGGACAAGAACTATCTCTCGGAACCCGTGGCTCGCGCGCAAGGCTTCTATTTCTATGACATGAAGATGGACTTCAATGCTTGGTTTTGCTACACGTTGGTTTTTAACTCGACGGAACACAAAGGGACTTTGAACATAATGGGTGCTGATTTGATGATGGAGCCAACCAGAGATCTGTCGGTTGTCGGTGGGACCGGTGACTTCTTCATGGCTCGTGGGATCGCTACCTTCGTGACGGATATATTCCAAGGGGCTAAGTATTTCCGTGTTAAGATGGATATTAAACTCTATGAATGTTACTAGCTAAATTATATCTGTTTTATTTTTGAAAATTGCGTGTTGACACAGAGATAAATTGTGTTACTAATAATTATCATTCACCGGTTTTTGTTTGATTAATTTGTTTATGGCTTTTTTGTGTGTTTTTCTTTCCTTTTTCATTCATGTTTTCGGTTTTCCTAATTGTTTAGAAGCCATTATGAAAAAGAAAAGAAAATATTTGGTTCCGATAAATCATCAAATTAAAATAAAAGACGAACTTAACCCCCTTTTCAAATAAAAGAAAATGTCCTACAAGGAAAGAACATGTAAAAGAACTTGATGACATAAAAGAAAGAAAAGAAGAAGAATTAGATCAATAGTTGAACTTTGGTAATATAAGAGAATAAAATTTAACTAGTAACATTACGTCTGACCAACAAAAAAAATAGCAACATTATGCAAGGTCTTGTTTAAGTCTCGCCATGGACGAACACATAATATATACACTACAAAAAAGCCAGAAACAAACGGTTAAAACGGTAAAAAAATCCATCGGAAATGGCATTTTCTGACCGATTTTAGTTGTTGGATTAGGATGATCAGAAAACAGGGGCGGATGTAGTAAATGAGTAGCGGGATCTCTTTTTTATTTTTTTTTAAAATATTTGGACAAATTTAACAAAATATATTTAATTTAATCGTAAAAAAATTTATCCTTAACTAATTTTTATTTTATTTATAAACTTATGCCCCCAACCAAATTTTTTTCTAGATCCGATCTGAAATCTGAATCTTTCAAAAACTCTTTGAAATTTTTTGATGGATTTCAACAAACAACTTTCTAACAGTTGTCCAAAGATAGCACATCGTAAAAAAAAAAACTCGTAAAAAAAAACTATTGTAAAAAAATTGTCGGTAACTGCGAAAATGGGTAAATATATACTCCCTCCGTTTCATAATAAGTGTCATTCTGACACAACAGATTAAGAAATTAATAAAATGCACAAATATACCCCTAATTAATATACTTTTATAACATTTAATTACAAAGACTATTATCTTTAAATGAGGGATAAAACAAGAAATAAGAATAAAAAATTATATTGAAAATGCAGAATAACACTCTTTTTGAAACAAAAAATGAAATCTAAAATGACACTTATTATGAAACGGAGGGAATAATATATTTTGTTTACATCGTAAACATCTCTAGTTTACAACATCGAAAAAAAAATATACAAGAGCCCAGCCCAGTTTTTCTGTATTACAGTTACAGCCCAACAAAATAATTATACGAAGAACCAAATTGCAACAAGAAGAGGCAAGGCAAGGGGTGTGTTGACCGGAGATGATAGTGTTCAGCAATTTTAGTCGGCTCACCCTTAGACTTCTGTTACGAATGATCTCTCTAAAACTAATATTTCATTTATAGTGGTTTTCTTGATGTAATATAACACTTTTGCGAAAATGAAATAAACTAGTAGTAGTGGACTTAGTAAAAGTTGCTAACACTTTCGTAGGGTAGTGACAACCCCATTTTGACCTAGTATTATGGAATCATAGTAGTAGGTATGGGCATTCGGATATTCGGTTCGGTTTCGGTTCGGAACCAATCGGTTCCGGATATTTCGGATAGAGGAAGTTAGGATCCATCGGATATTTTTATAAATTTCGGTTTGGGTTCGGTACCTTTATTTCGGTTCGGTTCCGGTTCGGATAATCGGATCCGGATCTTTTGCCTCAAAATTTTTAATTCGACTCATACTTTTTTAATAAAAAAAATTCAAAAATATATATATCAAAACTTAAAAATATACCCAAAAGTCCCAAAAATAAAGAAAATATATCTGTAAAGCCAGAAATATATATCAAATATCAAAAATATCAAAAAAAAAAACTAATATTTAGAAGGATATATAATTATACTTTGGATAATTCCGGTACCCAATCGGTTCTCGGTTCGGTACTAGTTCGGTTCCGATTCTTCGGGTATAAGAGTTTAAGATCCATCAGATATTTTTAAAAATTTCGGTTCGGATTCGGTACCTCCATTTCGGTTCGGTTCCGGTTCGGATATTCGGATCCGGGTTTTTTGCCCAGGCCTACATAGTAGTATTGGTAGGCAATTGACTAGAAATTGCTTTTTGATGTTAGAACGCACAACCAAGTTCATTCTTAAGACAAAGATCACATTTGGCTAATTCATTTCATGATCTAAATTCTTTTACTAATTACATTTAGCTAAATCGCAGTTTTTAGCCCCATTAACTTATTTAAGTTTTTTCTTATAACCATGAGATCTCATGAAAAGATTCAGACAATGAAAATCTGGTATTCCTGCCAATTACAGTCTTCATAACAGAATTTGAAATCACAATGAAAAGATTCATGTTTTGGTACCGAATAAGTTCATGATGAATCGTGAATATATACAATATATGACTTACAATTTTGATCTCGCAAAATTCTGCCTTTTTATTATACAGACAATACAAATCATAATGAAGTCCAGCTAAGAATAACAAGCCATATTCGAAATACTTAATGCATAAACCTCATGAAAGCAGCTCACAATTTAAATGAAACATAAAGCAGAAAATGTGCAAAGCGTTCTATTATTTTCTTTCACTTAATGGTCATCTAAAGTTCAGGACCGGCTCTGTAAAGAACGATGGGCCAACAACCCTCATTGATTAGTGTAGGTTGAAAAAATTTGGTAACTCTCTAAAAGAAGTGGAGAAGAAAAAATTTGGTACTTCCTTATAAAATTTGGTACTTCCTTATACGTATGTGACCCAATAATGCTCCTTATAAATGTATGTTAAAAAAAGAAGTGGAGAAGTTTGACCAAAAAAAAAAAAAAGAAGTGGAGAAGAAATACACACGACAATTAATTTCTCTTCACGATAAACATGTGTGTATGGGCATGATTATCTTCTAAACGATGCTGTGCCAACTACCCACATTATTGATGATTTGATGTGATCCAAGAATTTGGTTACTCTGTAAAAGAAAATATTTATCATCGATTCATCAATGCTCATCAGTAAACAGTGAAGGCTGAAAAAAGATGAAGAAGAGAAGATTCTAGCATGCACTATCAAATGATTAATAAGAAACGGTAGAAAGTGTTTTCAACCGTCAGATTCAGTATATATATAATGGCGACGATAAGTGTGATTTCATCGACCACAAAAAAAAAAAGTGAAAGCTTTAAAACGAGAGAAAAAGAGAGAGAGACGGCAACATCGGGAACATACGTGACGGAGGTTCCATTAAAAGGAACGGCAGAGAAACACTACCGGAGGTGGAGGAACGAGAATCACCTCTTCCCTGACGCCATCGGCCACCACATCCAAAACGTCACCATTCACGACGGCGAATGGGACTCTCACGGGGCCATCAAGATTTGGAATTACACATGCGGTATATATATATATATATATATTTACTTATAATACTTATTTTCTCTATATTTTCAATTTGCAATCTATATACACTCTCAAAGTCAGTCGTCCCTAATAAGTCCAAGCAGTCTAAGATTGGGTTTGCAGCCTTAAATTTTGTTATATATTTCAGCGACCGAAAAGTACCATTAGTGTAGTGGTAATTAAGCACTGTAAAAGTGTTCTTGAGATAAGGTGTTTGACCTCTTTCACCATTAATTACTTATTTTACCCCTTAAACTCTCTAATGAATCAGTCCTTTTTTTTGGACTAGTAGCCTTTACATTTTTTAGAGTCAAACCCTACACACACTACTGAGTTTAATTATAGTAGTCCATGTGTGAAACTAGGGTTTTGGTATGTTTTTCTTTTGTTGACTTTCTATGGTTATCTGTATATGTAATGTAAGAAGATTAGCAGAATAAAATAATAAATCGCTGCTATACTGTTTTTTTTTTTGGGGGTTTAATAGCTTTAAGAGTATGTTACAAGTAATCCGAGAATAAATGATACATCTGACTATATGTATTACATATAGGCTTTGATTGTTTTGAACATGTACCTTATGCGTTTGCAATTTAAATATGATTTTTTTTTTTTTTTAAAAAAATCACTTCTAAAAAAATTAGGCAGAATTAAAAAAAATCTATGTAAAGTGTACACGGATATGCAAACGTGCTTTTGCAAAAACTATTTATGTATAGTTTTAACAAAAAAAGAAAAATTAATTTTTTAAGATGATAGATGTAATGGATTCATTCGAAAAGCATACACTTAACACAAAACCAAATGTAGTCACACAGTTTTATAAAGATGAGCACATCTTATAAGACCTCTTTTTATTGTTAGCCTGAAAAAGGAATCCTTCGTAGACAACATTCTGTTTTTAAAATAAATTAACCATTAAACAAAAACACAGATGGGAAGCAGGAAGTATTCAAGGAGAGGAGAGAAATAGACGACGAGAAGAGAACGGTGACGTTTAGAGGACTTGAAGGTCACGTGATGGAACAGCTAAAGGTGTATGACGTCATCTTCGAATTCATTCCCAAATCTGAGGATGGTTGCGTCTGCAAAATCACTATGATATGGGAGAAGCGTAGCGATGAGCTCCCCGAACCAAGCAACTACATGAAATTCGTCAAGAGCATGGCTGCTGACATGGACGACCATGTCCTCAAAGCTTAATCACCATAACCATGATATGCTATCATGATCCATTACATGTATATTAATTAAGATGTGCTTTTTAATACAATAAATGTGTGGTTCGTGGAATTTCATTTCTTTGTAAAATCATGCTTTAATATGTTGTTATGGTCATGATCGGGTTCGATATATAGATATACATATGATTTAAATAAGATAATGAATAAAGTATGAACTATGAACACAAAGTAGAAATGTATAGACATTGTGCTCAGGGGCGGATCTAAGAGTATTTTTAGTAGCTTGCGGAGAAGCTGGATCAGTGGACCACGAGGAGCATTGTCTTCCAACATGAAAATTGACGTCCTTTGAAATCTTTATTCAAATTTTTAAATTAGTGGACTGGACGTACGTCTTTGTAGATTATTTTCTGTTGCTTAATTAGGTTGAATGTCGATTAAAAAACAAAACGTTTTGAATGAGAAATTATGTGGTTTCAATATGTGAAAGCTTAACAGTCGAATTAATGAAGAAATATTGATCAGCTTTTGCATGTAGTATCCTGAAAAGTGACAATGTCAAAGTTTTTGTTAATGAAGTTATGATTGAAGACCAAACCATTTTGTTACTAATGTCTATTCCAAGCAAACATAACCAACTAAGATATTCTTAAAATATAGTAAAACATATTAAGTCGCTGTTAATTCCATCTATTTCTTTCATTATTAATAGGAAATATTGTTTTCTTTTTCTTTTTGTTAGAGCCTTTTTAATAAAATAGTGTATACCGATTGTTCACAAAGCTCGAATTCGGTGTCGTCACACGATTGGATTCATCTAGTGGAGGAAGTTAATTCAACGATAATGAATGTCCATACCAATATTTAATGCAATAAAGGAAAATAATTCAAAATCTATAATATTAATCGATGTCGACACAGTTTTGTTAGTTTTCAATATAGCATAGTTAATTATTTTTTTTAATTAGGGCTAATTAAAACGATGTAACTTTTTCTTAAAAATATGTTTAAATAATAATAACCGACTAAACTAATCTACCATATATTTTGCACAATCTAAAAAAAGAGGTATGACCAATAGATTTTCCCCCTTTTTCGTTAATTTAGTTCTTTGGAAGTTCATTTAGCATATAAAGATATGTGTGTTTTAATTTGGCAGAGTAATATACAAACAAATCATAATGTAGTTCGGACAGCCACTACAAATTAAACCTGAATTATTTAATGCATCACCATGCCATATGTTTAAATGTTTATGGGGGCATTATTACCTTCTGTAGCATGATGTGCCAACTATCCACACTGATAACGTGGTCGCAAATTAGTTTACCAAAATAGTATAAACGTACACATTTATATAGCCAGATGTTTATATAGCCTATTTATGCTTATTAAATAGTGCAGGAAAAAAAGAAGAGAAGATTCTAGTGTTGATCAATGATTGAAAAAACAAGGTAGAAACCATATATATTTTTACCGTCATGTTCACTATATAAAGCAAGTCGACGACAAGTGCTACTTCATCAACCAACACAAAGCCAAAAAAAAATAAAAAAAATCAAGAGGAAGCTTTAAAACGAGAGAAAAAGAGAGAGAGAGATGGCAACATCGGGAACATACGTGACGGAGGTTCCGTTGAAAGGAACGGCGGAGAAACACTACAAGAGGTGGAAGAGTGAGAACCATGTCTTCCCTGATGCCATCGGCCACCACATCCAAAACGTCACCGTTCACGAGGGCGAAACTGACTCTCACGGATCTATCAGGACTTGGAACTACACATGGGGTACATCTACTTATAATTTCTCCTTATACCTCATATACTGATACACACACTATTGATTAAATACAGTGCATGTGTGAAACTAGGGTTTTGGTAGTGTTAATTATGATGGTTAGTATGTATGTTATATATAAGACAAAAAAATCATGCATAGCTCATGGTTGTAGTCCACCAAAGTGTCAGACGTAGCTCGATCTAGAGACTAGAATACATGTGAATATATGAAAATAATTTATAAAGGAAAGTGAGATTTTCTAATGGTAAAATACTTCTGAAAAATGAAAACGCAAAGACATGCATATTAGCATTCGTGTAATGTATTATGGGAATCATTCGGAAGAAAGTACACATTAAACACAAGATCGCTAGTTAAATAACATATTATTGGGAATTCAGCTCTTTGACTTTCTATGGTTTGATTCACTATGCGTGACGTGGTTAATTACTTCAACAATCATACATATATATATATATATTCTTATGATTAGTCGGGGATGTTGGAAAATTAATTTAATTATGAACACATATATATATGTGTGTAAAGATGGAAAGGAGGAGATATTCAAGGAGAAAAGAGAGATAGACGATGAGAATTTAACGTTGACGTTAAGAGGACTTGAGGGTCACGTGATGGAGGAGCTCAAGGTGTATGACGTCATCTATCAATTTATCCCCAAATCTGAGGATACTTGTGCCTGCAAAATCACTATAGTATGGGAGAAGCGCAACGATGAGTCCCCTGAACCAAGCACTTACATGAAATTCGTCAAGAGCTTGGTTGCTGATATGGACCACCACGTTAACAAAGCTTAATCATCACATCATCACAATCACCATTATCTCATCATCATCATCCATTATCATTACCATCACCGTGATCACTGATCATTATCATCATCGCCATCTCGATGTATTCTATTAAGGTGTTTTTCATTACAATAAACAGGATCTTGTCGAGTTTCATTTCAATATAATCGTTCGGGTTTTGTGTTATGTTTTCATTTGTTCTCATGGTCATCATCGAGTTTGATATATTAATGATTCTTAAGAATATTGAACGTTGTTCACCTATCTACAATTTTTCAAGAAATATATAGATTAGTAAATACATATCTAGTGGTATTAGTAACTTCGGTTGAGGATTTTGAATTTTACTAAGAAAACTATGGATGCGATATCTTCTACCGATGTTAAAAAGAAAAAGAGCACACAAATTTCATATTAACTATTCATTATACACAAAACTTTGGTTGCAAAAAAGATTTTTTTTCCACATTTAGAAAAGAATTAATACCTCAATCGCAATCACGCATATATAACGAGGGCATGATTGTAAGAGAAAAAATGACGACCAGATAACAGCCACTAGGACCACCAAATATATAGACCATCGATCTAATACCCGACTTCCACGTACATCAATTAAATGGTTAGGTACATAATACGTTCGGTTATTAATGTTACAGTATCCCTGGCCCCTGCAGCAACCACTCTATGCATTCGATCGCAATAACTTATGGTATTAAATAACTTGACCCATGAAAAGTCGATAAGGCTGATATGTGTCTCATCCATAGCTGATCTTCATACGAAAAATTATTAAATAAATAAATTTGGGATCCGAAAAGTTTTTTAGTAGATTTAAATAATTTTTGCTCTTTAAGGGTATTTTATTGTGGTCACAAAATTAGAATACGTTTATGTGATTTTGAGTATGGCTGATCACTTTGGATAGTAACGCGATAAGAGAAGAAGATTTGATCTTTGTTTCTTTCATTATCGGGCCGATACAGGCCGGACTAATTAGAAGAAGGCCAGGGCCCATTAATGGTCCATCCGGGTTACCGGAGAAGTCTAGCTCCGAGAGCTGCTCTTTCACGTCGGCGTCGTTGTTAGCCGGGGTAAGCTTTCCACTCTCCTTCTTCTTCCTCTTCTTGTTAGTCTGTTAAATTCGTACTGAATCCGATTTTTATTTCTGCTTTTTTTTTTCCTGTTCGTGATTGTTCATGTGATTGATTATCTCGAATTCAGCGAAATCAGGCTCCGAGATTCGTCGCTTGATATTCTGGATTCGTATGATTGTTTTTATTTCACGATCGACGTACCTATGAAGTGATTAGAAACGCCATGGGAATTCTAGATTCTTCACAGTTTAGCTTTCACTCGAAACTGGACTTAAGATAGTTTTGGGAGTTCCTAACTTTTGACCGTAAGAATGTCGTTATAGTTGAATCGTTTTCTTCTTCATTTTACAGAAACCATCGAAACTGATAAAAACAGGAATGTTGCTTTGATTGGGTTTTTGAAATCTCTAGCCTTTTTCTTCCTTGCAGGCAAAACTTTTCTCAAAGATGGCGTTTTTCGCACTGTCCCGTGTTTCACGACGGTTACTGAAACCATCCGTCTCCGCAACTCAATCTTCGTTTTCTGTTTTCAAGTCTCAACATATATACTTTTCCAAACCTGTAACTACTACCCATTACATCAATCCTTTCCCTAAGTATCCTTCATGGAACTATAACGACGAAGTATGGAGTAAAGGGACGGAATTGCATCAGGACAACTTCATTGGTCTTGGCTGGAACTACAGATTAGTTGCTGGAATGTCGTACTCGTCTTCCTCTTCGGCTATGGATGGAAATCCTAAGAAAGATGACAAGGAGAAGAGTGGTGTTGGTGTTAAGGAAGCTTCTTGGATAGATTTGTATTTGCCGGAAGGAGCTAGAGGTTATGCTAAGCTTGCTCGATTGGATAAACCTATTGGAACCTGGTTGCTTGCTTGGCCATGTATGTGGTAAGTTTATATTCTCTTTTTAATACTGTAGCGTAAAATTAATTCACTTCATTTCTTTCTGAGATGCAACTCAGTTCATCAGAAAGAATAGATGTGGAAATGAAGACTGCGAGTTTATACAGTTTCTATTCGTCCTTGGGGCTATGCAAAAGTGTTTTAAGTTCAAAGGTGGTTTAATGTTAGCTTACGTTAATTTTGTTTTATATATTGAAGTTATGAGTTTTCCTGGCTGCTTAGGCTGTGATATCCTTAGACTGACTTGCAGTTGAAGCAAATGGATAAAGAAATGTTTTTTCTTCCATTTATCGTGAGACTACATATAATTAGAGAAGTTGATGCATTTGGTCTTTTCGCTAGATAGTCTCTGTTTTTTCTAGTTTTTAGTCAAAACCTCCTAGATCTTCGTGACGGGTCAGATGCAGTTGAGTAGTATAATATTGTGTTGAGATATTTGATAGCATGAGAGAGTGGGTTAAGGATTGGCAGAAAACAGGGTTGGATAATTCTATAAACCTGAGTTTTCTTGGTGGTTATAAAAGTTATGGTAATAGGAATTCCACTGGATTTGTTACTCAGAAATCTGTTTGGTCGTCTGAGTGTATCTGACTCCAGAGATAAGTTAATAGTTCAAATATCTGAATATCTACCGTTCTTGTATAGGTCAATTGCATTGGCTGCTGATCCTGGAAGCCTTCCAAGTTTTAAAATGATGGGTTTATTCGGTTGCGGAGCATTGCTTCTCAGAGGTGCTGGCTGTACTATTAATGATCTACTTGATCAGGACATAGATACAAAGGTCAGCTTACGTTAACAAAGACACATTATGTCAAATTTTACAGATCCCTTAAGTGTGTTTGTTTAAGGAATATGTTAGGTATAATTATGGTTTCTGTATCTATGTGATAATGCTGTTTCTGCTTTGACATCTGGAAGTTCTCTTAATACTGTATGTTGAATCAATTTATGCCAACTTTGTATCGAGCATATCCAGCCACATGTCAATTTTGGGTAATAGTATATCTGCATGTACTGATGACTTTGTCCAAATTCAGATTTTAGATGCAGTGAAGGTGGAATATTTTTTTGGATTGAAATGTATGTAGTAGTTAGGGTTGCTACACAATAAAACTATTGGAGGCTGAAGATTTTATTTCATTCGTTCGTTTTAGATTATGTTGTCTGAGAAATTGCTTTTTCCTATCCAGGTTGATCGTACAAGATTAAGACCTATTGCCAGTGGTCTTTTGACACCATTTCAAGGGATTCAATTTCTTGGGCTACAGTTGCTTTTAGGCTTAGGGATTCTTCTCCAACTTAACAATTATAGGTTTGCCTGAAATTTTTGAATGCGCTAAAGTTACGTATCTGCAAATGTTTGTTTAAATTCACATACACACATGATTCACCAGCTATAGTCCAGTTTAATGACATAATGTCATGCCTTCCCTTTGGTTTTGTGTGGAACATCTTTTTTCTATTTGAGCTTATTTCAGTCCGTATATTCTGCAGCCGTGTTTTAGGGGCTTCATCTTTGTTACTCGTCTTCTCCTACCCACTTATGAAGAGGTTTACATTTTGGGTAAGTTAATTGTTAAATCCATTCTAGCTTCTCAAAGTTAGATAGTATATATTCTTCTTGGTCTTTTTTTGATCGATTCTGTTAATGCTATTGCAGCCTCAAGCATTTTTAGGTTTGACCATAAACTGGGGAGCACTCTTAGGATGGACTGCAGTTAAAGGAAGCTTAGAGCCAGCTGTTGTAATCCCTCTTTATCTCTCAGGAGTCTGCTGGACCCTTGTTTATGATACTATTTATGCACATCAGGTATAATTCACTTTGTTCTTAGCTTTAACTTCCATTGATTTATGAACAGTAGTAAAGTATTTAATCTCAATGTGTATATAGACCCTACTCCCACTCAATAATTGATTCCTTCTTTTCCTTCTCTGGCTTATCAATCTAGCAAGCATCCCACTTTGAATGAAAATAGCTCAAAAGCCTTCACCTCTACAAGTTTCTTTTCAGCTATTGTTTCATGTCTCATGCAAATGTATCCATTTCGATGTTCGACTTCTGAAATGTCAACTATTAAGAAGAAATTCCCCTCCTCTCCCTCTTTTCCATCTGGTATTTACAGTCTTCCCGTTTGCAACAAAAGTGTGAAAGGAAAGTTATCTTGTAGCGCATTGGACTATGAAATAGTTGGATTACAGTCACTTTTTAATATCGCATATGGAACAAGTTGCAAACCCAAAATCTCAGCGTCTGTCTGTTTTTATGACAGTGATTTGAGATACTATAGAGGTTAATCCTTTCTTTTTTTCTTCAACATGGGCTAGTGTGAAAGAATTGTTTACTGCGTCTCCAGGACAAAGAAGATGATGTGAAGGTTGGTGTTAAGTCAACGGCTCTTAGATTCGGTGATAATACAAAGCTTTGGCTAACTGGATTTGGCACAGCGTCCATGGGGTTTCTTGCACTTTCTGGACTGAGTGCAGATCTCGGTACGCAATGAACTTTACAAGGGTTACTTTTTGTGCTTCCCAATTCCATCTACTTGTCTTTTAGATTTTTTGAGTTGTTTCTCGCTTAAATGATTCAGGGTGGCAATACTACGCGTCACTGGTGGCTGCATCGGGACAGTTAGGATGGCAAATAGGGACAGCTGACTTATCATCTGGCGCTGACTGCAGTAGAAAGTATGTGAAAGTTTTGGTTTTTTTATTTATTTGGTCTCTGCCTCAACGCAATATGTGATTTGCTTTTGAAAAACTAACACTTTGTTGGTTTTGATGTTTTAACAGATTTGTGTCAAACAAGTGGTTTGGTGCTATTATATTTAGTGGAGTTGTGCTTGGAAGAACTTTTCAATAGAGATAGCTCTCTCTCTCTCTCTCTCTCTCTCTCTCTCTCCTCGCTGTTAACTAATTCGGGAGAAGCCATTGTCAGATAAGCTGAAACTTGATTCTTTTCAGTTAGTTTCTGATTCTGTTAAAAAAGCAACTGTTGTTTGTTCGGGATTCATGTCTTATAGTTGACATACATGAATAGTGATGGTATCAATTATTTGTAAAATACAGGATTTTGTTTCCCCATTCTTGTTAAATGCCACTAATAATACAAAAGAAATTTATTGAAAGTATCTCAAATTGTAAAACATTGTTGAATTGGCCCTGTCATAGGAAGCAATTTGAGATATATCTCAAAAAGAGTTTTACGACCTTTCTCGTTCATTAATTATCTTCCCAATTGGGCAAAATCTCGAGGTTTTATAATTGCATATAAATATACGCGGTTTAATTGCTCCAGCTATACGCCAATGAAACCACGACACGTTATCTCCATTTCCCGTGTCTGATCTCAGACATCATAAAAATCGGAAATCTTCTTCTCTCTGTCTCTCTCTATTGACTTTATTGACTAAAGAGAGGAGAAAGTTCGACGACAATGGGCCACAGACACAGCAAATCCAAATCCTCTGGTCAGCCACCGTCCTCCGGCAACGTGATCCACTATGTCAAACCAGCCGGAGAACGCCGCGGATCCTCCGGTTCCGGACCAGTCGGATCCTCCTCAGGCTCCGTAACCGGCGGATCCCGTTCCACGACACCTGCTCAGCAGAATGGTCGGATCCTTGGCCGCCCGATGGAAAACGTCAGGGGAACCTACGAGTTTGGTCGTGAGCTAGGTCGTGGCCAGTTCGGAGTCACCTACCTCGTCACTCACAAAGAGACCAAGAAACTTTTCGCCTGCAAGTCAATCCCTACGCGCCGCCTCGTCCACCGTGACGACATTGAAGATGTTCGTCGTGAAGTCCAGATTATGCATCACCTCAGTGGCCACAGGTAATCTTTCTTCTTTTTTTTTGTTTTTTGATTTTACTGGAAAATGCTTCATTGGGATTCTCTGAAATCGAATCTGAAATGCGTTTTGATCCCCTAAGGTCCAATAGTAATGACTAATGGTGAATGGCACTCGTTATTATTCATTCTACAATGCTCAAAGTTTCCAAATTAGTAAAGCAGTTTGCAGCTTGTGTAGATGAAATGAAACTTATCCAAAAGAAAAAAAGTAAAACCTTTTGAAGAAAGGAGTTGACTATGTGGTGGTCCTATGTTAAACTATTGAATTACCCACCAAATATTTCCAATTTAATCGGCTTTTTGACCGAAGATTATTGTGTTTAAATGTAGTTTGAGTACTCTTTGTCAGCAGGAACAGTGGTGTGTGCAGTGTGTGTTGATTTGAGTTGGTGCATTGATTTGATTATATTACAGGAACATAGTGGACTTGAAGGGAGCTTACGAGGACAGACACTCGGTGAATCTGGTGATGGAGCTGTGTGAAGGAGGGGAATTGTTCGATAGGATCATAGCTAAAGGTCATTACTCAGAGAGAGCCGCTGCGGATTTGTGCAGGCAGATGGTGATGGTTGTGCATAGTTGCCATTCTATGGGTGTTATGCACCGAGATTTGAAGCCTGAAAACTTTCTCTTTCTGAGTCAAGATGAGAACTCCCCATTGAAAGCTACAGACTTTGGGCTCTCAGTCTTCTTCAAACCAGGTTAAAAAAAAAAACAGACTAGAGGCTAAACTTGCTCAACTTCAGCGTCTGATGAAACTTGATCGGTTAATGCAGGAGATAAATTTAAGGATCTTGTTGGAAGTGCATACTATGTTGCTCCAGAAGTTCTACGCCGGAACTATGGACCAGAGGCTGATATCTGGAGTGCCGGTGTGATTCTATTCATACTTCTCAGTGGTGTCCCGCCTTTTTGGGGAGGTATTGACACTTGTTCTTATTTCACAGTTTAAGTGGTGGACCGTGAATCCATAGTTATCTTCTTTTGTTTTCCATATGCGTAGAAAATGAAGCGGGGATCTTTGATGCCATTCTTCAAGGACAGCTTGATTTTTCTGCTGATCCGTGGCCTGCTGTATCTAATGGTGCCAAAGATCTTGTGAAGAAAATGTTGAAATATGACCCTAAAGATCGGCTTTCAGCTACTGAAGTGCTAAGTAAGATTCAATCCTTGAAGACTAATAAGATTAATGAAAGCATCGTTTTCTTTAAAATCCAATAGTTACGTGATTTCATACATACGCAGATCATCCTTGGATTAGAGAAGACGGAGAGGCGTCAGACAAACCGCTTGACAATGCTGTGTTATCCAGGATGAAACAATTCCGAGCGATGAACAAACTCAAAAAAATGGCCCTCAAGGTAAATAATTTGAAACCATCTTACCATTTTTTCTGTACTCCTGTTTCTAAAGCCAATCTCTGCTTTTTTTGTTTTGCATTTCAGGTCATCGCAGAGAACCTTTCTGAAGAAGAAATCATTGGTCTCAAAGAGATGTTCAAATCTCTAGACACTGACAACAACGGAATAGTCACCTTGGAAGAATTGAGAACCGGTCTACCCAAACTCGGTTCTAAGATCTCTGAGGCTGAAATAAAACAGCTAATGGAAGCCGTAAGTCTTCTCCGCTACTTTAATGTCTGAATCTATGTGTTTCCCACTTTGCAAAAACCCAAACCAAAGTCTGACAAAATCTTTATGTTGTATTTTTTCGTTTAGGCTGATATGGATGGAGATGGATCAATTGATTACTTGGAGTTTATATCAGCCACGATGCATATGAACAGAATCGAACGTGAGGATCATTTGTACACGGCTTTCCAATACTTCGACAACGACAACAGCGGGTAAAAAAACATTAGTCTTTGTCTTCTTTCTCTCTTTAACAAAGCTGTAAAGTCTCACTCTTTGGTCTTGACTTGTGTTGAATTAGCTACATAACAATGGAAGAACTAGAGCAAGCCATGAAGAAATACAACATGGGTGATGACAAATCCATCAAAGAGATCATTGCTGAAGTAGACACCGATCGTGTATGTACACGATATTATTTGGGTTTGGTCACATTGATATATCAATATTCATCATCATCTGTTTTCTTTAACACTCTCTTGTTTAATTTTCAAATCTCTAGGACGAGAAAATCAACTACGAAGAATTCGTAGCGATGATGAAGAAGGGAAATCCAGAATTGGTGACAAACCGACGCAGAGTCAATATGTAAAACGTTGGGAGGGTAATAACACAAATCTTTTCCTCAAGAGAGATCTTTTGATGTTGTTTGTTTGTTTGGTTCTCTTCTTACTTTACTTAGCTTTGTGTTTTTTTTTTTTGTCACGATGTATTATTTTTGTTTCCTGCAATCTCTTTATCAACACAACATTCGTATCTACGTTGGATTAAAAAGGCATTTGCAGGTTTGTTTCATGAGAGATTCTAATAATAATGTTCAAATCTAGGAATATTGATGGATACTAAAAAAAAAAAGAAGCAAGAGATCCGATTATATAATTGGAAATGGTCGAAATCAACAATGAATAAAAAAATCGGAAATAATAATGTTTAATAACATTTTCATGAGAAGTCGGATAAGTGAAAGGAAAAAAAAAACGAATACAAACAACTGTGAAAAAAAAAACAAGAAGAAGACGAAGAAGGACCGCGAGCATTGGATCGAATTTGTTTATTTTTATTTTCCTCTCGATAAAAAAACAAATAGATGATCATCGACAGCTTCCCTCTAGATTCGATTCCGATTCCGATTCATCTTCCCAAAAACCAGTCTCCGGTGTGTATTCTCTGATCGTTGAAGATCCGCCTTCAGCAACGCCGCATCTTACTCGCCGGCGGCTGGAATCATGGTATGTTATCCATTCCATTTCTTCGTCCTCTTCGTATAGCTGAATCTTAAACCATTGCTTCCTTATTGTTGCTCGTGCCGAATTAACGATTGTGGAACTTTGATGTGAAACGAACGTGGTGAGGATTGATAGAAATCTGAAATGACTTAGACCTATACCTCCTCTATAGTCATTGAATTTACCTCTTGATTCGACTTAATGTCACTCCTGAAAGTTAAATTGCTGCAAGCGATTCTCTCTGAGCTTATGTTTTGTGTTGCACGCTATAGCTTCGTCTCGAAGTTTAGGCTTCTTGCGACAGATTTTGTTTAATAAAGTTTCATGGTTTTCGAATTGCTTGTGAACCATTCATTGATAATCTATACTAATGTACAATGTTCGCCAACATCTGTGTAATTGGGACCGTGTTCTGTTCTCTTCTGTTGAATCAGGCTGATCGGAGAAACAGGTGTAACCAGGTCCTCCTTTTAGCATATCAGAGTTTTGGCTTAGTGTTTGGAGATTTGAGTATTTCTCCTCTCTACGTGTATAAATGTACATTCTATGGAGGATTGAGACATCACCAAACAGAAGATACGATATTTGGCGCGTTTTCTTTGATATTTTGGACCATAACACTCCTTTCACTCATCAAGTACATGGTTTTTGTATTAAGTGCAGATGACAATGGTGAAGGTATGAGGCTATGAGCAGCGGGTTGCTAATTGAGTCCATTTGTTTCTTCTGATACATGGGTTAGGATGTAATCGTTATTTTTCCGTTGCAGGAGGGATCTTTGCTTTGTATGCTTTGCTCTGCAGACACGCAAGATTTTCTTTGCTTCCAAATCAGCAAGCGGCTGATGAGGAAATCTCCACATACTATGGCCCTGGAGATGCAACTAGAAATTTGCCGAGTTCTGCTTTCAAAAGCCTTATAGAACGGAATAAAAGATCAAAAACAGCTTTGCTTATCTTAGTCTTGGTTGGAACTTCCATGGTAATTACCATCGGTGTACTTACACCAGCAATTTCAGGTAATTAGGCAGCCGTTGTTTCGTTTCTGTCTGGTTGTATGGTATGTTACCATATTTCTCTTTTCCATGGTTTAACATCTAACATTATCCTATTGTAGTCTCTTCGTCTATTGATGGCCTTGTGGCTAAAACAAGTCTGAAACACAGTAAGTAACGATTGCTATTAATTTCCATACTTATGTATCTGGTTTATTTGTGTATACACCTTTTGTCATTGTTATTTATATTGCTTTGCCAATGTTTGCTTGCCTAGGTACTGTGGTCATGATAGCATGCGCTTTGCTGGTTGGACTTTTCGTTCTTCAGCACCGCGGCACAAATAAAGTTGCCTTTTTGTTTGCACCTATAATGATTTTGTGGTTGTTGTCAATTGCATCCGTTGGTCTGTACAATATTGTGACCTGGAACCCCAGCGTATACAAAGCTTTATCTCCCTACTATATCTATATATTCTTTAGAGACACGGGAATCGATGGATGGCTATCCCTTGGAGGCATCCTTCTATGCATCACAGGTAATATGGTCATTTAGTTCTGAAAAATAGACTCAAAAAGTATTTAAGCTAATCTTATGTTTCATCTCGGCAATTTTTCTGACTTCAGGAACGGAGGCTATCTTTGCTGAACTTGGCCAATTTACAGCTACATCTATAAGGGTATAACAACTTATTTGATTCCTTAAATCATGCAGCAGAAACCTCTTGGAGAGGTTTTGTTCAGCAGTACATTTGAAATTGCATTGCAGAGTTACGAAATTTTGTTGCTAAAAAAATGCTTGATCCAATGAATAAGAATTGTGATACACTATGACTGGCTAATGATGATGGAAACAATAACATTTTGCAATATCATCGTTCTATGCAGGTTGCGTTCTGTTGTGTTGTTTACCCGTGTCTGGTGCTTCAGTACATGGGCCAAGCTGCGTTTTTATCAAAGAATTTTTCTGCTCTGCCTACAAGCTTTTATGCCTCCATTCCAGGTAATCATTTGTTCAATCTCCATTTCATGTCGCTTTCTTCTACCCTTACAAGTTACAATCTCCATAAATCTCTCCAATTTTTGGATAATGCCACTACAAGTCACGGTGCTCTTTGCTTGTGTAGTTTGTCATATTTTTTTTGCTCTTGTTCTTCAGATCCTTTTTTCTGGCCGGTTCTTATGATGGCTATGCTGGCTGCAATGGTCGCAAGCCAAGCAGTCATATTTGCCACGTTCTCGATTGTTAAACAATGCTACGCATTGGGATGCTTCCCGCGTGTGAAGATTGTTCACAAACCAAGATGGGTCCTTGGCCAAATTTACATCCCTGAGATCAATTGGGTTGTCATGATCCTCACCCTCGCTGTCACCATCTGTTTCCAAGACACTCGACACATAGCTTTCGCTTTCGGTAAGGGCTTAACCTTCCATCAAACTCAAAATTTCATCTTTTATCATTAAGCTAATCTTCTGTTCCACAGGGCTCGCCTGCATGACTCTAGCCTTTGTGACAACCTGGTTGATGCCTCTCATCATCAACTTTGTCTGGAACCGTAACATCGTCTTCTCCGTTCTCTTCATCCTCTTCTTTGGGACCATAGAACTCATCTTTGTTGCATCAGCCCTGGTAAAAATCCCTAAAGGAGGCTGGATCACTCTCTTCCTTTCCCTCTTCTTCACTTTCATCACATACGTATGGCACTATGGCAGCAGAAAGAAGTACCTATGCGACCAGCACAACAAGGTCCCTATGAAATCAATCTTAAGCCTCGGGCCAAGCCTCGGTATTATCAAAGTCCCCGGGATGGGTCTTATCTACACAGAGCTCGCAAGCGGCGTTCCCGCCACCTTCACTCACTTTCTAACAAACTTACCGGCGTTCTACCAAGTTGTCGTCTTTGTCTGCTGCAAAACCGTGCCTATCCCGTATGTACCACAGAAAGAACGGTACCTTATCGGCCGGATCGGGCCGAAAACATACAGGATGTACCGATGCATCATCCGAGCTGGCTACAAAGATGTGAACAAAGACGGAGACGACTTTGAAGATGAGCTCGTGATGAGCATCGCTGAGTTTATCCAGCTAGAGTCTGAAGGCTACGGCGGCTCAAACACTGACCGTTCCATCGACGGTCGGCTCGCTGTTGTGAAAGCCTCAAACAAGTTCGGGACAAGGCTGTCTCGGTCTATATCCGAGGCCAACATCGCGGGCAGCTCGAGATCACAGACAACAGTAACGAACAGCAAATCACCGGCGCTGCTTAGATTGAAAGCAGAGTATGAGCAAGAGCTTCCGAGGCTGAGCATGAGAAGGATGTTTCAGTTCAGACCAATGGACACTAAGTTCAGGCAACCGCAGGTGAAGGAGGAACTGTTTGATCTTGTGAACGCTAAGGACGCGGAAGTGGCTTACATTGTCGGGCACGGTCACGTGAAGGCGAAGCGGAACTCGGTGTTTGTGAAGCAGCTGGTGATAAACGTGGCTTACTCGTTCTTGAGGAAGAATTGTCGGAGCCCAGGCGTGATGTTGAATATTCCTCACATTTGTTTGATTAAAGTGGGCATGAACTATTACTTGTAAGTGAGTTATACAACGACTTTCAGTTACTAGAATTTCTGTGAGATTTTGGTTTTCTATTTTTGTGGTGAAATCATGTTTCTTTTGTAATAAAATACTATTTTGCTTACACAGATTTCTATTTTATTTCTTTGTAACTTCGACTTGGTTTGGTTTCAAAACAGAATTAGTAATCAAAAGCTTAGTCAATCATATTCAATGTAAGAATAGCTAGTAATGGTGATTTCTATTTTATGATTTGTACCCAAAAAAAAAAAACGACTTTGACTGTCGTCAAACGACATCAACACAATCTTAATACGAGACCGCAAAACTCAAATATATTGAAATACGTAGTGATATAGAGGCATAGTGAGACAGAGAACCAACACTATATTTATCCCTCCAAGTTCATCAACAATGACGAAAAACCACAAAAAAGAAAACAGACATATCAGTCGAGAGAAATTCCAAGTTCATTCACATAACCGAAAGAGCAACCTAAAAACCGCCCGAAACAAATAACATATTAAAGGATCTAACACATAACTTCGATACCATTTCACAACACCCTTTTGCTATCGACGAATTACCATTTTGTAAAAACCTAATCTCTCTTCTTGTTCTTCAACGGGCCCAATGGGATCTTGCTCAACACCTTCTCGTCCAACACTGCATACTGCTTCTTGATCTCGATCATCGCTTTCTCACCTAACGGATCAACTTTGTCTTCGTACTTGTCGTAGACAATAGGGACAGTGAAGAGCAGCACAAGAGCTGTTGCAGCATATAAGAGATTTAGTTGTCAGGTTCAGTTGAGATACGAGAAGGAAAGCACCACGCAATATGGAAGATTAAACATTACCTATGTATGCCAATGTCAAGAAATTGAACCAGCCACCCAAGACTGATAGAACCCATAAACCGGCAACAGCCTATTCAATCCAACAGTACATTTTTTTTGTCAACGATCAGGATGAATGTAAAAAGTACAAGTCACACATAGTTTCTACACAGCACTTGGACTTACAGAGAGGAATTTCTTGAGATCCCTTCCAGATGCAATCTCACGAAGAGAAGAGAATCCACGGTTGATCTCGATTCTGAGCCCAGACGCAAGCTGAAGGATAGGCTCTTCAGGGATATGAACTTCAGGAATCTTTGGTGGAGACCTGACAGAGAATCAATCGTCAAACAACTGAGGAGCGAATTATATCAAGCTGAGACACTTACAAAGCATACCAGAAAAATTAAGATTCATTAGACTGGTGATTAACTTACTTGTTAATGAACATGGTTGCATTAGACCATAGAAACAACACAGCGAGCACAACAATCATCACATGGCAGAGCAGAGTGAGAAGGTGGTATTCCATCAATTCAAAGAGAACCCAGGCAGCTGTAGCAGCACCAAGAACTCCACCAGACATCTTCTTGTTCTTCCACATGAATATATCAGCCGCTGCAAATAGGAAAACAAGAAGAATCAAGTTAGGCAACACTACATATACTACCCACTGAATCTCTCAACATTATAAAAAAACATGGACTTGATACACAGACTACAATATCATATTACGGTTTTTAGATCGAAACAATGTCATAGCATCAAAACAATCAAAGTGAGCATTAATCAAGTTTTCAAGAAACCATAAAAATCCATTATCATCAAAACCAGCCATATCGAAATCCCCCAAAATATGGTCGATCCAGATCAACGGCGACACCACGAACACAATAGATATTCAGATTCAAACACAAATCAAACCCCCATCTTAAGAAAATCTACAGAATCCCCAAACTATCAGCCAAACAGCACATATAAGAAACAGATCAAGCCATATCACACGAATTCATATGAAAACTGAAGAAAATAAAAACCAGATCCGAGCAAAACATACGCTTTCCACCGCCGAGAACCTTGTGCACAGGCTTCTCCCTTCCGAACAAGCGGTAAACCTTCGACTGCATAGAAGAAGGAGAAGACGGCTTCTTCTTCTTCTTCTTATCGTCCTCGTCATCAGAGGACGATGAAGATGAAGACGAAGATCCACCACCGTGGTGGATCTTCTCCGATATCTTGTCCATCAACGATTCCCTCTCCACAACCTCCACAGCTGGCTCCAGAGCGGTCACAGATTCCTCGTGTTTATGTTCCTCCGCCATCGTTTTCCGATTCGATTTCACGCAGATCTTAAGGTTCCGATTCGGTCGAACAACAAAGAACACAGTATTTTAGCTGCTTTTTTTTCACAGTTTTCGATTTACACCTTTGAGAGAAATATCTCGAGAAAGCCTTAAAATAGAAGAAAAAAAATTCTACAGTTAAAATCTCATCCGTTGAAATAAATGGTTCTGATCTGAGCGGTTGGTTGGTTCGGAACCGAACCAATACGTTCGTTACTTAACTAGAGCAAACCCTTGGGGAAAAAGAAAAAAAGCCAAAAGGATGGGAACACAAACATTTCATAAAGGTATCGAGTTGTGACGCCGTCAGAGTTAACGGCTCCCGTTATCAGGGGACGTATACGTGGCAGAGTACATGGGTAATGTTCAGGTGTCACGCGGCTGAATCAAGAAGTTGTAGGATCGAATCCCTGATTGCATGACACGTGGTGAAACATTCAACCATTCGTACATGAGTCACGCTCTTTCTGTCTGCATCGAAAAGAACCGAGAACTTAATTCTTGTATTATAGACTAAATATAAAAAGCATATGTAAATGGTTCAAGTCGGTAGAGGGCAGTGTGTAGGAGTTGTTGAAAAAATAATAAATAAGCATATAACATAAAATGATATAAACAGTAATGGATTATTTAATTTTTCTTATCCGCAAAGAGGTGCTTTTGTTTTTCTAACAATAAAATTAAAACAATAGAAAAACAAAAGTAGACATAGAATGTGTTTCTTCTAATAACTACACACTGCCCTCTACCGACTTAAACCATTTTTTGGCCATTTACATAGCTTTTGTTTTTATCCTTACCGGTTTTATATTAGAAAATGTATAGTTAATAATAAAATTCAGATGACAAAAAAAAAAAAAATTAGTAGACATATTAGAATGTGTGAGGAGTGACAATAATTGGGGCCCAATAGAGCACAAATGATGGTACTAATTTATAATCAAGCCCAGTACCAGTTTTCTCATGGGCCGGAGACAAAGGCTGAACATAATATACTAAAATCAGAACTAAACCGTAACAGTATACCGAGAAATGCTCAAACCAAATACCTTTGATTGATTAAGAAAAAAAATTACCTAGCACATGGAAGACGAAGTGAAAAAGTAGACGCTCCATTTTCTTTCATTCCGTAGGAGTTCCAGAAGCTGACTGAAAGAATTCTGCTTTAGTTTTTTATTTTAGGACAAATTAACGAAAATACAAACTTTAGATTATAAACGCTAAACGCTAAAGCTGAAACAACAAGTCAATCTAAAGAATAGGGAAATAGCCAGAGGAAAATGATTTAAACTGTCAAACATAAATAATACCTTGGCTACAAACAATCAGTTACTTAGACGTGAGAGAAATGTGTTTTTCTGTTTCATGTGCAGAGAGGAAGAAGAGCTTATAGATTCGTGATGGAGGCCATATTTCTGTCCGGACGGTTTTACCCTTATTGTAATACCACCATGAGTATTTTAAGGTTTGTACCAACAATTCTGAGTAGGTCCGGTTCAGCTTTTTCCATTGGTCGTTTGTTTGTTTAAATTAAATCTCCATTCTTATTCTCTTCCATATCTTTTATTCGATTTGACAAATTTATAGTATTGTAAAGAACGAATGATACATTTTATCACAAACCAAATCAAATGTAAAGTTTGGGTTTGGTTCACTCCAATAAAACCGTTTGGTACACATTGAGGGTAAAATTGTCAGTTAAATAATAGGTAGATGGATTCAAAGAACATCTTTATGGAATATCCGTTGAATCATGCCATCATCATCAGGTTTTGCCTTTGCTTCAATCCAAATGCAGTTTATGCTGATGATTGCATGAGCTAAGTTTAAGCCCATAAAACTCTTAAACTTGGCCCATTATAAATCTAAACGACGCCGTTTCGTCAGAGAAACCTCACATTTCTGTCACACTTCTCCTAAACCCACTCGCTTTCTTCTGCTCTCTCTCTCTCTCTCTCTCTCTCTCTCTCTCTCTCTCTCGCAAGTGACAATGTTGCTCCGTCGTGCAACAGCACTGCCCAAAACCCTACAAAACCTCCGGTTATTCTCTCCGGCGGCGACCGCTTTAGCTCTAGATCAGACCCTCGAAACCCAATTAGATTACCTCCCTGGATTCCCGCGACCCGATCCAAAGTACGCAGAGACGATTTTGGCCGTTCCACGGTCTGATTCCGGCAAGAACATTTCGGCGAAAGAGCGCAAAGCGGGTCGAGTTCCTTCGATCATATTCGAACAGGAGGATGGGCAGCACGGAGGAAACAAGAGGCTTGTCTCAGTTCAGACGAATCAGATCAGGAAGCTCGTGACTCATCTGGGCTACTCTTTCTTCCTCTCTAGGCTCTTCGATGTCGAGGTTCGAGCTGAGCTAGGTTCTGATGAGGTCATTGAGAAAGTCAGGGCTTTGCCTAGATCGGTAAAGTCCCCCTCTTTTCTCACTCTTAAAATTGATGAATTTCTGGATGTTGAGTACATTGCATTTTCTCAGCTGTTCTGATACTTCACTTGTTATTTTTAGTACTTGATTTTAGGATGGTTTCTGTGTGTGTTTGGCTTATTAGTTATGTAGTAACTTATACGAAACTATGTTCTGTGAAAATGTTTTCAGATTCATTTGCACGCCGGAACAGATGCTCCACTGAATGTGACATTCATAAGAGCGCCTCCAGGTGCTTTGTTGAAGGTCGATATTCCGCTAGTGTTCATAGGAGATGATGTTTCTCCTGGACTAAAGAAAGGTATAAGGCCTTGACTGATTCTAAAATCTACTTTCTGAGTTTTAGTTTTCTAAGAGAGATATAGTATTTTCTTATTCTGGCATCAGCAAAAAATAGAGGAAAAAAATAGTCAGCATCTTAATAGGCTTATGAGATCCTAGGACTGAGGAGTATCCACATAAGTTAGTTTAGGTGCTTACATAGTAATCGCTGCGTTTCTGGGGAGCATTTCTCTTTCTCGAATCACAGACTGAAGCAGGATTAGTAAAATGATATCGTTAAGTAGTTAGGCTACACATAAAAAATTGACTTGTTTGGAGTTCATTGAGCTTCTAATATTGCCCTGGATTCTGTTACCCTTTTCTTGCATCAGATTGAGCCAGCGTTGGTGATGATGACAAGTATAATGTAAATGACAATTAGTTTGCTGTTTTAGAAAACTTTAATTTGAGCGGGGAGAAATCTATGTGCTAAAGTTACGTTATGTTTGATGTTTTAGGGAGCGATTTTCGGTTGGCATGATTATATATCTTGGTATAGAGTGACCCCAGCTTTGTTTAGTGGCTTGTATCTCAGTCTGGCTACCCTTTTCTGGGATCTCTAAGTTTTCATTCCCTATTAGATTCTGCCCAATTTTGTAGATAGCAGCATCTAGTCTCTCGTTAGATATCAATATTGATCACTACGTCTTGATCTTCTTGCAGGAGCATCTCTGAACACAATAAAAAGAACGGTAAAGTTCCTGTGCCCAGCAGAGATTATCCCTCCATATATAGAAGTAGATCTCAGCCACTTGGACGTTGGACAAAAGCTAGTAATGGGAGACCTCAAAGTTCATCCCGCACTAAAGCTTATAAAGCCCAAAGGCGAACCCATTGTTAAGATCGCCGGAGGACGTGTCACTGATCAGCCAAAGAAATAACTTTGAGGTGCAAGCCAAAATGTTGCTCATACTTGTCTTTTCTAAACGTTGATGAAAAAAATTATGGATCAATCTTCTTAGAACTTTAAGGATCCTTTGAGGATGGAGATTTTTTTTTTTGTGTGTGTCGTTAGTGTTGCCGGAGAGCTCTAGTTTTCTATTTTTTCATTCTACTATGCATATTTTTCACATGTGGACAGTTTATTTACAAAACATTTATAAATAAGCGTAGAAAGAGAAGAAAAACAACAGTGAATCTTTTTAGATTCGAATTATGTTTCATGTCTTGGAACAGTGAGATGTAGGCTTTGAGAGGGAATATTCATCATCATCTTCACAGATTTCTTGAAAATCTTCATTATCTTCACTTTACCACTAGCTTCAACTCTCAAATCCACTCCTATTCCGTTGTCACAAACTCAGCCGTCAGATCCATTTTAAACGATCCGTTTCGCCGGAATAGTTTCATTTCTTGGACTAATTTCACTAACCAGCACCAATTCACCGTGGTAAAACCGTAACGTCATTTACCCTTATTCTCTTAACGAGGCTGAGTTCGGAATAACGAGATTTCCAAGGAGACCGTAGCGTTTTGGATCGGATTGTCTCAAAATAAAAGAAGATGACAAGTGTGTTAAAAAGGATGTAACAGTAATAATGATGATCCGACTCCAGATGCGAAAATGTAAGTTATACGATGAGGTTTGTAAATGGGATTTCGGGCCTGATATTTGAGAGACTACAAGCAAAGAAAAAATAACACTAAACTGATTTTTTTTTTTTTAGAAAAGGCATAATTGACATTCCTTGGACTCGAACTCACGCACCTGAAGAAGGAAAGATTGGCTCAACACCAACAGTACTAACTCAGTTTTAAGAATATTTGGCCCTAAGTTTTATATATTCTTGTCGGCCCTGAAGCATATATATATTGTAGATGAAACTACATAAACCTAATGGATGCAGTTACTTGTAGAGGAAGTAACCTAGCGTAATAAGAACAAATGTGAGGATCCCAGCTCAGAAACATACGTGGAGAGGTTTAGGGTTGTAAGAGTGAACTCTGTGAAGCCCAATGAAGACTGAAGTGAATCCTCTAACCATACACATTCTTTGGTCATTCCACCATCCATGATACACGTTACCCCTTCTAATACCAAGTATAGTAGATCAATTTTGTGCATATACACCGAGGAACAAGAAGATGTAAAAGCTGAAACCAATGGATCCGATGTTTTAGAGGTTGGGGTCAACGGCCAGTGCATCTCGTATCAACGTTTGATATTTGCTGACGATAAATCTACGTTGAGTTAAAATGCCACGTCATTAATTTTTAGCTGGACCACCATGCTTATAATTACTCTGTTTATCTTCTCCAACTTTCCGAAAAAATCCACAAGCTTCACCTATTGTTTTTTTCTGCGATTCGCGAAAGTTTAAGAACTCTTTTTATCTTTCCCGCTAAGATGAGCGACGCTGAGGATGATTCAGATACCACTTCTGTCATTGAGAATCCAGTGGAGCCACAAGCGGGGTTAGTTTCTTGGTCTCTTCTTTTTTTTTCGTTTCTTGCATCTAAATCAATGGAGTTGTATTTTCCTCGAAATCAAACGTTGACTCTCCCAAATGAACAAGTAAGTAGCATCAAAAGCAAAGGCAATCTCCTTAGATTTTCAAGAAATGGATGAAAAATACTGTACAATGTTTAACAATTCAATTCATCATGCACTATATATGCCCATTAACTGAATAAATAAGTTAATAAAGTCATACATTATCGCCAGCCAAAATCCAAGTGTTTCCACATGTTTACAATTCAGTAAATCAGAGAGCTATTTATGGCAAAGCAAAAAAAAAAAAAAAACTGTGTTAACTGAGAATCATTCATCCGCAGGCTGCTGCATGGGAGCAACAACATTGACAATTTTTGAGAGGTACGTGTTTGTAATGTAATTACAAATTTTTCTCTGAATTATATATATATATATATATATATATATATATATATATATATATATATATATATTACCGTTTTGTATTCAGCGCAGGAGAACATTGTGCAATTCGTATCGTCATATGCATTGACTTCAAGACAGACTCTACTAATCGACAGTGGAAGTGGGCAAGTTTTAGATGGGACGGTTTACTCTGTGTTACACAAACGACGGATTCCTAACGTGGTATAAAGTTTCACTCACTTTCCCAATTTGGTATAAGAGACATCAGTTAACACATTTCACTTTTCAGGGTAATGGAGCTATAATCTAGTTGATGGGAAAATTCAAATCCGATGGTGGAAATAGAAATGGAAAGGTGTTTGTTACTCTCTCGAATGTGGAAGGAGGGATTGCTAGAGCTTTTAGACTAGTAGCTCAAGGTAATGTTGTTATCAATTGCCATACAATTAGAGATTAAACTAGGAAATGAACTTAGCTTCTTGTCATTAGACTTCTGGATTTTGATATGATGGTTATACATATGGTATATAGAGCCGTGCCCAAAGTTGTGGAGATCCTAAACGGTATACAGAAAACTTATATTTTCTAAAATAATAACCATTGTTATTCCAACTAAATATAAAACTACACTAAAACTTTAATGAAAGTTTTGAGTAAAAATAAATTAGTGCAAGTATAATGTCATGTAAATAAAAATTTAACGTATTAATGGTAAAATAGATGTGAATATGATATGTGCGAAGAAGATCAATGAGTTAGTTATCTTATTTTTATAATATCTTTATTTTTAATAATAATTTATATTTTCTTTAAAGTTTCTAAAAATATTATGTTTTATATATTTGACCCTAATATTACTGTAATCACAAAATTTTAAGTAGAATTCTCTTAAAAAAAAAGTATGTAGGCCAAAGTTTCTAATTTTCTAACATAGGCACGGCCTGATGGTATGGTTATGCACATGCTTTTGTAAGGGATGGTTATGCAAATAGTTTTGTCACGAGTGTCATAATTTGCTTCTTATCATGAAAGGGATAGTAAAGCGAATCTCGGTGGCTTTAAAGTTTCCATTTTTTTGGGTTACTAATAAGAATAGTGAAATTGGAATGGATTGTCGACGTAATTTGCAGGAAAAATATATACTCGGAGACTCTGTTTCATCTTACGTGCAAAACTCTACTCATGTATTTTGCACTTTGGTTTGTATTAGTAATGTAAAAATTTAGAGTTTTGTTGCAGTGCTGATCTAGGTTCTTCATCCATTTTTGTTGCAGCTAAATTACTATGGTTTTTTTATAATATATACAAAGTTTATGAAATGAGAGCAACATAGTTTTTTGTTGGTAATTTACAAACACTATGAATTGAGAGCATGTAGCTGTAGTATTGTCTGCCTCAATATATATATATATATATATATATATATATATATGAATATATTTATATATATTATTCATTGATCAAACACTGATCACAACCAGGAAACTCATAAATTCGTTATAAGATTCATCTTAATCGTCCGTTTCGCCGGAATAGTTTCACATCTTCCACTACTATGCCTAATTACCACCAATTCACCGTGGTAAAACAGAACCGTAACGTCTTTTACCTTAAACGACGCCGGGTTGGGATTACGTATCGAGATCTCCACTGAGACCGTAGCGTGTTGAATCGTGTTGACTTTACCGTTGACGAAATTGGATGAAGGTTATGGAGCTTACGGCGAGTTTTGGGTTATGGAGATGGAAAACGTGAGGGAGAGGACGATGAAGGTGACTGCGATGAGCAGAGTTAGAGATGCGATGAAACCGCAACATAAGATGAGTTTGGTCCGTGAGTGGACCTGTTTGGTTGGCTCGTGGTGGTAATGATCCTCGTTGTGTTGGTCGCTTCGAGTGGTGAGAGAAAATGGGGATAAAGGCTTAGCTTGATTCCCTTTAGACTCAGTCATGGCTAACTCAAACCTTGGAGGTTTAACTAAATTAACAATATAGTTTTATAGATATACGTTTTTATATTGATTTGTAGTGGAAATGTAAGTTTCCGTAACGCGTTTGCCAAAGGAAAATAATAGATACGTTTGACTCTTGACTTGGAAAATGGAATGTAAAGTGGGATGAGTTGATTTTAATGGTGTGAAGCTTCTAAAGATTGGATGTGTGGTTGGTCCCATTGGTGTTTATTTTAATAAAATTATTTGTATAATTTTTGTTTGTTCTTGTTGTTAACACATACAATTTATTAAAACTCGGGTTCAAGTTATCAGTAGTCAGGTTAAAAGATAAAATTTAACATCTCTAATCCTACCATTTTGAGCTAACTAATCGGTTTTTAATTGTTTGATAAAATTATCATCTCTAACCCTATCATTTTGAGCTAACAAATCGGTTTTTAATTGTTTTAAGGACGGATATGTAATTATGGTGTTTGACTATTGACTTAGAAAACTAAAAGGGGAAAGAGTGATTTTAGTTTGTGAAGCTTCTAACGTTTTTTTTTTTTTTTCTAACGTCAGCTTGCAGTGCGTCTTTTAGCCTGATGGAAAAGTAATTGTCTATTTTTTCTAGCTTTATTTTTCTTTCTATAAAATAAAAACTGATTTTCTATTGACACAGTAATGGGTCTAAAAAATACTCGGATGGCAACCAGTTGGGTAATGACGAACGATCGAAACATCTCTTCCTCGTTGGCCGGATTTTGATGTAAGAGAGTTATGAATTAAATATGTTCGTAGTTCAATAGTGTTAAAATAAGCCAAGCACCACAAAGCCAAAGCCCAAGCTCGAAACTAGAACCTACCTAACCACAGTCCAGAGAAACTTACACAGAGGGAAACAAAATCCACATCAGGAGAGACAGCCATGAGGAAAAGGAGAGCCACCAAGAGCAGAAGAGCCCAGGAACGCTGCAGAATAAACCGAAACCAGGCGAAATATATTGAGATGTAATGAAATAACTTCGGACCAAGCGTCCAAGCCCTAAGTTAAGCCGAAATGTATTTTATCCACTTAGGTGTGTGAATTGCTTGCTTCTCACGTCTTGGCTCTGATTTATTCCGATTGGCGTTTCTTTATTTTCTATTAATTATTGCTATTTTATTTTCTTTGAAAAAGTAAAACTGATTTTGACAGGAGTTTTTACGGAAGTCCTATATGCAAAAAAGATGATAAAACTCATTCTCTTCTTAAATTTGAAAAGTAGATAAAAATACAAAAAAAAAATATTCAACTAAAATATTGTTCCGAATTTTTAGAACCAGATTGTTTTTTTTTGTTGAACTGATCAGTTAATTTCACCTTTCCGGACATGTGCAAATGATCTTCAGCTTGTCAGAATCTCAAAGATTAAGTCTACCCGGTTGCTTCGGGTTAGGAAATGGTCCTGAGACATAGGACACGACATGACCAGTTTCTTTTGAAATACTTAAATATCAATACATACATGTAGTCTAATGGTAAGTGAAAATAATCTGGAATTTATTAATGAGAAACAATACACGATTGTTTTAACCAAAAAAAAAAAATTACAGGACTGATGATGATAAGCACACCCATTTTATTTGTTATTAAAAATATGAAAGTGTTCATGATTTAACTCAAATCCATACATTACACATTTTTTATTTATTAATAGAGCATGTGTAAAAAGACTTGGGCGAAGAGACATACGGGTCATTTAGTTGACGCCATTGACGTTTTTAAGTGAAGCTTCACCTGTAATGGAATGGCGTTCACAGAAACTCTTCAATCTTTCAAACGCATCCTCCAAAGTTGGAGTGTCCATGTCAATAGAATGCCTCAGCCAATTCTTCTGACTGAATGCAATCCCTATAAAAACCAATCCAACACACAACATTTTCTTATGTTTGAAGTAAAAAAAAAATTGTATGTATTTTGTCTTAAAACCTAAACCCTAAAACTTGAATAGACATCTTCTTGAAACTTTAGAGAGAGCTTAGAAACCGTTATCCTTGGCAAAGGGGTTGATTGATTACCTGGTAAAACAACAAGGTTTTCTTCCATAGCAAGCTTCTTGCAGAAGTCTTGATCGTCTTCAATGCTCACAAAGCACGATAAATCCAGCTCGGTCTGCGACCATATTAATAAATGTTCCAGTGTGAAGATTGTCTCAAAATAAAAGTAGATAATCAACAAGCTTGTTAAAAATGTAATAATTATTATAGAATACCCATAAGAAGGTGCAAGCTTCAGGTTTCATGTAGCAGGTGAGGTTAGGTATGTGCTTGAGCTTAGAATATCCAAAATCTACTTTATCTTTCAGAAAACTCCCCCTCTTATCGAAGAACTCTTTAGGAGTTCTCTCCAAAATATCAGGAATAGCCGCCTATATGCATTAACATTGAGTGAAATACCCCCATAATTAAGTATTTTATTTACTCTAACAAAAAGAATAAGAGAATAACCTAAAATTTCGGACATCGAACCGTCTTTACCTGAATAACAGTTGGAGGTTTAGAGTTTATCTCGAGAAATTCTTTGGCAGCTTGTAAGATCTGTCCACAAAACAAACTAGTTAGGCCAAAAATTAAAGGTACAAATTTAGCTTTATATATCCGATATAGTATAAAGAAATAATTATATATTTATAGAATTACTTAGGTAGATTGATGGCAATTGAAATTAAGTAAATGGCAATGATGTGTTTTATGCGATCAGATATTGTAAATTTTCTGATGTTTATGCTTAGAGAGCGATCATGATAGAAAGAAAGGATCGGACCTTGGTGCTTTTGAAGACGCCATCTAGATCATGCAGCGCGAGCCAGCCAGTTCGCCATCCAGGGACACTCCAACCCTTAGATATGGATCCGAGTGTAACCACTGGTACGATTGACGAGAATTTTCCCATCGGAACAAAAGGGTTACTCCCAAAGACTGTCCATCTATAAACTTCATCAGAAACCACCATTATCGAGAGTTCCTTAGCCAACTCAGCAAGCTAAGGTTCAACAATTACACAAGAAAACAAATTAGATTATTGGCATATATATAGTCAAGTGAATACTTCAGTACCTAGAAGACTATATATTTATAAACATGTAAATACCTGCTTGAGATGACACTCGGAGTAGGTGTTCCCATTGGGATTGTGGGGGTTTATTATAAATATGGCAAACGTGTTCTTGTCTACCATCTTTCTCACGCTATCGAAGTCGATCTCAAAGTCTTTTTCAGGGATGAAGTCATAGTAGCGGACCTCAAGGTGCTTGTAGATGGAGCGGACTACGTCCCAAGGGAAGCCTGGCCTTGGAAGCAAAACGTTGGCTTTCGGTTTAGCAAGAATGTCCACAGCGAGCTCGATCGCTTGTTTGCATCCCACAGTCATAAACACGTCATCTGCTGTTAGCTTCTTCGGAAGATTTTGGTTTAGATATTCTGCTACGGCACTAAGAATAACAGAAGCAAAATGATTGTGTCATAAAATTGATACAAATTTAATAGAGTTAAAGGTAAAAATATACAAGCGTTAAATGGGGCTAAAGAATTAGCCTAAAATATGTGGTCCGTCTCAATGAATTTGGATTGCTTAATTCTGGTTACCTAATAAGTTTAGATCAGTTCACAAACCATATGTAAAATTCGAACATATTGTATATTAAAAAGGAAGTGACAAATGATTTCGGAAAAGTTTGATGAGCAAACAAAAACACTGGTCCAAAATACAAAATTATGAATCTAGTTAACAAGTTCATGCAAAATTAACCAAATATGTAGCGCTTTATATATATATATATATATATTTTTTTTTTGTCATGTATAAAAACAGTTTAGATATATTTATGATACCGTTTGGCGACCGGAAGGCCAATGCTAGGAGCGTAGGCGTTTCCCGTGCCGCATAGAACGGCTTTAACAACAGCTTTTTCAGCTGCAGGGCTGGTCTCTGGTGACTCGCTTCTTGGGGGCAAAATGGGCTTGCCATTAGGATCACACATAGCGTAGAGTTCAGAGGTGTAGGTGCCTAGGGAAGCTGCGGCAGCTTCTTTGGCCGCCTCGCTCCCGCTGAACTGCCACTCAATGCACTTTTGGTTCATCATTTCTTACTTAGTTCTCTCTTTTAAGATTTTGTTTTTGGGTGATTAACTCTCGTTGCTACGAGTTAAAATATATAGTGTGAGATTTCCAACCACTTTCCCTTTTTTCCAAATGATTTCCACATTGATCTATAATTTGGTATTTCACGTGGGTTACTATAATGAAGATAGAGGAGAAAAGGAATAATAATGTTTCTCGTGTACTAATTTTTGAATGCATGCTCATATGAACCCTCGCTTGTAGAGTCGCATTCTCCTTTATTACGTGTATAGAAGAAACAATATAATTCTGTCGATTTCTCATCAGCGTCTAAGAAGAAGCAAAGATTCCTACGTTTTTATTTCTTTATTATCTTTATCTTTGTCTTGGAATAAAAATAGGCCCATGTTTTTTTTTTTTTGTAATTGCCTGATTTCCAACTAAAAATTTCCCATCACCCATCCGGTGTAGATATGAGTCTTATTATTGGTTCCATTAGACTTTTATATTTAGCTAACAAAAAAAAAAGTATATCAGAAAATATATCTCACCAAAACCGTTCAAAAACCGGACTGAATTACCTCACTTTTAGTCTTAGACGACCATAGATTAAAAACATGTACATAATAGAGGGCATCGAAAATGCATATATATATATATATATGTATTCATATATTAATTATAAGAAGGTCTCTAAGTTTTTAAAAAAATAGAAGAAATTTTAGTTTTTGTTATCACCAACACGTACGTATAACATGTTTTTGATACACCGGGCGTAACTTAATAATTTAATACGCGTGAAACCACTACGTTATTTATTAGTTAAAAGTTTCAGCACATTATTGTAAAAATTGTAAGTTAAGATAATAGACTTTTGTAAACTATTATCAAATGCATCGACCGCACAGGTTATTGCAGTATCTCTCTAATATTTTAGTTTATAAACAGTAGAGTATCCAACGACTATCTAATTAATTCCAATAAAAGTTCATTTCTCAATCTGAATTTCATTAATTGTGATATGATATAAATTTTATATTCGCGTAAACGTAAAATAAAAAGCTTATACTAGATACATGAAGGATCATATATATAAGTACTAGATACATCCATCCAACCTTATCAAAAGTTGTACGTCAAAATTTCTTAGAATCTCAATGTAGCCGGTCTTGGCTCTATATTCAGTCTGAATCGATGCTGAGTTCTGAGCTACATAAAACACGACCTATATCTATTTTTGAAATATTTAAGAGAAGAACATGAATGTTCTACAATGGCATTTTCACACCGGGAAGTGCAAACTATTGAAAATGAAAAGAAATTAAAATTTTATTATTTTTTTTATAAAAAGTAGAAAATAAAGCAAAATATTGCAAACTCTGGGAAATACACGAACGATAATGCGTACACCACCTTAATTTGTTACAAATACGAAAATGTTCATGATTTATTTCAAATCGATATAACAGCCATTTATTATTATAGCATATATAAAAGACTTAGAGAAAGATACATATAACTGATCCTTTAGTTGACGTCTTGGAGTGAATTAGCTTCATCTATGAAGGAGTGGCGTTCACAAAAAGTCTTCAATCTTTCAAATGCATCCTCCAATGTCGGAGTCTCCATGTCGATAGAATGCCTCGCCCAGTTCCTCTGAGCAAATGCAATCCCTAGACCAATCCAAAGCACAAAATATATGTTCTTATAAGAAAAATGACGAACATAATTATGTTCACAAAAAAAATGATATGTGTTGTCTTCAATGCTAAACAGTTAAACCTTGAACATAGGTATAATTGGATATTGATTAATAATACCTGGTAAAAGGACGAGGTTTTCTTCAGTAGCAAGCTTTTCACAGAAGTCTTCATCGTCTTTAATGTCCCCAAAGAATGATATGTTCAGCTTGGTCTGCGAGAACAAAAGAAACAAATAATTAAGTAAGAATATGTCAAAATCATTAAAAATTAGAAGTGTTAATGAAATGCAGTTATTGATAGAATACCCATAAGAAGGTGCAGGCTTCAGGTTTCATGTAGCAGGTGAGGGCAGAAATCTCCTTGAGCTTAGAATATGCAAAATCAACTTTATGTTTCAGGAAACCCTGCCTCCTATCGAAGAAGTCCTTAGGAGTATTCTCCAAAATTTGGGGAATAGCCGCCTATAAGTTAGAAAAAAAAGGCCATATGTAACAAAACCATAATTGTCAATAAGTGGATTATCCCGCACATTTTTTATTCTATCTGGTTACAATATTTTTCCAAACTATAGAAAGTCCCGTACCTGGATAACAGTTGGTGGTTTAGAATTGATCTCAAGAAATTCTTTAGCAGCACTGAAGACCTGTCCAATATATATAACAAGATCAGGCTAAGAAAATTAATAAGAATGAACAATTGTGCTAACTCTAGATATCAAACATAGTAAATATTAATTATGATACATATCATGTATATGCTTAAAGAGTGATCGAAAATAATTTGACAGACCTTGGTGGATCTAAAGACACCATCTAGATCATGCAGTGCAACCCAGCCGGTTCGCCATCCCGGGACACTCCATCCTTTTGATATGCCCCCGAGTGTAACCACCGGTACGATCGACGAGAACTTCCCCATGGGAACAAAGGGATTACTCCCAAACACCGTCCATCGAAAGACTTCGTCAGAAACCACCATTATCCCGAGTTCACGAGCCAGCTCAGCGAGCTAAGATTCATTGACATATACACACAATCAACACTTAGATCATAAGGTCATGCATGTTGCATACTTGTATAACTAATTAAAATATCTGTGATAATACCTGCTTGAGATGAGTTTCAGAGTAGGTGTTCCCATTGGGATTGTGAGGGTTGATTATAAATATCGCAAACGTGTTCTCGTCTGCCATCTCTCTGACGCTGTCAAGATCAATCTCATAGTTCTTTCTTGGGTGAAAATCATATTTGCGGACCTCAAGGTTCTTGTAGATGGAGCGGACTACGTCCCATGGAAAGCCAGGCTTAGGAAGCAGGACGTTGGCTCCTGTTTTAGCCAAGATATCGACCGAAAGCTCAATGGCTTGTTTGCACCCAACGGTCATAAACACATCATCTGCGGTTAGTTTCTTCGGAAGATCGGTTTAGGTACTCAGCTACGGCACTAATATAAGGGTAACAAAAAAAGGTATGGGACAGTTTTAGTCAAGAGTAAGATATAACAAAATAAATGTCTAGAAAATGGTTAACGATATGTCTATGTATATATTACCGTTTGGCCACAGCAAGGCCAATACTGGGAGCATAGGCGTTTGCATCCAACGGTCATAAACACGTCATCGGATACCAGAAACAAATAATGAGATATATAGTTTCAGTCAAGAGTGAAATAAAATTTTAAAAAAATTAATGTCTAAAAATGATGAACGATATGTCTATGTATATATTACCGTTTGGCCACAGGAAGGCCAATACTGGGAGCATAGGCGTTTCCAGTGCCGCATAGGACGGCTTTAACAACTGCCTTTTCAGCAGTATGGCTAGTCTCGGGGGGATTCGCTTCGAGGTGGCAAGATTGGCTTTCCGAGAGGGTCGCATAGTGATGCAGCAGCATCCTAACATAAGAGAGAAGATTATCGTTTGTGTTTATGCTCATATTGTCATTTGGGCTTTCTTGCTTAGTGGGTTTTTATTTTAATTTGGTATTTTAGTTAGTTTTCCTTTTCTTAACTAGAGTTTTTGTTCTACTTTTCTTATTTAAAGAAACTCTAAGTTGTAAGCTTCCACAGATTTTGAGATTTTAATAATAAAGAGATTTCTCTTACCCTTGTTTTGATTTGAATTAAGTTCATCAATTCAGGAAGCCTTGCATTGATTTGATTAAGTTCATCAATACAAGAAGTCAGGTCTCTAGAGATTACCTTGATTTCTAGATTTGAGCTGAATCATAAATCCTACACTGCGCCACATAGGGCAAAGAGTTTAGAGGAGTAAGTTCCTAAAGAGGCACCTGAGGCTTCTTTGGCAGCCTCGCTGCCACTAAACTGCCAGTCAACTGATTTGCTATTCGCCATATTTCTTGTGTTTAGCGTTTGAATCTACTTGTTTTATTTCTCTAGTTTTTAGATTTTTGTTTTGGGTGATAAGATCTCCTCGCTACGAGTGAGATTATATATAGTAAAACTTTCCACAGTTTTTCACATTTTTAATAAACTTGATATTCACATGCTGAATATTCAAATGTAAAAAAAAATTATTAAAATGAAAGTAGAGAGAGAAACAAATAGTAAATAACCTACAATTTCGAGTCGCTACGCGTTAGAACGTGGGTTTTACGAAATCAAAGGTGGTTACAAATATTATTTTTGTAAACTTATAATAAAACTATCATTGTAAAATAAAGGGACGGCTATGGACCAAAGATATAAGTTGCGTTCCGTCGTCTTAAAAAACCCATATTCGTATTTATTGTTTTTATTGATTAACGGTAACCTATAAATTTGTTTACATACAAAACCAGAATTTGATCTGTTCACCAATCAATCCCAAGAAGAAACAAATGAAACCGCTGCTGAGAGTTCTAGGGCACAAGAAAGCCTAAATCAAAACCACAATCCGACTACGGTAGATGAAGGTCCTCATGATGAAGCGAATGCATCGGTGGATGCTGATGGTGATCGATGCTGATGGTGATGTGGAAAGCCTTGACGATTATGAGAGAGCCATGATCCCTCTCCGAGGTCTTAAAGAAGTCATGCGCAGGCATCGTTTTGTGGAAAATCTCTTAGCAGATTACATAACCACCACTCCTAAAACACCAGAGATAATGAATGAAGCGGGTCAAACTGTAGAAGATGTGATGGAGGAATGGTCTACAATTGAGTCGGTGATGCAATATGGGAGTTTTCTGGAGAGTGGGTTCACCTCTCAGTCAGAGGATGGATCGGCACAGCCACTAAACAAAGGTGCAGGTAAAAGAATCTTCACTAGTGATATAATTCTTGATGGTATGGATTCTGCTGATGCTACTCAGACTCCCAAGAGGCTCCGAGTGGAAGATGAAGCTGTGGACAAACATATCCAAGAGGAAGGCCACCAGATTCGGGAGGAGAATGCTTTGAGAAAGCTGCAAGCTGACTACAGCAACTGTGTCGAGGACCTGTTCGACACTTCACTTCTCGGAGGCGCGGTGGACTCGAATCCACCAGAAGTCCCATGAGAGTAGAAGTTTGGAACTGTCGAGGCTTGGGACAGCGCCTGACAGTTCGACGTCTTCAAGAGATGCAGAGGCTGTATCTTCCGGACTTGTTGTTCCTGGTGGAAACAAAACAAAACAATGATTATGTAAGAGATATAGGATCTCTATTAGGATATGATGCTATGCAGATAGTTGCGCCTGATGGCCTTAGTGGTGGATTAGTAGTTTTCTGGAAAAGTTATCTTTCTGTTTATTGTATTTCCGCAGATGCAAGGCTTGTAGACTTATCTATTGAATTCAAATCTTTTAAGTTTTACTTGTCTTGTATTTACGGAAATCCAATTCCCAGACTAAGACAATATCTTTGGGAAAAGCTACAGCGCATATCAATAGCAAGAACAGGACCGTGGATGATGTGTGGGGATTTTAATGAGATCCTCACACCTTCGGAAAAGAAAGGTGGACGAGTAAGAAATGCAAGTAGCTGCCTTGGTTTCAAGACGATGATGCAGGTATGTGGTATGACTGATTTGAAATCATCTGGTAATCCATTTAGTTGGGTAGGGAAGCGGAGAAATGAGGTGGTCGAATGTTGTCTGGATAGAGTGTTAGTCAATTCGGAGTGGAATAATGCTTACCCTGCTTCACAAATGGAATTTCTTGATTTAGCTGAATCTGATCATAGGCCTATGATCATTAATATTGAATATGAAGAAAAGCAGCGACAAGGTCTGTTTCGATATGATAAACGTTTATATCATAATGACGATTTCAAAGATACAATCACAACTTCTTGGCAGACTCGTATGAGACAAACTAATCAATTTTCTGCGAAGTTGGTTAAGTGCAGGTCTGCTATGGCGAAATGGAAGAGGAGAAATAGGACGAATGCAGCTGAGAGAATCCAAATGCTGCGTACTCAGATTGATGAAAAATTGCGAGATGCTTCAATCCAGGTATCAGAAATTCATCGTTTAAAGAAAGAACTTGGTGACGCCTATTATGATGAAGAACAATTTTGGAAACTGAAAAGCAGGAACAAATGGTTACAAGCTGGGGATCGTAACACTAAATTCTATCATGGTGCGACGAAAGCTAGAAGATCCAGAAATTGTATCAGGCATGTTGAGGACAATCAAGGTATTATCCACAAGAAGGATGAAGCTATAGCTAAGGTTGCTGAAGAATACTTTCACCAAATGTTTACCACGTCTAATACAGCTTCTGTTAGTGAAGTTTTTCCAGAGATAGTACAAACTGTCACTTCTGATATGAATTCTTTTTTAACAGCGCCTATTACAGATAATGAAGTCAAAGAGGCGGTATTCCAAATGGGACCTGACAAAGCACCAGGCGCAGATAGATTCACAGCCGCTTTCTATCAACAATTTTGGGAACAGATTGGAGGAGATGTATGTCATATGGTTAAAAGATTTTTTGAAACAAATGAGATGGAACCAGGTATGAACCATACACAGATTTGCCTTCTTCCCAAAATTACTGATGCTATGGTTATGAGTGACTACAGACCAATAAGTCTATGCACTGTGAGTTATAAAATTATTTCGAAGATCCTGGTATTGCGGTTAAAACGATTTCTAGGCAACCTCATCTCGGAATCACAGGCAGCATTTGTTCCAGGTAGAAATATTCAGGACAATATACTAGTTGCCCATGAACTTTTGCATGCTATCAAATCAAAAAAAGATTGTGCTGAATCCTATCTAGCTGTTAAGACTGACATTAGCAAAGCATATGATAGAGTGGAATGGGGTTTCTTAGAAACGGTAATGAGAAAAATGGGGTTTGCTGATCGTTAGATAGGTTGGATCATGAGTTGTGTCACAACAGTTTCCTATTCAGTTTTAATTAACGGAACAGCGTATGGCAATTTTAAACCTACCAGAGGCATTAGACAAGGTGACCCTTTATCACCATATTTGTTTTTGATATGTGCAGAAGTATTAAGCCAGATGCTGAGTAAGGCCGAGAGAATGAAAAAGTTCCAAGGTATGAAATTAGCAAGGAATTGTCCAACGGTTACACATCTACTGTTTGCTGACGACTCTCTCTTCTTCTGTAGAGCTACTCCATCGGACTGTGGGCAAATTGCAAAAATATTATCTGATTATGAAGCTATCTCTGGACAAAAGGTAAATTTTCAAAAATCGTCAGTTATATTTGGTATGAGGATTAATGAAGAATTCAGAGCTGTGTTACAAGGGATTTTGGGGATCAATAATATAGGTGGTGGTGGTAAATACCTGGGATTACCTGAACAATTTGGACGCAAGAAAAAGGAGCTGTTCCAGTTTGTCATCAAACGGATAGAGGAGAAACTAGGAGGATGGTATAATCAGTTTCTGTCTCCAGCTGGTAAGGAAGTATTAATCAAATCTGTGGCTTTAGCAAAACCAGTTTATGCGATGAATTGCTTCCTTATTCCCAAAACAACATGTGATGACATTAATAGTTTGTTGTCTGAATTTTGGTGGGGCACAGATAATGGAAAGAGGAAGACCTCATGGGTTGCTTGGAAAAGGATGTCTTTGCCGAAAAAGGAAGGAGGTATAGGATTTAAAGATTTACACAAATTTAATCTCGCTCTTTTGGCAAAGCAAGCATGGAAGATTTTGACGAACCTAACGTCTCTACTTGCAAGAATTTACAAAGGAAGGTATCATCACTAATCGATGTTCTTAGAATCGATGTGTGGAATGCAACCATCTTATGGATGGAGATCAATACAAGCAGGAAAAGATCTGCTGAAAAAAGGTTTACGGAAGCAATTAGGTAATGGAAGGGATACATATGTAGATATGGATCATTGGTTACCGGTTTTACCTCCACGTATTATCAACAATGTTACTGGTGTGAATAGACAAAGTTTACATGTTCCAGTGTGTTCGTTATGGCAGGAAGGAAAACGACAATGGGACAATGGGAAATTAGATCTTTTGTTGACACCAGAAGATGCTGATTTAGCACGGACGGTCAATCTGTCACGTTATGCCACTGAGGATAGGTATATATGGCCCTTCACAAAGGATTGTAGATACACAGTTAAATCTGGTTATTGGTTTGCTACACATCATGACCAAGATGATATTATTATGCCTCCTACAGGAGATAAGGAGCTGAAAATGAAGATCTGGAATATCAAGCTTTTACCAAAAATCCAACATTTCTTATGGAGAGCTTTGTCGGGAGCACTACCAACAGCAGAATCACTTATAAAGAGAGGTATACAAGCTGATCCAATCTGCCAGAGATGTTGTTTATATGACGAAACCATAAACCATGTATTATTTGAATGCTCCCAGGCGAAGTCAATTTGGAGATGTGCAAACTATACTCTGTTTGATAATGCTGTACCAAATTTGGAAGAGAATATCAAATTGCTACTGGAAAACCAAGAGAACGTGTCTCTACCTAATCAAGTAAGATTTATTTCTTTTTGGATACTATGGCAAATCTGGAAATCAAGGAACGAATTTCTATTTGAAAAGAGAAATGTCCGTCCAAATGTGGATGCACAAAAAGGTATTCAGAGTGCTACGGAATTCTTGGCTGCTCAAGAGGGTATTGCTCAAAATTCAGGTACGCATCAAAATATAATTGAGGATAGGTCAAGTGAATGGGAACCCCCACCTGAGGGTTGGTTGAAATGTAATTTTGACATTAGCTTACGACCGAATCAAGAGCACATCAGAGTAGGATGGATTATAAGAGATTGTAAAGGATCCTTTCTGAATGCAGGATCAGCAAACTTACCATTTGTCGCCACATCGTTTCAGGCAGAAGCTGCAGGTTTTCTTCACGTTTTACAAGTAGTCTGGGCACGTGGTTGGCGATATGTGTGGTTCGAAAGTGACAACAAAGAGCTAACGAAGGTTATTAATGCGAAGGAAGATAGCTTAAAGTTGGGAAATGTACTCTATGATATCAGGTACTGGATGCAGAAACTACCACAATGTTCTCTTGATCATGTGAATTGGGAAAGGAATCAAGCTGCAGATTTTCTAGCCAAAAAGGCGTACGAAACGAAGTCTTCATTTTCCTTATTTGATGTACCGCCTGTATGGCTAGTTAATTACTTATATTTTCCGTTTACAGTTTAATCTAATAATAATAAGTTGACAAAAAAAAAAAAAAACAAAACCAGAATTTGATCTTCAAGTTTTTAAAAATATATGAGTGTAGATTTTTAAAAAAAAAAATTTCTTATCTAGCAATTAGAATAAGATATACAAATGTTAGTGTTCCTAATAACAAATATGGAAAAATTGTTTAACTCGATATTCCTGGCCGTCAGGTATACTTAGTTGTCGAGTCATCATCGGCTATAATACCCAGTCGTCAGACCATTTGTTCATCAATTAGTAAGACATCATCATCATATTCATGTATTTCCATCGTTTTTATTGTTGTTTTTGGGAATCATTCATTCACTCACTTGAGGCAAACCTAATATGAGTATGAAGCACATGACATCAAAGTAAAAGCAGACCAAAGAAAGCGCGTCTAGAGAGTGAACATATCTCGCAGAAAAACGTGTGCTGCAAGCAAGGATAGACTAGATTTAGGAAGTCGGTTCCTCCACATACGTAGATTATCTAGACGGCCTTCCTCTTATAATTAGAAGAGAAGAAGAACTCAAGAGGATCCATCCACAAATTGAGGACAACAACAAAGCGAAATTTTTACAGGCTATACCTTGAGAGCTTTTCGCAGTAGGTAGTAGAAATCCAAGACCCCATTTTTCTTGTTTTGAACGATTGCTGGTTAATTATTAGAAAATTTTCAAATATATATGCTTGATTTTTTTCCTGTAGAACTAATCATCTATTTTTTCCTAAACAGTTTTCATGGTCACGTCAATTACGTTGAACATCATCGTACGTACATAGCTAAGTTCGGAGTCACCATAGCCAAGTTTGGTGTCATCATTTGGCACGCTCGTGGTGCCCAGCCGCTTCCAGTTGGAAGCAAGCGTAAGAAACCTGGTATTCACAGAGGGTCTCATACCATGTCTGAACACCTACTTATTTAACAATAAAAGATAATAGGAAATACATAAATATGTTCAAATCGATCTCATCATTTTTGAGATATTCTAATCTGGGAACCAACAACAAGTTAAGGATAAAAAAATTCATCAGTAATCAGGGGCATATGACTAAGATTGGAGTTGCTTGAAAATAACCAAGATGATAAGTAAATGTCATTGGACCCATACTTGGCCGTCAGTGGAATGGTGAGGAGGCGGCTTCAAGGGCCGTGTCAAACTATTTGTAAGTTCTGTTTAGTAAAAGTATATTTAACATGATAAAATTAGTTGTTTTTCAAAATTTTAGACACTAATTCATAACATGTTTTTTATTTAAGGAGATCTTCATTTTGAACTGAACGTCTGAATACATTTTCGGTTTTACACTTTTACTCAAAGTGTCTGCGAGCTCCGGTAGTATTCTAGTACATAGTAAATATCCAACCACTTTTCTTGTTTGCCAACAAATTGCCACATTTCACGTGGGGTATTAAAAATGAGTAGAGAAGAATAAAATATTGTATCTCGACTCGAGTCTCTACATGCATGCATGTTAGGTAGAACATGGGTTTCCTCTGATTAAGGTGAGTCTAATTTACAAATATTATTTTTGTTAACACAATTTAGTTTGTTATCCTATAGTAGTATTTAACGAACGAATATGGATAGAGCCTACGTTGTTGGATTCTGAATTGTTTATTGGCTATGCCAATAAAACAAATCGCACAAAATCTCTCTTTAATCTTTCGTACTAATAATCTGATTCCAGTTTACAAACAACTACCTAATAAATGTACTATTGAAACTTTGACATTTTATTATTAATCAAAATTTTATTAATTATGTACTATTAATTAAATGTATTGTTTGGTTAATCTGAAGGAATTGTCATAATGTCATAGATGTATGCACATGATGTAATGAATTTTTATTGTAGAGCTGCATTCTTCTTTCTTATATGTACAACAAATACAACAAAACCAGATCATTTTGTCGATCATTCATGAGAATTAATCTCAAAAGTGGCTACGTATTTTTTTTCCTTTGTCTTCGAGCGAGGACGTAGAGAGGAGGAAAACCGCCCACGTTTTTTGTTTGTAGTCGTTGCCAATTTTTAAACCAAAAAATAACCCCACCTTTCCGCGTAGATAAATACGAGTCTTGTAAAATATGAACACATAATTATAATCATTGCTTAACTTAATTTTGGATTTAATCATAACTTAAACTTGTATCGATTGAGTTGGGAAATTCAACGTGTATGATTAATCTGATATCAAATATTTTTTATTTCAAAAATATAGTCCGGACCGTCACTGCCATAAATTTAGCTAATGAGAAAAGAAGAAAAATTAGGTTTGAAAGGCTTTCAATGAAGACGATTACCATCATATTTTGCTTGATAAATTATGCTATTACATAATTTAAATATGTCTACTTGTTATAAAACATACAGTATAATCTCTATAAATTAATACTCGATAAATTAATACTTCGATAAACTAATACATTTCTTAAGTCCTAAATTAGATTTTTGAGCTGATTTTTTAAATTGATAAATTAATAATTCGATAAATTAATAAAATATTATAGTCCCGACATTATTAATTTATAGAAGTTTTACATATACATCTATATCTTGTTCTAGGAACAAAACCCTAACTTTCTTTTTGTTAAATAATTAGAAATATGTCCGAAGTATTGTATCCTCTAGACAGCTTATGTTTTATGAAATATTAAACACAATTCATAGTCTCTCTTACTCTATCGTTTATTAACAACACAGTATTATCTTTTCTATAAACATGAAAATCATTGTTAATACAGTACTATACTTTGGAATAAATTTTCATTCTACACTCTTTTTTCAACTCGCCTTTGTACGTACGAAGGAGACTAAATTCGATGTACTTTGTGGTATAATTTCACATCAATCTATATTCAAATTAAAATTAAATTGAAATTGAAATTGTTTTATTAAATAGAAGTACATCATCGAAAGATAATTAACCACAACGACGAGAAAACATTACATGAGTGATGATTACTAGTACATAATATTATTTGTCAGAAGCTCCAAATTAAGGTGCTCATGAATTTTTTTTTTTTTAATTGACACGCTCGTGATTTATTTTATAAAAACAAAAAACCCCATTTATTATTATAGCATATTTATGATATTTCGGCTTTTATATAGTCGGAACCCTTTAGTTGACGCCATTGACGTTTTTAAGTGAAGCTTCACCTATAATGGCATGACGTTCACAGAAACTCTTCAATCTTTCAAATGCATCCTCCAAAATTGGAGTCTCCATGTCGATAGAATGCCTCAACCAGTTCTTCTGACCAAATGCAATCCCTAACCAATACAAACACACAAAATGTTTTTATGGTACTTATAAAAAAATATGTTTTTATGGTCTTTATTCTTGTCGAAAACATTGAATTCGGATTATGACATAACAATGACACTAATACAAATCAAATCACTAGGATACATGTTCTATGTTTTTATGTTTATAAGTGTCCACACACATGAAAAAAAAAGTGAATGTATTCTGAAGGTTTAACTTGAACCGTTATCTTCTAAAATCTATAACGAGGGGTACATAATAAATTAGGATTTCATAGGTAAGTGGAATTATTATTACCGGGTAAAAGGACGAGGTTTTCTTCCTTAGCAAGCTTATTGCAGAAGTCTTGATCGTCTTCAATGTTCAAAAATTCCAATGGGTCCAGTTCGGTCTAAAGAAACAAGAAAAAAAGCTATGCTTAAATCCACATGCAATGAAAATTATGCATAACAGAATTAATAGTGAACTAAAGAATGAAATAATAATTATTGAATACCCATAAGAAGGTGCAGGCTTCAGGTTTCATGTAGCAGGTGAGGGTAGGTATCTCATTGAGCTTAGAATATGCAAAATCCACTTGATGTTTCAGAAAACTCTGCCTCCTATCGAAGAACTCTTTAGGTGTTTTCTCCAAGATGGTGGGAATAGCTGCCTACATCATAGGACCAAGACAATGAATGGGCCATAATTAACATTGGTGGCGTGACTCATCAGTGACTCGCAATTAACAACAAATGGAATATCGATACTAATCATTTTATAACATTTTGTTTACTATAAGTCTAGAGAGTACTAAACCAACTATTGATCCAAACTGCGCGTACCTGGATAACAGTTGGAGGTTTAGAATTGATCTCCAGAAATTCCTTAGCAGCTTTTAAGACCTGTACATATATATAATATATATTCAAATAAGTGGCCCAAGAATATATACTCAAAGGAATACTTTTTTTAGGCTGTCACTCAAAGTATATATTGTGTATAGGGAATTTTATGCAGATTATGTATATAAATGCGTAAGGAACCGGACCTTGGTAGATCTGAAAACACCGTCTAGATCATGCAGTGCGAGCCAGCCGGTTCGCCATCCTGGGACACTCCATCCTTTCGATATAGACCCGAGTGTAATTACGGGTACGATTGAGGAGAATTTCCCCATTGGAACAAAGGGATTACTCCCAAACACGGTCCATCTATATACTTCGTCTGAAACAACCATTATCCCGAGTTCCCGAGCCAACCTAGCGAGCTGGCATTCATTTCAGAAGTAAAGTAATATTAGGGGCTCGATTGTTAACACTTAACCATTATTTTATGTATATATAAAATAAATATTTCAAAATTTTCATCTAATAGTTTTCAAATTTATAATCAGAAATAGAATTATTTTATTAGTTATTTGCGTTTGCATTTACAATGTATAGTATAATTTTTATTATAACATTGACTAAAGAATGTAGTTCATTTGAAGAAGAGAAAAAAATAACATGTTAACATGTATATATATAAACGCAAGACACAAATTAAAAAAAAAAAGCTTTTATGTCCAGATCATCTAAGTATCGATCTAACCAATCTTTTAAAAACTTAACCAAGAATACAGTTACGTAAATACCTGATCGAGATGAGCCTCAGTGTAGTAGTTCCCATTGGGATTGTGGGGATTGATTATAAAGATCGCAAACGTGTTCTCGTCAGCCATTTCTCTGACGCTGTCGAGATCGATTTCAAAGTCATTCTCGGGGATGAATTCATATCTTCGGACCTCAAGGTTCTTGAATATAGAGCGGACATAGTCAGCAGGGAAACCCGGTTTCGGAAGCAAGATGTTGGCGTTCGGTTTAGCCAAGATATCGACCACAAGCTCAATCGCTTGTTTGCATCCAACCGTCATAAACACATCATCTCCCGTCAGCTTATTATCAAGATCTCGGTTTAGATATTCAGCCACAGCTCTGATAAAAGAAGCATTAAAGCATATAGAGTTAATTAATTAATATCCAATATAGGGTTACTGTCAATCAAGACTAACCCGGTTCTGTCTAACCTGACTGACCAGTACATATAGAAGAAAAAAGTTAATCGGACCAACAAGATTTTTATTTTTAAAATGCTATTTTTGTCATAGAGTTAATAAGCATAGAGTTAAGATGCTATTTTTGTCATTAGTAATATTTCTCTCTAGTCTCTATATATTACCGTCTGGCGACGGGAAGGCCGATGCTAGGAGCGTAGGCGTTTCCCGTGCCGCAGATGACGGCTTTAACAACGGCCTTTTCAGCGGTATGGCTAGTCTCGGGGGACTCGCTTCGTGGGGGCAAAATGGGCTTTCCGTTTGGATCGCACAGAGCAAAGAGCTCAGAGGAGTAAGTGCCTAGCGAGGCCGCTGCAGCTTCTTCGGCCGCATCGCTGCCACTGAACTGCCAGTCAACGCATCCGTGGCTCGCCATTTTTTTGCGTCTAGCGTTTGAACTTACTTCTTTTATTTCTCTGGATTGGTGATTTATCTCGTCGCTACGTACTAGTGAGATTATATAGTGAGAAAATTATACTTTTCTTATAAACTAATATATCACGTGGTGAATATTTTCAAATTAATATAGAGATAAAACTATGAAGGCAAGAATAATGTAACTCGAGGCCCTACAGTTAGAACGTGGATTTCCTCCTATCACGGTGATTAGAAAATGTCAATTTGTCAACGCAAATATGGTTCGTTATTAATTTTATATTCAACAGCCGGATACGGATCAGACCCTATTAAGATCTTCAACTATACAAGGTGATATGTAGTACCAAACAAAGTTTTACATTATATTTCATCATAGTATTAATTTTGTCTATAGAGATGAGCGTCTAATCTATTTAATATAACTTATTTCCTTCATTAACGTCTACGTACTAACTACTAATATTAAGTCATCGGTCGTAATTTAATGTCTATCATTTTATGTCAAATATTGAGCAAATAGATTAAATTTTCTTGGTAAACAAAGTGGTAGATGCTAACCTATCGAAAAAGTATGCTTCAACAAATGAATTGATGCTGTATTCATCTAGGAAATATACTTAAACAGGTTGATAGATGCTAACTCATCGAAGAATTATGCTCCAACAATTTAATAGATGCTTGTCCACTAAGGGAACAAACAAGTTAATAGCTGCTTATCCATCAAGGAAGCCTAGGCAACCGATAGGAAAAAGAAAAAAAAAAATCAAAGCTCAACCCCATTACTCTTAGCCTCAATCATGTCAAGCAAGAACGTACCCTGTCAACTCTCAATCTCATCAAGTGTCTTTAATTAATGGAGTGTTTTGCTTCCCGTTAACAAGCTCTCTAACTTGTATGAGACGCATGCGTGTAGAAGAAGAAAGCAGGCTGATTGGTGAAAAGTGAGAGGATCATGATGCTCGATGAGTGAGCTAATTCTACAAGTATTGGATATTGTTGAGAGAAGCTCGATGGGGGGGGGGGGGTTTGAGGGTTTACTTGGTCGTTGAGTTTCAGAAAAGCTTGTTGTATATTAGTCCGTGTTTATTAAGGTGTTCGTGTTCAAATCAGAATGGGGATGGTTTATCTTCTTTTTATTGGATTAGTGACATCTCCTAAAAGATAGATTGTGTTATGAAGATACATTAGCACATTCAAACTTTTTAGTTATAGAAACCGTGATCGAGTCTGATGTTGGCCTGAATATAATAATTTCACATTTGAGTTCATATTCACTTGATACACCAACCTAGCATCATTTATATGCTTTTGCTTTTGAAGACATAGTTAATAATTAAAAAAAAAAGATAGTGATCTTGACGAAATTGAGAACATTCAGATGAAACATCAAAAAGTTGAGTTCCAAGGGAAAATACAAAAACTGTACTAAGACCATAACAAACCAAATAGCAAGCGTAGAGAAAGCCATATTTAACAAAAGCAAAACCTACCAAATAGCAAGAGTAGAGAAAGCCATATTTAGCAAAAGCAAAACCGTATCTCATTACAGGACGAAAGGGACCAGGTTTTAAAATTTGTCCAAGATTTAGGCAAAACCCACAAATGCATCAAAGGAAGGACCAAATCAGATCAGATCTCCCATTTCTTGAGCTCCATACCATCCGGAGGAGTGCTCTCGATTGTCTTAGTCCCAACCTCTTTCCAATTTGTAGACAGAACTGTCCCATTCGATTCCACCTGTCCATTTTCCAAAACCAGAAAACCGCAAATGAGTCGGTAAAAAAACTTTTATAGTCTCCATGAAAAAAAGAAAGACTAAAGAGAATATAGATATAGATACTCACAAATGATTTGCTCATCGCTCGCCTCATATCCTCATCCGCATTCTGGTATATCTCACGGAAGAATTTGTTCAAAGCTGCGTCTCCTTCCAGCTTCTCATCCTTCTCCTGCACATCAACCACAATTAAACAAAAAGAAAAGAAAAAAAATACAAAAACAGTTTGGTAACGATTTGGTCCAGGCTCAAGTATGATAAAAGAGACAAGACCTGTTTCTTCACTTCAGCTTCCAGCTTGTCCCAGTCCTTTACTTTCTTCGAAGAAGGATACGCCGGTCTCTGTGAAACCTCTGCCACCATTATACAAACAACATCAAGATTTAAATCTCAAGAGACTGTAACTTAAGCCTCAACAGATGAAGAGGTAGAAAACCTGATGAGACATTTGGCTTTGGCAAAACAGCTGGCCCTTTGCCATGTTCAAGGGAGGCCCATGTGATTATATCGGCTTTTGCAAGACGGATCTCAATCTTGGTTGACAAGACTTCATATCTGCACTTATCTGGTACTATCTGAATACACACCGTAAAAGAAAAAAGAGTCATACAATGTGTTCAACTCAGAGTGTTGAAAGGGAAAACCACCATTGATTCATTGCACAAATAAAGTACCTTTCCAAACAATCTCGGCTGGAGATGATACGCCTCCTCCTCTCCAGGAACATCAATCACAACACTCAGCTTCAAATCACAAAAACAATACCGAAAAAATTAACACACAATTACACAGAAGCTGTCATAGAGGCGGGTTCTTAGATTGCAGTATACTCACAATTTGTTCACCAAAGTCGATGTTAACGTTCTGCTTCGGTATCCCTTTTGCGAAAATAGTTACCACAACTTCTTCTGGCTTTTGGTAGTACTCGTGTCTGTTTGAACACTCAAGAGTATGAGAATATATAATGATTCTTGAAACTTGAAAAACTCGAAAATAGCATTGGTTTCTACAATGAAACTAACCTGTACTTCGCCTTGGCTGGTGCTGCAGGGGCAGGGCTAACATCAACTTCCGATATCGGTGAAGGCAAAGCCGTTGGTACCGGTTGAACCAAATCTTTCTCTTCTTCTGAACAAAGAAATTAAAGAGTTTCAACAAAACGAGTCCTTAGGTGAACAACATATCAAAATGTTTAGACCATTGCGAACAATACAATCACTCATAGCATGTAAAAGTAATCAACCAGACAAAAACAAGCTTTAAGAATGTACCTGCGATTCGAAGATCACATTCATCCAACAGCTTCTTAAATTTGGATTCACTCGGCGCAATGGAAGCACCCTTTTCAAGAGCTATTTTAGCTGTCCGATATTCTTCAAGTTTCATACAAGCAGTTCTACAAATACAAAAGACCCAAATATAAACTGTTAATACTACAAAGAAAGGAATCAGGTATCAAACGATAACAATGACACATAGGAAATAGCAAAAACATACCCTTTTCTTAGGTAAGCTTTGGTCAATGAAGAATCCAACTCAATTGCTTTGCTTGCATCTGCCACGGCTTCTGCTCATTTAAACAAATGTCAGAGTCAGACCCAAGAATCTAACAGGACCAGACTAGCACAGTGAATCCAGAATAATAAATACAATAACCCAACTCAATCAACCAAATCAGTAAAAAATTGCCCTTTTTAAATGCAATCACTACTGATCACAAAAAGAGTAACTCAGTTTTTCTCAAGAAACCAAATTGATACAAATAGTTCCTCCACAAATAGCAAGAGTGACATATTGGAATCAAATTGATACAAATTCTATGCAACACGATACGAATTGTGACATTGCCAAGCGATAGGACATAAAACTAAACCTTATTCACACAGAGCCGGGAAAAATTCGAACTTTTTTCAAAGAAACCCCAGTGTTCACGAAGTAAAAGACGAAACTTTATGTTCTCCTTTAGACAAGATATCGTTTCTGTTAACAGAACGAAAAGAAGTTACCGGTGAAGTTTTCGAGTTTGATGTTGGCCTGGGCACGATCGGCGAAGAATTCGGCGCAATTGGGATCCAAGTCTATGGCTTTGGAGTACAAGTCAACAGCAACATCGAAGTCGTCGTCTACGAAGGCCTCTTTAGCCTTAGCTGCAAGTTCTTGAGCCATATCGATTGGGTAACCTTTAGAAATTACTTAGATTGAGAGAGGAAGACGATTCGACTGAAGCAATGGAATGAAGTAGAGGGCAAGGCAGATGGATGCTATCTTTCTCTTCTAGATTGTTCTTTTTATGCGAGTTGTGTTGTGAGGGGAGTTCAGGGGTTCAATACAAATTAATAAATAAACCACACAAATTATGAATCTTTTCCCTCTTTTCGACGATATTTCCTTTTTTTTGTAATTTTTTTTGTAAAATGTTTTCTTTTTTTCCTTTTTTGTGTGAATTAGATTTTGTAGATCCATGAGAACGAGAAATAAAAAAAAACATGGAAATACATCACTTCTTGAAATATAGCTGGAAATTTTGAGAAAAAAAAACTGAATACATATATAATTTCGAAAGAAATTTTAATAGTTATAAAACTCATCACACGCTAACGATTACAAATTCGAAAAAACCAACAAGTATTTGTTGTATTTTATGTATGAAAACTTGCAATTTTTTTCGTTATTTTGAAATTTTCATTAAACATTTGGTAATAATTTTTGTTGGAGTTGACTGCATTTTTAGTTTTCTAGAGTTAACTGCATTTTTAGTTTTCTAGAGTTAACAATAGTATTCTGACATAAAAGACGATTTTAATACCTCGTTTTGTTATGGATGTAATTGTTTTTTCATATCACAAATTACTTAGAAAAAGATGACCAAAACAAGGAAACAAAAGCATTGATTAGCAACTGACAAATTTGTGATTCACCAAAGAGGGGAACCAAGCCTTGCCTTAAACTTATTTCCTCGCGGTTTCGTGGAACTTTATTGGAATATTCAAATGTGTATTTTGTGGATATGGAGAAAGTCAAATTATTAGTCAAGACTCAAGATGAAGTCAATTTTGTTGGAAACCAATATTAATAAGTATTTGAATTTGTAATATTGAATTTGTGTGTGAATAAGAAATGAAGTTTAATAAATAAATAGGCCTTATAAATTCATTTGAGATTTAGGTTTGAGCCTATGGAAATGAAATGTTTCTATTGACTATAACTAAAAGTGGAAGTTTAGTGGAAGTGTATTTGTTTCACATTGCTCACCAAGGAGAAAAAATTCTTGTATATATATGGCTTTCTTACAATAAGGGTAAACAGCATTGTGAAAGTAAAAGAGCATTATGCAAAAACACCTACGCGCGCTGCCGCCGCCGTCGCCGTCGCCGGTGCCGGGCTCGGGCTCGAGCTCGTTGCTCGTTGCATTTTTTTAGTTGGCTTTTAGGGCTATTGGGCTCTATATAGCTGGGCTCTATATAGTTGGACTTGGGCGTGGGTCGTGGGCTTCTTAGTTTTAATCTCTTTGTTTTCGTCTGTTTTCAATCGGTTTTCTAACTCTCGTTTTAATCTCTTACCTTAACATATCGTTTATAAAATTATTATTTTCTATTCGTGATTTCAATTGGATTTTCGTGGTTCTACAAATTTAAGTACTAGTACATATCTATTCGTTTATGAGTGAACGACGACAGCAAGAACTTTAAAATGTCAATGAAATATTGAAAATTAAAGACATATTCTCCAAACCCTTCATCGCTATCTCTCTCTTTAACAGACTTTCATTGAAGGGTACTCTCGATTTGCCATCCAATATCCATTTATTAATTCACACTTTCCTATCTTCTCCGAAACCAAATCATAAGACCTTTAACTAATAGCTCTCTCGTGTATTCCTCCGAACCAACCTCTTCTCAACTGTGAATTTCTGATAAAAGAAGCTTCAAACCTCCTTGTGTAAAATGTTTTTTTTTTCAAGATCCTTTTTTTAAAAAAAAAGGTTTTGTGACATACATGCAGGCACGCCTATGTGTTTTGAGTGACAAAATTCTACAGAAGAAGTAGAAAACCATAGTGATGTAAAGGTCGTAGGAAAAAATAAAAATAAAAAGAATGAGACAAACATAATCAAATGGGTTTGATATGAGCCGGAATATAATCATTGAGTAAGGCCCATCAATGTCTAAAACTGGGTCTAATGAAATAACGAAACCCTGCCTATACAAGTAGTTGTAATAATTAGATGTTGTTTCTCCCACATCGGAAGCTTGGCAATAAGACACTCGTCAGTAGCGTGGTATAAAACAAGACAAAGGTCAAACTGTGAAAGGTACTTACCTGGACGGGGTCAACTCGTGATCAAAAAGACGAGTGGCCTAGGCTAGTGACTTCCATTGCACATAACGGAAGGGTGCTTAGCCTAAGGTCTTCCCAAGTGGAAGAGCCTGCGTCATTATTTGTGGCAGTGGGGGTCTGCGTTCGCGCGGCCCCTCCCAATTTCTCAGTTAAATATTTCGTCGGATAAGTGTAGTCGAGTTAACTTTGGCTATCTAAGATTCGTCTGCCAAAGGCCCAGGTCCAGTTTGCTCAAAGGATCCGAGGCATTGGATCGTTTCAACTGATTGAACCAAAGTAGTGACGTGAATGTGCCTGATCTAAAGAAAAACTAGTGCTATATATATACTGGAGTTTCAAGGCAGGCCAGGGATGATATTCGATTAACTCCAAGTCAAGGAGTTCCAAAATGATAATTCTTATGTCAGAAGATCTAAAAGCTTGAGACCCAAACGACTGATATGGGAATGTTATATTGTGAGCAATCTCACTGCCATTGTCAGAGGTATCTATTGTGCTTCTTTGTTCACAGTAGGAAGTTTGATCAGGACCAAAAAAGAGTTGATTTTCTTTAGTCCAGACATCCCACATTGGAAACTCTACTCAGGGACCTAGTGCTTCTCAAAGATTTCATTCATTTTCAGATTGACAAGGACTTTTTGGAATTTGTCATATTTTTAATCATATACAAAATGTCAAGTAAATCATAAATGAAAATGTGCTCGGCGGAGTAATTAACGCATTATTAATGGGGAGATGTAACGTACACGAAGTTGAGTTAGGCGAAAATTAGAATAGTGGCCATAAAACTTTGTCACATGCTTTGCCATCAGGCCCATCACCTATTTTTTTTGGCTCCAATTAATTACTTCCTTTAATTTCATCCCGTAACTCAATTTTTTCATGACATCGAATCTGGTAAAACTGTTTATATGTTGTAATTGTAAACTTCTTTGGTGTGGAAAACGTCACATAAAGATATCGTTTGCTATGAAAAAGAGTATGCAAAAGAAGCAATAATAAAAAAATAAGAGCATATAGTAATAAATTGTGAGAATGTCTATATATAGAGCCAAGAGCATAATTGTATCACTAAACAGAATGAAAGAGCATAATGTCCTCGTATCACATGTGAAAACTGAAAAATGTATAAATATTACAATGGTTCTAGATGTTAACATCTTTTCTGACGGATTAACGAGTAGCAAGTTGCAGCAGATAATCAAATATAGATTTGGCTTAATTAATTTTATTTATTGACATTTTTAGTATTAAAAAAAAACTGTAAGAAAAGTCTTTCTGTGTATTAAAAAAAAAAAGGAAAAGGAGTTTTTTTCCTCATATTCCAAATAGGATAGAGCCGCAAACTCTTAATATAAACCGTGAAGATAACGTCAATCGCCATCGAGAGTCAGTTAGAATAACTATAGCATATATATATTATTACATTAAATGAAATGAACTAGTACAGACCGTCTCTTGTTGATCAGTTCCATTTCTTTTTTCTTTAGAAAACAAATGACGAGAGAGGAAAAAACTTACGATGAACAACACGCAAAAAATTTCCGCAATAGGTTTGCAGGAAAACGGGAACAGAAAACAATTAGATATAGTAATGAATAAATGAAATAAGTTTTTCAAACCTAAAATGGAAAATGAAAACTAACGGCAAATCTTACATTGACGTTTTAAGGAATGGGTGCTAAATATTTTATATAGCCATTACTACGGCACGGCATCTCCATATCACTACCACTAGTTTCAGTCATTTCTCAAACGTGATTAACGCCAGCGATTGCGTTTTGACACATTGACGTGTTTGCTTGTTTTCTTTATATGTTTTTAGATCAGATTTTTCCTTTTTTACCATAATCAAGCGAATCTATTTGCACAGTACCGCAGGAAAGTATTTCTTTTGTTTGTATCATTATAACTAGCTTGGATTATGGGATTTGGATACATCTATGAAAGTTAACAAATATGGGCTATTCTTTATACATATGATTAATATTTATTATTTGCTTGTATATCCAAAAGTCTAGGCATGGAACTGGCGTATTTGATTTTGACCCGTTGTTAACCAAAAACTTGCTACGTTGATTTGTTATATTGACTAAGATAATATAGTTCCAGGCATATACCTAATTGAAGAGCAAATTTTACACCAACAAAAATGCGTAAGACCCTCCAAATTTATTGTTTGATATTACAGGATCCATGTTCGTATGCATCTTATTATATAACGCCCATATGGACTGTTACAGAATGAATTCTAGATCAGAAATAAGAGAGGCTTAAAAAATATGGACAAATGCATTCATTCCCAGAACCCATTCTAGATGGATACATACTAAGAATGATTAGCGGCTTGCATATATTATAAGTATTTTGAATGTTGATTATCTTTGAGAAAACATATTTTCTGAAGAAATATATTAAAAACCGTACATTAGATAAAAAAAAAATTCTGTCAAAAACAAATTCTATAAGCTTTAATACAAAAGAAAAAACAAAGTATGGTGGTTAGCATATAAGATATCATTTGAAATGTCAACAATAACAACTTGCTATATTGAAAACCTTTTATTGTGATTCCGTAATCATCGAAACTTATTTCTTGTTGGTAATTTGGCTGCACTGTTGTCTTTTTTAGTTAACAAAAAAAAGTGTAACCAAATGGTTATTATAAAAAAAACAGTGAAGCCAAATTAACCTAAAATTACGTGAAACAGATCATGCAATGAAATTACGTAGCCAACTTTACTTGCATGGGATATCTATAAATACCCCCATGAACCATTTCATGCAAAATTAAGATACAGCAAAAACCCATTAAAAAAAAAAAGAAACATTTGTGAAAACAATTATAGTGATAATAATGGGCAAGCTCTTGGTGATAATGTTAGTTGGTATCTTCATGGCTTTCGAAAGCTTGGAAGCTCTCGACTATGGAGATGCACTAAACAAATCCATCTTGTTCTTTGAAGGCCAACGATCCGGTAAACTCCCGGTTAAGCAACGAGTTAAATGGAGAGCTGATTCTGCCCTCACCGACGGTGAACCAGATCATGTAAACCGCATTTCATCAATAATTGTTGGCATATTATGTTATCTCTTAAGTCTTACCAAATTTCGTGTGTTTTAACCGTTAGAGATTGAATTTATGCTTTCGTTTTCCAGGTGAATTTGATTGGAGGGTACTATGATGCAGGTGACAATGTAAAATTTGTGTGGCCAATGTCATTTACCACAACCTTGTTGAGTTGGGCCGCAATTGAATACCAAAATGAGATTTCCTCCGTAAACCAACTCGGTTATCTTCGGTCTGCTATCAAATGGGGAACCAATTTTATCCTCCGCGCTCATACTTCCCCAACCACACTATATACACAGGTTAATATTTCAGTATCAACCTTCATTTACAACCGAAATTCTCAGTAATTCAGAATCACGACATATTCAATTAAAGACTTCGGATTCTGTTTTCCATTTGAACATTCTTTTTTTTTACCATTGTCATCATCACGTTTTTAAAAAAAAAAAGTTTTTACGTATTTCAATATTTGATTTATTATAGTACGTATGCATTCTAAATTTTTAGTAGTTTCCTGTATATAAATATATTAAGATTTTGCATTACATTATTTTTGAAAATCAAATTGAATTGTACACACCCCTAAGTGGGATGCGTATGCCACTATCAAAACTCAATTCATTTCTTAAAATTGTTTTTATAATAATGTTCATAAAAAAAGGTAGGAGATGGGAATTCAGATCATGGTTGTTGGGAGAGGCCAGAAGATATGGACACAGCAAGAACTCTCTTCAAGATCTCTTCCTCCTCCCCCGGTTCCGAAGCCGCCGGTGAAGCCGCAGCCGCTCTTGCCTCCGCCGCACTTGTTTTCAAAGCGGTCGATTCTAATTATTCATCCAAACTACTAAACCATGCAAAATCCGTGAGTATATTCATATGTACAAAATAACTCCAAAAATAGCTTATGATCATAGCATTCAATCATGAGGTGCAGTAAATTCTTTAAATGCTTGCTTATTTGGTTTAATGTAATATTTATCTATTTTTTGCAGCTATTTGAATTTGCTGATAAGTACAGAGGTTCTTATCAAGCATCTTGCCCCTTCTACTGCTCATACTCAGGCTACCAGGTAATTAGCCCGAATCAAATCGGTACAAATCAAGCATTTTGTATTGAAATAACAATACTTTATTATTGAAATTATTTTTTGGGAAAAAGGACGAGCTATTATGGGCTGCGGCTTGGCTTTACAAAGCAACAGGAGAGAACAAGTACATAACTTATGTTACAAGCAATCAAGGTTGGAGCCAAGCTGTGAATGAATTCAGCTGGGACAATAAATTCGCCGGAGCTCAGGCTTTACTCGCATCAGTTAGTATATACTATATATATATATATATATATATATAAACCAAGTTCGTTAAATTCTATAACCGGATAAATTAGGTTGAATTTAATGAATTATTTTCTTGTTGATTTGTTTTTTAAAGGAGTTTTACAACGGGAAAAATGACTTGGGAAAATTTAAGAACGATGTTGAGTCATTCGTCTGTGCACTAATGCCAGGAAGTAGCTCTCAACAAATTAAACCAACTCCTGGTAATTTTCACCGGTTTTCTATATAGCCAATACATTTGGTTTGATTTTTTTTTTCTTTTTTTTTCCGATTGGTGTTAGTTTTATAATTCTGTTTTGTCTGTACTTTTGGTTATTCAGGTGGCCTTTTGTTTACTAGAGACAGTAGCAACTTACAATATGTAACAACGGCTACAACGGTTTTGTTCCATTACTCAAAAACTCTAACTAAAGCCCGGGTCGGTTCAATTCAGTGCGGGTCTACCCAGTTCACCGTATCTCAAATTCAAAATTTCGCCAAATCACAGGTACATTACCCCCACGCCCGGTTTTGTACACCATGTCCTTTGTTGTTTACCGACCTGTTTAATTAATTTTCAGGTGGATTACATCCTTGGAAATAATCCAATGAAAATGTCTTACATGGTTGGATTCGGGACAAAGTACCCAACGAAACCTCATCATAGAGGCTCATCTTTACCGTCTATCCGATCTAAACCGGAGAAAATCGACTGCAATGGAGGATTCTCATACTACAATTCTGATAAACCAAATCCGAATGTGCATACCGGGGCAATTGTGGGTGGACCGGATTCTTCGGACCAGTTTAGCGACCAAAGAACAGATTATTCCCATGCGGAGCCAACGACTTACATCAACGCCGCCTTTATTGGCCCCGTTGCTGCTCTGATTGGCCGAAATTCTAACTAGAGCACCGGGATAAATTCAACCGGACAAACATTTCTTTTAAATTTGTGTGCAAACGAAATTTTAGCAAAGAAGAATGTGATTATACATTAACAGTTATTAGACTACAACATAGAATAATTGACCAGGGATTGTATCATTTACTTCAAGTATATATACACAGACATATATCATTGTATAATAGCTTAATTAAAATGAAAACGATTTAATTTCATATATATGTATTGGAACTCAATTCGATGCTGACCAATAGTTTGATATTCTCTTATGATGATAACCAGTCACATGGATTATATGTTCAGGAAAGCATATTAGACGCTAACTGTTAAATATTTATAAAAATCTAGTTATTTAGTCGTTAAATGAATGAATATAATATAGATATTAGTATTTGAAATCAAATACTTGGATAAAATGGATTGCCTTAGCATTTTTATGACGAGAACAAACAAAAAACTAAGTATACTTGGTTAAAGTGTAAGCTGGAAAGTGGAAGCGAAAACTATGACGCTTTAATCTCCTACAGAGACCAGACATAAATATATACATTTTTTTCAACGGCTGCAATGCAACTATAATATAAATTTTAAAACATACACCTACTGTTCTCTAGTAATTCCATAAGTACCCATTGAAGAACTCTTGGCTATTCAAAAGTTCATCCAAGTCTCCGGAAACTCGGAAAGGTTCCGGTCCCTGACATCAAATCCAATGGTAAATTCTTACTCACACCCTCGATTTCTCTGGCCGTTTGGTAGGTACTCATTTCTGCGACGCCCATGGCTTGAACCGCGACAGAAGATTCATCAAGGGATGTGATCATGGGATTACTTGTGGGAGAAGAAACTACTTGTTTTCGGGATTTTTTGGTTTAGGACGGTTTGGGTTGGGAAGATTTGGCTCGAGTTGAACCGGCTAATGAGTTTCTCCGGGTTGGTACTATTTCATGATTGTGCTCATTTGTATACGTTATGGTGAATTTCTCCGGGTTTAGTTTAATTTCTTTCGACTTGTTTTCTTGGTTCTTGCCAAACACCCCTTCGAGCTGCTGCACGCCTGCACCTGTTATTTTTGGTTAAGAGAAATGGATATAGATTAAATTAAACCAAAATTGGTTTAATTAATACCTTGGGTATGGAGACCCTTTGATGGGTTTTTGCCCGTATTTACGCCACGCCCATGCGTTCGACAACAGATTCTCTTCCTTCACTTGCTCGACAACTCTCTTCTGTTAATTCTTCTGCTGTCCAAATTCAAATCATAATATTTATTTATTATTTAGTTCAACAAGGAGCATATATTTATGAGACTTGAAAATTAAAACCCGGTTGGAGAAAACCATCTCGGTATTATACTCTATATATACACATACAGTATTACTAAATACTAATTACTAATGATTTATAATCGTAGTTTAGACAACTTAAAAATTAAACTAGCTTTCTGACACACCAACAACAAAAAAATTAAACTAGATCTGCTATGATCAGGGGCGGATGCAGTAAGGGAGTAGTGGGGTTAAGTGTCCCCTTCTTTTTTTTTTATTTTTTTAATTATTTTGGCAAATTCAACCAAAATAAATTTAATTTAGTGGTAAAAATTTTTTTTTGCCCCCAACTGATTCTGTTTATAAATTTATGCACCCAACTAAATTTTTTTCTAGATCCACCATTGGCTATGATAGTTTAAAATTCTCATTTTAAAGAATTTCAAGAATACTGACCTCTTCTTCGATTTGGATTCGGACATGATCAACTCTTGATCCGTTGGATAGAAGACAACGATGTGGTCGCTGTTTCTTGTCATCTCGGAAACTTCTTGAATCTTCGGGAACAGAGACAGAGCTCGTGAGGATCGTCTGTGTGGAGAAAGGGTAAAAAGGTTTGTAGAGTTCACCGAGTTCGTCTAAACCAGTTGTCTCCATCTCCGCTAAACTAGCCGTCTCTAATTTGATAACCCATGTTTTTTTTATATAAGTAGGTAAAATAATTACTCTGTGTAGTTTTTGGCAAACCAAAAATAGTTCATGTATTTTTCTTTCAAAGTTTTATATAAATCGTTTATTTATAAAGTTTTTTCCCTAATGTGATTCGTCTAATAAATGGCCTAATTTCATCTCTGACCTAAGGTTCATGACAAACTCCTGGGTATGGGTCATTGAAATAAAATGCTTGACAATTATATTTTCTTCTTTAAATGTCACAAATAGCCAAAGCTTAGAAAAGAAAAAGAACCCCCCCCCCTTCAAAAAAAAAAAAAAACCATAGTGTGAAATCATTGTATGATGTTTTTTTTGGCTCTTTTGAATGTAATAAACAACCAAAGCTTTTAAAGGAAGAAAAAAAAACGCCCAAAAACAATAGTGAAATCAGTATCTGCATCTAACCTAACCTTGTCCTCTTAATGCAGGAGAGTAGCTAAGGGAAGTTGTATTTATCACATCAACTTGGGGAGGACGAGGTACGGATTCCATCCACCGTGGGAGCACGAACTGGAACAAATCGGTAGAAGCTTCAAGGTCCCAGCCTGATAGTCTGGATCCCCATATCTCATCCATATTCTTGTCACAAACAGACTGGTCAATTAAACAATCCTGATCATTATAAGCATCTCCTAGGATTGTATAGTTTTGAGTCCGCAAGTTACACGTTACCAAATGGCGATTCTGTAGACTCCATATATAGACAATACCCCTATCAAACGGATGCATTGCCATGGGTGCATAGGAGCTAATATCATCAAATGGAAGGCGGATTCCCCATAAAAGATTCCAAAATCCATCATCAGCTGAATTATGGACCAACTTCCAAACCTTTAGCAAATTGTCTCCCTTTTGAGCTAAAGTTTTGATGTACATGACCGTTTAACCTTAAAGCTGGTTTCAAATTCCCCTATAGATGAAGCAGGTGTAACAGGAAATAGTATTAATATATAATAGTGGAACGAGTTAAGAACCAGTTGTCACGCGGTTGAGAAATGAAACGTATCTGATATGAATAATTATGGGAAGAGAATGGGACATACATACAATGAAAGGGACATACATACAATGAAAGGGAGAAAGATTGTTTGTGTGTTAGGAGGTCTTAGTGTCCTGATTAGTTGCAGTGGTGGGAATGTTGTAAAGAAGAAGACCTATAACCAGAACTATAAAATGTATCTCATAAACTCATTGTGGGATAAAGATATTTGGTGACACTGAAGAGGCTTTCTAGTAGAGATAAAAAAAAAAGGGGACCTGAGAGCATCACAGCGAAAGAGGTTGAAATGTTCAATTGATCACAAACAGGTTGTACTTGTATATATACACAGACATATGCTTCAAGTATATATACACAGATATATATCATTGTAATAGTACGTAGCTTAATTAAAATGAAAACGAATTAATTTCATATATGTATTGGAACTTTAATTGTTCGATGCTAACCAATAGTTTGATATTTTCTTATGATGATAACCAGTCCCATGCATTAAATGTTCAAAAAAACATTAGACGCTAACTGTTAAATATTTATAAAAATATCTAGTAATTAGTCGTTAAATGAATGATTATACTATTAATGTCATTGATCTTATATTCTAATATAAAACCTCTATACTAAACTATACTATCTAAGATCTTTTAAATTGTTACATAATAACATAATGAAGATCACGCGTCTATTTCAAACTATTTGACCATTTATTTGATTATAAAGTCTTCCTCAATAATTGGTTTATACATTAAATAAATAGTTTTCACATTTATTAGAATACTAAATGCGGCTAAGTGGCTGATAAGGTTGTGTATATATTGGTATCTACAACGCAAAATAGATCTTAATTATAGGATACTCAATTAACTCTAGACCCTCTAGAGAACTCTTCCATTTATCCTAGACCGTCTATTTTAAAGGTGTCAAAATGAGCCTAACTCCGCATGTTAAACTTAAACCTAACCCGTTTTGTTGTGGGTGGATCCATGGATTAGACTTAAAATTTTGGATAACCATGAGGCGGGCCAACCCGGTTTGACACCTCTAGTCTAACATTTAGGCAGAGCCACTTTAAGAACAGTGACACATATTAACTCAATCAGCCTAGAAAGATATTAGTATATGAAATCAAATACTTGGATAAAATGGATTGCCTAGCATTTTTATGACGAGAACAAAAAAAAAACTAAGTATATTTGGTTAAAGTGGAAACGAAAACTATGACGCTTTAATCTACTACAGAGACCAGACATAAATATATACATTTTTCTCAGCGGCTGCAATGCAACTATAATAAGTTTTAAAACATACACCTAACGTTATCTAGTAATTCCATAAGTACCCATTGAAGAACTCTTGGCTATTCAATAGTTCATCGAAGTCTCCGGTAAAACTCGGAAATGTTCCGGTCCCTGACATCAAATCCGATGGTAAATTGTTACTCGCACCCTCGATTTCTCTGACTTTTTGGTAGGTACTCATTTCTGCAACGCCCGTGTCTTGAACCGCGACAGAAGATTCATCAACGGATGTGATCATGGGATTAGTTGTGGGAGAAGAAACTACTTGTTTTCCGGATTTTTTGGTTAAGGACGGTTTGGGTTGGGAAGATTTGGCTCGAGTTGAACCGGCTAATGAGTTTCTCCGGGTTGGTAGTTCATGATTGTGATCATTTGTATACGTTATGGTGAATTTCTCCGGGTTCTGCGGGTTTCTTTCGACTTGTTTTCTTGCCAAACACCCCTTCGAGCTGCTGCACCTGTAATAACTCCTGAAGAAAAGAACAAAAAATAATAGAGAGAATAAGTAAAGCCGGTTATGATTGGTTAAGAAAAAGGATAAGATCAAATTAAACCGAATTTGGTTTAATACCTTGGGTATGGAGATCCTTTGATGGGTTTTTGCCCGTATTTACGCCACGCCCATGCGTCCGACAACAGATTCTCTTCCTTCACTTGCTCGACAACTCTCTTCTGTTGATTCTTTTTGCTGTCCAAATTTTTAAATCATAATATTTATTTATTATTTAGTTCAACAAGTAGCATATATTATGAGAATTGAAAATCAAAACCCGATTGGAGAAAACATCTCCGTGATTAACTCTATATATAATAACTAGTTTAGACAACTTAAAATTAAACTAGCTTTCTGATATGATAATTTAAGATTCTTTTTTTTTCTCATTTTAAAGAACCTCAAGAACTTCAAGAATACTGACCTCTTCTTCGATTTGGATTCTGGGATTCGGATATGATCAGCTCTTGATCCGTTAGATAGAAGACAACCACGTGGTCGCTGTTGTTTCTTGTCATCTCGGAAACTTCTTGAATCTTCGGGAACAGAGACAGAGCTCGTGAGGATCGTTTGTGTGGAGAAAGGGTAAAAAGGTTTGTAGAGTTCACCGAGTTCGTCTAAACCGGTTGTCTCCATCTCCGGTTCGTAGAAACTAGCCGTCTCATTCGGGAGGCAAAAGGGTGGTGAAAACCCGCCAGAGCTTTCGCCGGAAAACGCGTCTCCCGAGCCGGAGTAGCCTCTGACTATTGCTTCTAAGTCTCCTTCGTCCATATAAGCCACCTCACCCATACTCTCTCTCTCTCTCTTCGATATTGTGTTTCCTCTTTTGTCTCTTTTTTTGTTTCTTTCGCAAGTATGACGAGGAAGAGCCTTTTGGGCAATATCGGTTTATATAAAGAATGAAAAGAAAATTAGACTCTGTAGTTTAGGGTTTTTTTTTTTTCGTTTCCCGTGTGTAAACCCCTCAGTCGTTCAACTTTAAAAATTATTGAGTAGACTTTTGAAAAAGTCAATTCGTACCTAAACTTAGAATTTAATACAATTTCGTTAACTTGTCAAGTATATATATCTCCGACAAAAATATCTCAATTGTAAATCATACACCAAACCTCAGATTAACCATATTCCTGTTATTTTTCCTATAAAAATACTGACAATAATATATATACGTAATATTCCTTAGAAACAAATATGAGTAAAGAGAAAATTTAAATATCGTAGCTTTGACTAAATTAAATACTGAAAGCAGCATTTTTACATGCATAAGTATGACGACGTACACTACTACTTTTTACATAGACATAAAGGTTTTGTCACTATAGTTTCATACTTTGTCAAATTAAAAAAATAATAATAAATTATGTGTGTGTTTATTGTGTTACGTAAGTCTAGCTTGCCTTGTGTTCACGTAAGGAGCCGCTGGATATAATTAATATATCTATAGAACAGTGCAAATATATATATATATATATATTGAGCTTCTTTTAATAAAATAAAATATATTAAAAAGAATTTGAGAGGGTATTATCACTTTATCTTAAGCCTTGTGGTAATATATAGTTTGGTCCAATAACCCCACGCCTCTAACATAGAATAGGGATACCTTTAAGCTCGTATACAAAATCTTCCCAACTAAGACTAATGAAAAGATTCTCCAATAACATCTTCTTCTTTCGCTTTTTGGTATATCTTTTATTATAATTATAAATTTTTGTATTTATATTTACATTGTTTAACTATTATATATATATATAGATATATATATATATATATATATACAGAGAGAGAGAGAGGTAGAGAAATTTTTCAAATTTTCATCCTAATGTTTTTCATCATAGATTCCTCTCATTTTTAAACGCGTATGCAAAACACAATAAAAATAAAACGTAATGTATAGACAAAACATTCTAACTAGTTACCTAAAAATACATAAATAATTATGAATTTATATGATAGCTATACTCAAGGTCTAAAATGATATATACTGCAACCAAAACCCCTTTTTTTTGTGCTCTCAAACTTATTATTAGCTTCTAGTTTGTTTGTGGAATTTCATTCTAAGCTCTTAATTTTTTTCGGTCCATGATTGATAGCCTTTCTTTTTTAGGCCGGAAAGAATGGAAGTTGGCACGGGTGATTGCAGTCCCATAAAAGGCAATAAGGAAAGAAAAGGCAAATAACTCAAAGTCAACAAAATAATAAATAGAAAGCACACTGAGAGAAAAAAAAAAAACCATTTAAATAGAATATTAGTCAGCTTGCTCTTGCAACTGGGAAGAAATTTTCATCCCCTCTTGCACAACTTGACGGTCTATATACGTGCACATAATTACAGATCAAAAAATACAATACATATACATACACCATATTGAAGTGTCTTCCAGCTCAATAGCTTTTTTTTTGTTCGTTTTCCTTTTTAAATAGCTTCCGGCGTAATATCTAAACCGCCATATGAAGCCAAAATAAATCTCTCTCTTTAGCATTTAGAAACAACGAATTTAACTAAAAATTAAATAATTTATATAACTTACGACTATATTAATTTTTTTAAAATAATCCCCAAAGAAGACATGATATATTTAAACATTTGTGTGGTAAACAGCTTCAAAATGGATATTGGAAGAAAACATGGATCAGTGGAAGCTCATCGAAGTTGGAAGAACATAACTTACTTTTCGTACCATATGGTGTTTTGGTTTCTTTATTTTTCCATAATGTAATAAATTTTAGTCTCTCAAATTTGACTGTTGACCAAAAAAACTGACAAAAAGTTGAAAACAATCTGGATTTGATTAAATCAGTAGTTAGAAATTAAACACTGATGAGTAGTTTATTAGATATGGTAGGAGTTAGAAAGCGTTCCACAGTAAAATCTCATTCTCATTGCTGATTAGTTTATAACTCTACGTCGATGACATTACTAACGTACAGATCAGCAAAAAGGGAAATATATTACTTCAATCTTAGGTTCTGTGATCTAGATCTATAATCAAATATATTTGTTTTTTGTAAATGTCGACATGGTATATATGTTAAACGGTATATGAAAACATATGATATAATATAATGATATTGATGATCTCACAAGTATACAAATAAAACCGACTTCTTTGAATTCTTCGTTTAACGTGTGAAGTAAGCATACATGAAGTTTGTGTGTAAATAGTACAGTCACATATGTGTCCATCATGGACAGTTCATGTACATATGTATAGGCATTGCAAAATTTAATGTATACATGGATTTTTCTTTTTTATTTGGGATAAATTATACATAGGTGTCGTCACAGAAAATTAGATAGATCAACATTGATATGTTCTTTGATATTTAAAGTTAAAGTACAGTATAAGATTTGTTTCATGTGGTTGAGTGAGATATAAACATATGATACCAAAATCATTGAAATAGATTTAGATTATAAAACTGGCATACCGCATGCGCATGACATACTTAAATCTTACACTTATATAACTCTTAATATCAAATTAAAGAACATATCAATTTTGATCTGTCTATGTTTGTGAGACAAACCCGAGTTGTTTTAGTGCTGTGAAATCTAAATGATCTTATATTCCAACATTACAATGTATAATAATGTGATGAAGATATTATTAATATGTGATTAGCATATATTTAATAAAATATGGTATCCTTTATTATATGATTGCCGATTTTCTTTTTCAAATGAATTTAATTTCTACAAGCTACTTACGAATTATATACGTGACATCATGCGCAGGGTTCCACTTGCACTAGTTAATTTGCATATATGTATTGTGCGTGTACGGATATAAACAAATGGTATATTATATGTATATATGTTTCGTTAAGCATGGGATCACTATAGATTGACCGTTTCAATTTTATCTTTCTAATAATTGGTCTTTATCAAACAATAATTAAAAAAAAAGAACAAAACTGAAACCATATGCCAGTGAAAAATAACAATCAACTAATACAGACATCAAAGATCTAATATGAAAAGGAATCTTTGATAGATTTGGTGGTTGTTATTTCATCAAATAAGTAGTATTATTTCACCAGAGATCAACTCGATTAGAAAGGTATTATAGGATCACTAAAAAAAATTATAGGATTGAGTGACACCTGAAATGGATAATAATATAAATGATATTTTAAAAGTTTTCCATCATTAAAAGTTATATATATATATATATATATATATATATATTTCGCAGCAACGAGTTAGCGATGTATGTTTTGTCACTATTACAAAGAGTAATCCGGGCCGAAACCCAGCAATTTTTTATGAATATAATCGTCGGAGACCTTGGCCGTCAAAATTAAAATGTAACACTATTTTGATTGGTTAAATAATAAAAAGTTGAATAGAATTAGACTCTGAAATCGAACAAGTTAATGCATGCTCATAAATACCATCAAAATCTCTTACCACTTCCACTTGATAACGTATGTTTCTATCGTGACATGTTTATCATCGATGGATTAAACAGTCATCACCAATGAATGAATCTCCTATTAGATTTTACACAACTTCAGACTCCAGAGGTGCAAGCTATTGAAATTCAAAATCTCTATAGCACTAGCACTCATCGTGTCATCTTCCTTTTTTGACATCAAACTTAACTCTTTTTTTTTTGGTCGAACTGTAATTTTATTAAAGCTCAAACTGGATACATAAGAGCTTTAAGAGCTTCTTTAGCGATGGAGTCCGCCTCGTTGTTAAACAAACGAAGAACAAAATAGAAAGAACTCGAAGAGAAAGATAACGTCAGCTGACGTATATCGTGAACAATAGAGTGTATCTCTGTGTGCGTTTTGTATGAGTTGAGCACTGAAACCAGAGACTGGGAATCTGAGAGAAATTGGATCTCTTCGAATCCATTATCAATGGCGAGGAGTAAGGCCTCTCTGATTGCTCAGGCCTCTGCTACTAACGCTGAGGATACAGACTGTCGGGAGCTTGAGAAACACAGCTTCTTGTCTTCATCTTTAACCATGAAAACAACCCCCATTCCGCAGTTACCTGAATCCACATGCCAGGCAGCGTCGATGTTACAGTCGATTCGAAAAGCTTGAGACGGGGGGAACGTTATAGCCCGTGGAGGTTGAGGTTTTCGTATGGCTGACTGTGCTTTTTGCCAGGTTTTCGCTTCAACAATGGCTTTGTTAACCACTTCACTAGCCGAATAATTCGTGTCCGAGAAGATACGGTGATTCCGAGCTGTCCACAAGTTCCAACAAATCCAAGCTGGTAACGACGAAGTTGACGTACCAGTTGGAGGTAGACTTAGCAGCGATGGAATGGTAGAGATGAAATCGAGCGTTTAGATTGTATTTAAATGTGGATGGCTCCTAAGCGGTGTGAGTTCCCAAACCTCTCGTGCAAAACTGCAGTCTCGGAGAACATGAGGTATCGTCTCGGGGTTTCCGCATAGCTTGCAATTTGCATCAACTTGAATTCCACGTCGGACTAATTGGACACTCACCGGGAGTGCCTCCACTGCAGATCTCCAGAGGAACTGCTTGATCTTCGGTGTTGTGCGAAGTCTCCAAATGTTCTTTTGCCAGTTGAAGTTTCTATGTCTTTCCGGAATTGTTTCTGTCATTGTGAGGCCATAGCCTGAACGGACAGAGTACTTTCCATTCTTCTGGGGGAGCCAAACTAATCTGTCGGCTGGGCGAGATGATCCGAGTGGCAAGAGTCGGATAAGGGCCTCACATTCAGGAATAGTTTCGCGAATTCTATCCCAATGCCATGAGTTATGTTCCGGGTCCAGTAAGTCAGAGACACGAAGGTTGATTTGAGCGAGTGGCGGTGGTCCATAAGGTCTACGAGGAGCCTCCAGGCTAAGCCAGGGATCCGTCCAGACA